TTTTCATCATGGAGCCAAATTCTTCTTTAGAACTTCTGATTCAAATGTATTTAGATAATTTTTTTAGATTTTCTTATTTATTTTTGACAAGATTATGGTATAATTTAGAATGAAATAGTCTTGGATTTTAGGTGAAATATATAAATGAATTGTTTCCTCTTTGATTTCAGCCATCAAACCTAAATTAATTCATTTTTTAACTTGATTTGTTTTTATAGTAAATATGCTAATTGAAAAATTTGTCCTCTCCTACTAATAGATAAAGATATCTTTCCTCTTCATATTTTTAGATTCCTTAATGAATAAAATGTTTATTTTATCAATTTTTCTTTTATCATGAAAGTTATAAATTACTTCTTTCAAAAAAGAAATATTAGAAGTCAAAACATTTGATAGATGATTAAATTAGTTATCAAAACTTTCCTCAAGAATGACAGCATAAAACTAAAATTTTTATTTACAAGAATAATATATTTATATTATTTAATTGATGAGTAAATAAGAGGAAGACTCAAAATTATAATTAATTGAATCAGCATTTGAATGCAACATATGTTTAGAGATAGCCACAGAGCCAATCTTAACAAATTGTGGACATCTATTTTGCTGGCCTTGTATATATAGTGTATTTATAATAAAAATAACATAATTAGTGGCTTAATTCAAATCAAGAATTTCTAACATGCCCCGTTTGCAAGAATGGTTGTTCTAAGAATTCTTTAATTCCTTTATATTCTAAAGATGAAACTAAAACTAAGTATTTTAATTTTAATAATTAGCAAACCTCGTGATCCTAATATTCCGCCAAGACCTAAGCCAGGGAGAAACGATCCCGTTCGAAACACCAATTAACTTGGGCAAAATAATTTGGCGAATGGAGCCATGATTGCTGGTTATGGGTTATTTCCATCTCTTTTTAATCTAATTTGTATTAAAGATGGTGATATAGAAAAAGATGAAAGACATGAAAGTAATTAATACCATTATTGTAGATGAGGCAACTGTTGAAATAGCGAATGTGAGAAAACTAAAGGCCATTTTGTATTTATTGATTTTGTGTTTAATCATGATGATCGTGTTCTACTTTTGATCAATCAGATCTATTATTAATAGTTAATTCTTATACACATACATATATATTTTTAAATTGATTATATGTTGATCAAAAATAAATATTATAATTGCTCCTTCTAGATTAACTTGAGAAAGAGTCCCTTTTACAAAATCTATAGATATAATCATTTTTTAAAGGGTTTTCTCTTTAAGAGAAAACAACAATTGTTTTTTTTTCTTTATCTAATTTTGTACTAAATTGTTCATAATTGATACTTTTGTCATAAAAAGGAAAAGCTTTTCTATTTACTGAGATAGATCGATTATTATTTGTTAGCTTAGAATTTAATTTGATTTTATTTTAAGGTACACTCCTATTGTTACCAGTATTTATGCTTTAAATTTATTCCTTACACTCTTAAGGGGATTTTCGAATTATGATAGGAAAAAAAGATTCCTTTTCTAAAGACTCACTAAACGACAATTCTTATTAATAATTTTTTTGATTCGAAGTTCTCTTCTTTATCCTATCGTAAATATTAATTTATTAATTATGTTCCATTATCTTTCTTTATCTAAGTTGATACAACAATTGCATTCTACAATAATTTTCACACATGTCTTATCTTTTTTTTCTTATTCAATTTTATTAGTATAATTAAAAATTAACTCTAAATATGATGTGGATTAAACAAAATTCAGATTTATAATGTATAATTGTTTTTTAGATTAATAATTAGAATAAGTTTTTATAATTAGAATATTGACTTATTGGATCATAGAATGTAGAATAAAACGATATTCATTATTACATAATAATCATTAAATATAAGAGTCTTCCATTACACTATTTCTAGAAATCTCAAAGTCATCAATATATCTGGATAAATTTTTCAATTATGCGAAGGTTTCTAAATTATTTTACAGATTTAATAAAGCCTTTGTCAAACTCTCATTTTTATATTTTAATTGTTGCTAGGGATTATTAAAAAATAGTACATTTTTTTATTTCTAATACTATATCTAAACCTCTCCTTCTTAGTAAACTCTTTTCACCAACTATTTAAGATCCTAAATCTAAAATGATTATAATGTTTTTACTTCATTTATTAATTCCTATTATTTATTCTCTATCTTATTGAGCTGTGATTAGAGTTCTATATTTTCGCTTTTTAATTTTGTATTCTCAATTTAAAGTGATTTTTCCTTCTATTATAATTGCATTGGCATACTAGATAATGCTTACAGAATCAATTGTTGCTTGCAAAAATTTATTTAAGGCTTACATTAGCTAAGGATAATTCCTGGTGATTGTTCGAAGATTCATGATTATAGGTATAAGTTAACATAATTAAGATATTATTAAGGCTTTTTTAATAATATCTGAAATATTTATTATAAACTAAATATTTTGTTAAACCTTCCTATTATATTTTGAACAGATTTTAATTAAATTGTTTGATATGATTATTTTCTTTGTAAAAATATATTTAAAGATTATTAATTTAAGTTACTCTTTATTGCTGCTTTAAAATAAAATTTTGTTATTTATGTATTACCTTTACATAATCAACCTTTGAATCTACCTTCTAGAATAAATTAAGATGTTGGATTCACATAGTAAAATTATAAATACATAAAATTACCAATACCATATAAATTTATTTGTAATAAATCATAAGAGCTAAAATTCTACCGCTTTTAATTTTTATAAGAAATAGATATTTTACTTTAATTCTAAATTTGTTCATGATTGTTGTAAAGAGAATGCAGTGTAGAAAAGATAAATTAAAAAATGTGATAAAAATAAGTACAATTAATTCTAAAATACAATTTTTAATTTAGTTCCATTACGAACCCCTTTATTCTTGATATCATTCTCTTTGAGATCTCATTCTATAAATATTTACATGATTTAACATATGTCTTAAGAGTTTAATGGAAGTTATTATTTCTACTTAGAAATCAATTTAAAAGGAAATAATCCCAAGGTTGATTATTAATTATTTATTAAATTTAACATATATCTCTTTCTTTAAGTGAATTGAGGCGAATGAATACAAAAAAACTTAAATTTCATTTATTGTTTCAGTTGAATGATGTTCTATAATTTTATAGATAGAATTAGATCTTTGGAACTTGGCGTTCCAATAAGAATAGAAGTAATTACTAGTTAATTATTGGGTATATATAAGAATTAAACATGATATCAAAAAGGTTCTTTAACTTAAAGTAATTCACTTCTTAGGGGATTTTGTTATTAATAAGGTAAACCCTTGCTTCTAAGAAATGAATTTGGTATCAGGACTCGTATGGCAATATTTAAAACTTTTAAATGAAGTCTATCGAGGACTAAGACTTGGAAGATTCTATATTAATTTATCAACAGATCGACTTTCTTTAATATTAGAGCCTGTTCTGAATCTAAAATGTAGTTATTATTACCTTTAACTTGAGAGATCATTGGTATTGTGAAATATATTCGAGTTATTAAAGAAATTTTAAGTTTAATACAATGTCATAGCTTCATCATTAATGTCTTAGGTTTATTACTATCATAATTTAAAAAATTTATTACTATTTCTAATTTGGTCCTCCTTATTACTTAGATTCCATCATCTAATTTCTTCTTTCTTTTATTGCAGCAAAGCATTTATTTATTATAAAATTTGTTTAAAAATAATTATATTTTCTGAATTAATAAATAAATGTAAATTAATCAATTTGAATGCAAATTAGAAAACGATTCTGAAAATGCTAAAAAAATTACTCCATATGAAAATTTTAATATAATTGTAAATGATTACAATGTTATTTTAAATGCTATAAGTCAACTTTTCATTCAACTTTCTCCAAAGCTTTATTTGATTTTATAACGCAGATATTTCTAACTCAATAGTGAAAGTAAGTAATAAGAATCATATTTTAATTTACTTTCATAAAGATTCCATTTTAGAAAAGAGTTTAAATAATTGTGTCATCTATTTAACGTAGCTATAATCCTTTTATTTAGCTTTATTGTAGAGTTTGAGAATATTATATCATATTTAGATCTTATTTCTTATGAAAATTCAAAAATCATATAGTATTCAAATATTTTTCATTGAAAAATATATTGTTATGAATAATATTAGGTCAGAGTTCCCAAACTTTTTCCCACAATTGAATTTTTCCCTCTACCAACATTCTTAAAATTTATTTAAACAAAATGAGAACTTTATTTTGATAATGTATACCAGATTTAGTATACGAATTTGTAGGAATCTATTGTTTAGGCAACTGTGATCTCATTTCAAAATAACTTAAAAACCGTTAGTCCAAAATCTGTAGAAAATAGCCTCAAATAACTTAAATAATGAAAAATCATATAAAATAATATATTTATTACTTTATTAAACTCGCTATTGAATCTTATTAGATATTCTTGAATAAGGATCTATATTTGTATTTTATTATAATCAATCTCATTTAATCATATAGTTCAAACAGATTAAGAATATTTGCCTTTGATTTTTACTGCTTTTTTCATTTGGTTCATATATAGATATAAAATTTTAATGAAAAGTATTGTAAAACTTACTTGATAATTCATTTAAATATAAAAATATATATATTTCATTACTGATAATAGAAATGGGTACATGTGGAAGTAAACCCAAAAAAGTAAATTTATATCGTATACCGAGGTAGTTAGAGGAAAAATGTAAAATTTATTGAATATTTTAAGTTCTTCCAAAAGAGATTGATTTATTGTTCTTAATATATAGTGATCTAAATTCTCGAAATGTAGAAAATTTAGTTAATAAAACAGCATTTACAGACTTTTTTACAATGATTGGGTTATGGGGTGATTTAGTTTTTGATTATTTTAATAAAGATGATGAAAATGAAAATCTCATAAATTTTGAATAGTTTGTAAGAGGAGTGGCTTATTTTATAAAATGCGATGAAGAGTAGAAAATTGATCACCTATTTAAATTGTATGATTTGGAAAATATTGGAATAATAAAAAAGGCTGAGTTCCTGTAAATGGTAATTGGGTATTTATATCAAGCTCTAAAACTATCCAAGAGAGGATTTAATAAGGTTATTAGATGATCCAATGTTTTTAGAAGATCTTAAGATTTTAAAGTATTATGAGAAAAAAGAGAAAATAAATTAAAAAAAGGCTTAACCATTAAAAGCCGATGAGCAAGAATTCACTGAGTCAAGTAATTCGAAAACTTAATATTAGTTCATGCATTATAGCGAAGAGGGTCATAATAAAGTTAAGAGATAAAATCACTTTCTAAACAATAATCAGTCGAATGTTAATCAATTTAATCTAGCCTTCCTAATTTTAACGAACAAAGCGTGGTTATGATGTTTCCAAATGAAAGTTTGGTTGGACCAAATGGGGTTCCCATGGGATAATTTGGTTAGAATATTTCATTTCAAATAAATGGAAAATTAGTAGAGTTGAAAAGAGTAAATATAAATTACTTAGTGCGTAAATACGTTGATATGATTTACAAAAATAAAGGAAAGCATGAAGAGGAGTAAATTAACTTAATTATCTAGATTATCAATTGAAGAATTTAAATAGTTTGTTAAATTGCACCCAAAGATATTTGATGGGCTTTATAAGGCATTCAATTATGATATTTGGGGAGTCAATAGTAGTACTTTAGTACCTCTGTTTGAGATAGTTCAAAAAGATCTAGAAGGATAATTAAAGAAAGTGAGTCGCAAAAACCCAAAAATAATGAAAGATCGATACTTTAAGCTGATATAGAGATTTTGCCTATCTTACAAAAAGCTTGATTAATTGATTCCTTCAAGTATGAATATTAGTATAAATTTTAATTTAGAAATATTTTGTTTAGATGGCTTGACAATCCAAGAAATTGTAAATAGTTAGGAGTAAGTATATGGATTTGAAATTTCACATAAAGATAAGGTATACCCTTAAAGATTGTACTATTGCAAAGACTTCGAAGATTTTAAGAAATGGACAAACAGTTTATAAATGTTTTAAAAGTATTTAATATACTAGAATAGGGCTTCAGTGAATGATTATTATTCTATATTATAAAAGATAGGGGAAGGCAAATTTTCGATTGTGTATCTTTGTGAAGATAAAAAGACAAAATAATAATTAGCCATGAAGATAATAGAAAAGTTTAAGTTATCAAAATAAGAAAAGTTGATGTTAGCGTATTTTTCCAATTTTATTTAAATTAGACATGAAGTAGAAATTATGAAATTATTGAATCATTCTTGTATCATCAGATTTGTTGAGATAATAGAAACTAAGACTCATTTAAATATTATTACTGAAGTTGTTAGAGATGGAGATTTATTTGATTATATTACCAATAATGAAAATTTGAATGAGTAGGAGGCTTCTTTAATTATGGGTTAGTTATTTGATACAATTAATTATGTTCATAGTGTTGGAATAGTCCATAGAGATTTAAAACCTGAAAATATTATGATTGTACTTGATCAAATCACAAAAACTGTGAAATAAGTTAAGATTATCGATTTTGGATTTGCTAACTTTTTAACTAATATTTAAAATAAAGAAGGTGAAGCTTTATGTGGAACAACAAACTATTTAGCTCCAGAAACTTTATCCTAAAAAAGAATTGATTTCAAAGTTGATAACTTTGCTTTAGGCGTTATTCTTTATTTTTTACTTTCTGGTATGATAATCTAATCTATTTAAGGATTCTTACCTTTTGATGCTTCATTCCCTGAAGATATTATAAAGAATATCTTAGATGGCAATTATGATTTAAATGATAGTTTTTGGTAGCAGATATCAGCAGATGCAAAGGATTTGATAACGAAATTGTTAATTATAGATCCTGATGAAAGAATATCTTTGGACGAAGCATTGATTCATCCGTGGATTAAAGTACTGGATTATCTTGATTAATATAGAATCGTTCAGTGTTGCAAACTAAAAAGGTTTAAAGACACAAATAGAGATTGGGATTATTTTGATAACCATGAATTATACAGATCTAATCAATTTAAATAAATAGAAATTTTTCAATTTGTTACTTTGTTATTTTATTTAAATTAATTTAATCAACTAATAACTTAGAATAAACCGAAAGTGCTATTCATAGTCCAACTATTGAGAGAGTCTCTTGATTAATTTATGTCTAAACTATTGTGAAGTTTCGGTAAACACAAGCAAAATTTTGACTGAATTTTCCTTTCAGTTTCAATTTTTTAATTGCAAAATTAGACTTTATCTCTACATTTCTATCTTCTCAATAAATTAATGTCTTTCATATGGCTTCTATTGGTAGAAGCATGAATAAAGGATGTTGGTTATAAAAATTAGAGCTAAGCATTAAAATCTAATTCTTGCAAAGCTCTGTAATCTATGCTTGATTTGAGTTTGACTTTTTTCAAGGCTTATTTTTAGACATTAATTTTAGATAAGATTAAAGCATGTGGATTCTAAATAGGATTCGGAGATAATGTTCTTTCTTTTTTGATTCTTATCTGCTTTATTAGTTAAGTATTAATATTTAGAGGTTCAAAATGAAAAAGATTCTTCTTAAACTCAATGTTGTCAGCTTGAAAATTAGAATTCCTGTTTATAAAGGGTGGGAAACTGCTGAGTATGTTTTTCATTACGTAATAATTGTTAAATTAAATTATCCCTAATTGGATTGTTCTTAATTTGGAATTGAATTTTGATGAATCTTGTATATTTTCTATATTAATATTAGAATTTTGAATACAAGTTGTAATGTAATGAATCATATAATAAGAATTGAGGAGTTGAGATTGATCAATTAAATAATAATTAAAAATATGAGACATGATTTTTTCCATGAAAAAGACATCAGAATCATTGAAAAGATAGGGGAAGGAGCATTTGGTTAAGTGTATAAGGGATTATATAAAGATGAAGAAGTGGCAATCAAGGTATGATTAGTTAAATAGTTTAGTTCATGCAAGGTGCATAAATTTAAGAAACATCAATTATGGAAAGTCTCAAGCACAAAAACATTATCAAATTATATTAGGTTTTAACATTTTATTATAGTTATAGTATTTTAAACAAGGGAATTGCCAGTATTTGGTGATGGAATATGCAGCAGGAGGTTCTTTGAATGACTTTATGAAGCAAAGCTTAGAAGAGTCAACAATCAGTTAGATCATGCATTCTATTTTTACAGGAATCCAATATCTTCATTCTAAGTAGATAATACATCGTGATATTAAGCCTGGTACTTTGTATAACTAAAATAGATAATATCTTAATAAAAAATACAGAAGATCTTTCAAGTATCAAGATTGCTGACTTCGGTTTAAGTTATTAATACAAACCTGAAATTCGTTACTACTAGACTGTGTCGTAATAATGTGGAACCTTTATATATATGGCACCAGAATAAATTTTAAACAAAGCATATAACAAAGCTGTTGACATGTGGTCTTGTGGTGTTGTGCTTTATATGCTTTTAAATTAAGGAAAGCATCCTTTTTATCCTAGAATTTTTACAAAAAAAGAATTTATTAATAGTTTCCCTGACTTGAAATATGAACAACCTTTGCATGCATCTCCCCTTGCAAGAGACCTTTTATATAGATTGCTATAATTTGATCAAGATTCTCGATATACTGCATCTCAAGCATTAGTTCATCCATGGATTACTCGAAAATTTAATGATCCCATTCCTATGAGTGTTAAGCAATTCGGAATATGTCAAGAACTAAAAAAAAAAGTACTTTTTATAATCATTATAGATTTTTTAATAATTATAATCGATATTGTTTATAATACAATTACAGCAAAGATCAATCAAGCAATCTCCCATATAATCTAGAAAAGATCTGACGGAATTTAAGATTTCAATTGCTGAATCTGATGAGGATAACTTTGATCAACAAAATCTAGATACAATAAGTCCCAGAAATTAATAATTCTTAAACAAATTATCAATAACTAGACCTAATAAAATATCCAAATCTTATAGAACTCTCAACAGCATACCTCAAAAAGAAAAGCATTATCGCTTAAATGCAATTCTTAACCAAACTAATGAATCTAATCAAGAATTAAAGATTTTAAAGCTTCATCAACAATTAAGCATAGATAATGAGCATATCATCATTCCAATTGATCCAGAATCTCCAAAAAAAAATCTTAAAGTTGTTCAATCCAACAAGGTTCTTCTTCCTGCGTTATCAGAATCTACATAGACTTCTCTAAGTCCTGTTAAAATAAATAAGGTACCAATAGTAAAGCAGAACTCATTTAGAAAAACTGAGTCTTCGTTTTTCTTAGGATTAAATAGAATTAATAATGATTCAGCCTAAGAGTCAGGTACATTCAAAAGCAAAGCAGAAATTCATGATAGAGGCTCAATTCCATCTCTAAACACTCAAAGGGTAACTACAAGAAATAGTACTATAAGTTTAGTAGCATCTCCTAAATGTAAATTCATACACTAGAACAATCTTCTTATTCCAAAGAAAATAATATGATAAAAGTTATAATATGAGTAAATTCAAAATTTTTTGTTATTTTTACTTCTATAAAACATCAATGGCTACTCTTTCAAGCATGTAAATTACATTAAAGAACCTTCCTTTGTTCTCATGAATCGTCCTTAGTTATAATGATGATGTCAAATATATTTGGAAATTAGAGGGTTAGATTATCAGATTAATATTGCTATGATGTTAATTATGTGCTCTATCAATATGATTTTCTTAGAGAGTATCAGCAGAACCAACAGCATATTTGTTATATTTAAGCTATTAGATTATTCTATCTAGTTTTAATTAGCTTATATACAATATTTAAATATTAACTCTCTTATATCTAATCTACTATTCATAACTCATCATATTAATTACTCATCATAAATAAAATTAAAATATACAATTATCATGTTTTTCCTTCAACCCCAATAAGAAAAATAGTAAGCAACTAGAGAATTCAGAAGCAAGCAATTGAAAGAAGTGTTTAAAGCAGCCATTTTATTTGGAGTATTAAAATTAGCAGCAATTGTATTCAAACCTAAGAAGGCATGATCATACATTTATTTTACAAAATATCAAAAAAATCAATCTTGAAAATCTAAACTTTCAGCACTTTTAGGTTTTGAAGATTTAGATTAATCTTAAGTTTGATCTAAATTTGGAGATTATTTTTCATTTGCTTCTTTTGTTTATATCTCATAATTCTTTTTCAATTACACATTCGAAGATCCTGACTTTTCAGATTTATCTTCTTTTACTTTATCCAACAATTCTTGCCTTCTTTTTCTTTCTTATAAGTCTATATAAATGTATATATATTTTATTACCTGAACTTCCAGTTACTTATGACTATGAGAGCATTTACATTTATAATTCTTCAATCAATTGGTCTTTTTTATTCAATTCTTCTTAATTTTCACTTCTCAACTATCTAAGTTCTTCGTTCTCTTACAATATTTAATTCATTTTTTCATAATATTCTTAATCTGATGTTTATTTTCGTTATTATTATAAATTTTAAATTATATTTTCCTATTCTATAACCTTTTACTCATAAAAAGCCTTCATCTCTTTCAAATCTTTGCTTGTTTCATTCATTTATGATAATTGAACTTTAAGTTGTGATAACTCTAGCTTGTTTCCTGTTAATATTTTAACTTATTCCTCAATTATTTTATCCTTTTTTTCAGCCAATTCTAAAAATTATTCATATTAATTGTAATAATCTACACATAACAACAATAAAATATACAATCTCTTTCCTTTACGCTTTCCTTTAATTGATTGTAAAGTAAATCTTTCTATTAATTATTGTCTCCTCCTGTATTGCTTTTGTTTGATTGACTTAATTGTTCTACTAAATTTGATATTTTCTTTTCATATTCATTAATAGTTTCTTCAAGTTCTTCATTTTGAATTTCCATCCATTCTATTTTCATTTTTGATTCTGACTCTAACTTTTCATATTAATTATTAAGTTACTTTATCTTTTCTTCATAATCTTCGTTTTATAAATGACATTTTTATTTTGATACTTCTAATTTTAATTAATGAATTTCTTCATTCTTATCAGTGACAATTTATTGATATGAAATAACTTAATCTTGTAATTAACTAAATGATAATTTCGTGTCTTCATTTTGCATTTCGATTTGACTGATCAAGACTTTATTTTATTTTTGGACTTCTTCAATTTTATAACATAATTATTCATTCTCTTATTTGAGATCTTCAAGTTAAGTTTTTTGTAGAGTAAGCCATTCTTATTTCATAATATCTTAAGTTTACAGATCAGTATACTATTAATACAATTAATCATATTTTGATGATAATTATTTCTTATCTGATCCATTTTATTTTGAATTTGCAGATTCCTAAAGTTTTTCTTCTAACTTTTTTATCATTTAAGCTAACTACTAAAGTTGTTCTTATTATTCATCATAAACACCTTAGAGTTGATTTAGATTTGATAGTTCTTTTTAATATTCTTAAATCTTCATTTTAAGCGATTCGATTTCATTTTGTTTCTCTTCTATTTATTTAGCAGTTTATTATGATATATCCTATTGATGCTATTATTATTTTTCTAAATCTTTGACTAATTTCTATAGCTGACTGTTTTTTAATCCTAATTCACTTAATTGCAATTAATACTAATTTTTTTACTATTAACCCTTATCATGATCATGAATACTCTTTCTTAATTCATCATTAGTTTAATTTAAAACTTAGTTTTCTTTAGTTAATTTTTCTAGTTATTTTTCTTAATTATTTTTCTCCTTTTTCATCTCCTCAATTTTTTAAATAAGCTTTTATATATTATCCTCATATTGAAGCATTTATTAATCACTTATTTAATGTTAAGAAGATTTTCTACGTTGGTTTAATTAATCTGAATATATTTTATATTCAATTTCTAGTTTTTTATTATCAATCGAATGCTTTTCATTTTTATCATTTAAATCTTAAATCTATTTTTTTTATTTGGCTATTTGATCATTAAGTTATTGAATTTTTATCTAAAAATATTACTTTTCTGCATTTGGTTAAAAATTTAATTATTGATGTCCAGATATTTTTGGTACTTAATTCAAAGTCCTAGGATCATTCAAATCTTATTTAATTTTTACACCTTATTTGTCTTTTGATTAATTAAGAGATTCAAATGTTTTTTAGAGAGCATTATATTTATCCTTCCATAGTTCAAGTTCATAAAATTAAGCTTCTTTTTCTGATTTTAACCTTTAACAGATTTCTTCATACATTTTTTTATATTGTGCAAAGACTTGAGTGCCAATATTACTAATATCATTTTTAGGAAACATATAAGAATTACTTATTGTAAAATGAATTAAATTTTTATTTATTTTAATAGGATATTATTAGATTGAAAGGTGAAGATTTACCAAAGGGCATTAAATAAAGTATACTAACAAAATAAAAGTAGAAAGGATTTGGAGTTGAAATTAATATATATTTATAATTAGAAAATGATCGTCATCATATTTAATAAGTTATATAATACCAGACAGAATCAAGAGCAAAATAAGGAATCTGTATAATAAAAACAAAAACAGTTAGAGGCAATATAAAAATATAAATTATTTATTAAAATAAGATAAAATCACAAAATATAAGAGAGTATTGTATATAAGTTTTGAGCTACAAAGTATGCATGATTATGATTGTAAATATACCAAAGATATCTAATTTGTATTAATTGATCAGAAAATCATATTCTTGTTTATTTGATTCTTGAATATAATTATTAAATATGAAAAAATTACCCAGCACTTATCTAGAACCTAAAATTTTCGATAACAAATATATTATAAAGAATCAACTGAGTTCAGGATCTTTCGGGGTTGTATATTTAGCAATTCATAAAATAACAAGAGAAGAAGTAGCAGTCAAATTAGAAAAAGGAGAACATGAAACTTTGGATAGAGAAGTTTATTTACTGACGAAATTATAAGGAATACAAGGAATAACCAAACTTTATTGGTTTGGAGCAGAATAAAATTATAATGTAATGGTTGTTGAATTATTGGGAAAAGACCTAGGATATTATAGTCGAACATATAAATAATTGTCTCTAAAAACGGGATTGCAATTATTGGATTAATTATTGACAACCTTTAAATTAGTGCATTCAAGAGGAATAGTGCATAGAGATTTAAAACCTGAAAACATAATGATGGGCAAATAAAATACATCTATTGCTTATTTAGTTGATTTTGGTGTTTCAAAATTAATTCTAGATAAGGGGAAACATATGTAAGTTAATGATATAATTAGAGCCCGTTTAAGGATAGAAAATCATTTATTGGAACTACCAGATATGCTTCAATAGCTGCTCACAAAGGATTTGAAATTAGTAGAAAAGATGATTTGGAATCTATGATGTATGTCATTATCTACTTAATTTTAGGGTAATTAATTATTATAATTTTAAGTAAGTTACCATGGTAGAATTTATAAAATATTGGTGATAAAGATAGAACTGTTGCAGTTGGAGAAGTTAAAATGAGTACAACCATTGAAACCTTATGTAAAGAATTACCAATTCAATTTGTAGACTATCTTAAGTATACCAATGTTATTAATTATTTAGATATCTAAAAAACTTAGGCTTTGAAGACCAACCTGATTACGATATGCTTAAGACATTAATGAAACAATGTAGTAATCCTAATACTTACGATAATCAATTTGAATGGTCAGATAAATAACAAAATAAAGACTCTGTTTTGGAAGTCAAAGTTTAGGGTTCGTTCTTAGCTGTTCCTGGAAATGATGGTGCTTAAAGATCTAATACTAAAAAGCAATCCAATATATCAAATCTTGGTATTTTCTTGTGTATTTATTTTAAGGATCTTCATCTTCGAATGTTGTTAAATATGTGCCATCTTTTCAGGATGCTGTATAATTAAAATAATCATCGTAAGCTCCAATCAAAATTGCTGCAAGTCAACCTCATATGGATTTTAATTTACATAGTGAAACTGTTGATTTTGAAGATATTGAAGAAAATATGAGTAACCATCCAACTCTAGAATAAAAATACTTAAATTTATCAGGGTTTGATGCTAAATTTAAAGATGAAAAAATGAAATTATCTCGTTCTGCAATTAACGTTTTTGATTAATGAATTTATTATTAACTTTTCAAATTATTACAATAATTCCTTGTACTCTAATTCAATTTAATTTACTAATCTAGCAGTCCAACATAATAGTGAATATTATAAAATTCAATTAAAGAATATCAAGATATTATTAATTTATATAATCAACCATTTATGAAACAATTAAAAAGTGATCATAATCTTAATAATACAGACCCAGCTGTTAGGTTCTTTTTGTGTTTATTTATTATCTAAACATGTTGACTTTATGATCTAAAATTTAACAATTTTATTACTTCACAGTTGCTGGCTATAACTTATCTAGTTTAATATGCCTATTACTTCTGAATGTCTTTTGAGCATCCAAATAATTACTATGGATCATATAGATTGGTAAAGGTTATTAATCAAGCATTAGTGGTAATATTTTATGACTATTATCTATTTAAAATGTATATCTATACTGGTTTTAATTAAATTTTGGATAGCTTTCCTCTCAGTAAGTTAGGCCTATTCAATTAAATTAGCGAAGCTTCTTTTATTATATTTCAAGATTTATTTATATTATTCTTCTCTGTTAGGCTTCTGTTTAATAGGCATCTATTGAACAGATTCAACCATAGACTCTTCTTCATCATAGTCTTCTTCTTGTCTAATAGGTGGAATGATTAATTGATGCTTAATTGGCTATGGTTCTGTTTTTTCATCAAAAATATTGATTCTTAATTTAAACTGAAAATCATCAAGAGTTCCTTACTGATGTCTTAAATTAAATGATTAGTAGATGACTTTGTTAATTTTAAAAACGAGATGAGATTCTAATGGAGTAGCAGGCAATTAGCATTTCTGATTGTGTGTAGCATTTGATTAGTATTGAAACTTTATTGTAGTCTATCGTTTATCCCACATTTTTCTTTGAGGTACAATTTAAAGCAAATTACTGGATTAATTATTTCTAATTTCTTTTAAAGAACACATATTGATAGGAGGTAGTTCTACATTTTTTTTTCTATTATTTGCAAATGTCTCTTATAATGTTATAACATTGACTGCTCTTTTGAGCATATCTTTATTATGATTATGTCTTTTATTTCTCAATCTCAACTATTTCTGTTGTTGGATTTTAGTTTACTTTTCATCATTCTTTCTTTCATTTTCAAACAATTTATGAGCTACGTTGAAATAGGGTTAAAATTATTAGATAATATATCCAATATATTTCATTTTTTTGTTTACTAAACCACATTCTTAACATTCACAACTCCTTCTTTTGACTGGAGTCTTATCTATTTTTGGGATCTATGCATTCATTTTGAATGATTGTCCAAATTGCTATCTATTTCTCATGATTGTTTATATTATTTCTAAATAAATATTATAAAATTAATCATATCATTTTCTTATATAAAACAATTTAACTACATTCAAATCATCATTCAGATGATTGACTATCTCGAATTTATTCTGCTTGAATTGATACCATTATTGCTATTTCTGACAATAACATTAATATTCATTTTGTGATACTTTCTCTATGATCCCTTATAACTAATAAAGATCTGAAATATTTAATAAGTGCATACGTGAATCAAAATAATATTTCAGATTATAAGGTTTTATTTGATCTTAATTTATATTCAAAATGAGGATCTTATCTTGAGCCCAATCCACTTCAAAATAGTCTCTAAGAAAATAATTATCAAATATTTATGGCTAATAACGCGTAACGATAGGTTGTATTTCTTCATATATTACATATATGTTAATCACTCTTGTACCCAAATTCAAAGCTTTTTCATTAAATGGCACTTAGCAATTATTACATAGTTTTTGCTAACAATAAGTACATTGTTTTTATCCTTGTTAGTCTGTTTAGAAATATAGTTTATATTTCTTATTCAATCTAGATTCTTTGTAATTCTCATGATTAATTTCTTCGAATAAGTTAGCGATTAGTAGATGCAAATCTTAGAATTTATGCCATTAACTTATATAACATTTTACTATGGGGGCAAAGGGCTTATATTGTTGATAACCAATGTTTTCATATGTGCATTGATGAACTCTAATTTCTATCCTATCTTAGTTATTAATATTATGTTCTTGCCACATCAACTTTCTCAATTAATACTTATAACCCTCCTTTAAACCATATGCAGGCTTTGTAAAGTCTATATCTTCAGTATAATATTCATTGCTGCTCTCAAACAAAACTGAATTAAAGTCACATTGCAATTAAGGATGACCCAATAGAGACTCAACCAATTGTCTTATATTCTTCTAGTTATTTACAATGATTCTGTTTTCATTGTTGTAAATGTACACAGCATCATATCTGGATTTTGTGATCAACACTTGTTTCTCTTAAAAGAACTCGTAGTCAAGTAATTCATAATATACATATTCACTAAATCCAAAATATGATTCTGTTAATATTTCTTTTAAATTCTTATATTTCTAGTTCTAATTTTATAGGATTTAATTCCTGATAGCATCTATATTTTCATAGCATTTAAGCATGCAACTTAACAAAGTTTATTGATCCTCGAATACAGATAATCCTTTTCTGCAGCTTTCAAGATATTCTTAATTTATAAATTCTTCACTTTTAGCATCAATTATTTATGAATTGAACTAGAAGAAGAATTCGTTATTGAACAATTTAATATCCATAAGGATATATTTTTTATCTTTCATCTAAATTATGTCTTCTATTTTTTCCACTTCAAGTGTTTTTTCTTTGAGCTCTTAAACAATTTAAACAAAATTAGTTTATTTTTCATTCTTGAGAGTATACAATTATATGAAATTTCTTTTTGGGATTTAGAATGATAATTAATTTTATAATGCAGTTTCTAGATGTTAAATTACCAACTAAATATTCCAAGAGGAATCAAATTATTAAATTCCTTCAATGTAATATTTTTGAGATTGATGAACGGGAATAAAGTGAAAATGTATCATTTCATTGATTTAATTTTAATTTCTAATTTATCTTTTGATACAGTAACCTCCATAAAGTGTCTTATAATAAATAACAAGTTTACATTCAATTATGACCATATTTATTCGTTGACGTAAATGTAATCGACATTAAATCTTAGATTATCTTTTAAAAATGAGTTGTAAACTTCATTTTAATATCTAGTTAATTTTATATGCAATACTAAAGAATGTTAGCTTTTGTTTCATCAACAATATCATGATTTATAGGTTTCATGGGGAGATTTTCTTTGCCATCCAACTTGACAGAATCTATAAATTTTCTCATCCAACTATATATATAACGAAATAAATAAGAGACTACCTTAGAGATATGAGGTATACAAATTCTTAATTGATTTCTTCTTTTTATGATTATTCAAACAATTCCACAATTTCGATTAGTTTCATCATTAATTATATTATTATTTATTTATATTATCATTAATGTTATTATTAAATGATTCCTATTCTTTTCATTTCTTCTTCGATATTAATCAATTCTTTCTTATTTTTGGCTTTAATGTGATTGATCTCAACCAGGATCAAGTGTTTCAAGGTTTCTAATGTGATGGTGTCATCATTCTCAAAATCGCACTCAAGATTGCCTGTGAATGTAATCTCTTCGACTTAATTTCTAATAGACTCAAAGAAGGGATGTTCTAAACACTTATGTAAGATAATGTAAACTTTTTATGCAGTAATTCTATTCTTGGGATTCATTTCTAACATCTAATCTAATAAATCTCTTGCTTTGGCATCAGGAAATGGGACACTCTTTGAGGCTGGTTGTTTTGGTTTATGAGGCAGAGTCTCTATGAAAGACAATGCATTCTCATTAGTTACTAATTAATTTAATTCTTCATCTGAGGGTCGACCTAAAATATCAAAAAACATCTTTATCATTTAAATATAATTGGGAGCGTTGAATAATATCTTTCTTGTCATCAATTCTGCAAATGTACATCCCAATGACCATATGTCAACTGGTTGAGAGTATTGCTAACTAGATAACATGATTTCAGGAGCTCTATAATGTCGAGTTACAACATATTCAGTCATATTTTCATCTATTTGATCTTGTATTTCATCTTTTTTTCGAGCAAATCCAAAATCACAATAACAGACTTCACAATTCTCGTTTGCCAATATATTTCCAGGCTTTATGTCTCTATGAATTGAACCTGAAGAATGCAAATAGTAAAGTCCTTTGCATAATTGATACATTATGAATTAAACATGCTCAACTGACAAATCTTGATTGCTTTTTATTATTTTATGTAAATCTGCTGGAAAGTATTGGCTCACAATATATATGTCTCCGAAGAATTCAGATTTCTAATCATATATTATATCATAAATCTTGAGAATATTATGATGATTCATTGATCTTTAGATTTTGATTTCTCTTAAGATTCTCTTTGCATCAATTACATCTTCTATTAAATTTAATTTTTTGATTGCTACCTAATTAAATATAACAATAAAAGTCAAACTTTATGATTTTTGTTTTACAAGTCAAATGCCAGGACTACTGAACCATAGGCACCTGTTCCAACTAATTTTATCAATTTGTAACGATCACCACAATTAAAAGAGATTCCTCCAAACATAATGCTGTTCTTCATTCTTAATTTAATATTATTAATATATAAAAAAATGTCAAGATTGTCTACATAAATATGTAGAAGAATCAGCAATGTTCCTAAACATTCAATAATTCAGCAATCAATTAGTCTTCTATCATTGCCTAAGCTCTTAGGATGAATAGATATCAATTTCCATAAATTAGATCACCTAATATATGTCTTATACTTGTGAAATGTAAACTCTTTGTGAACAATAAATTGCTGTGCTAGATTGCTTAAGAAAGAAAAAGAAGAGAGCAAGAAAGAAACAAATAAGAAGAAAAGGAATTAAAATAATTGATGCCAGAAATAGATGATTATCATAAATATATTAATAACTTCAAATTAATGGGTTAATGCAAATGTGGAACGGTTTGTTATCAGAAAGAAGAAATCACTTCTTTAAAGATCTCATCTCACTCGATACAAATATCTATCAAATAGAATAAAAACTATTAGGGCAAGACTTCTAATTAAATTGAGCCTCCCAATCAAAAAGATTTAGAATCTGGAATACTCAAAAACTCAATCACTAGCAAGATTTCAATTCAAGAATTATCTAAAAATTTGATACAAACTTAAGCTCGGATGCCAGATTAAGTGATAGATGCTCTGAAATCATCTGAGAGAAAAACTCTACCTGTAAGCTGAATATTCTAAAAGAGTTATTTTAATTGCCGAATGGAACTAAATATGAAGGGTAATGGTTGAATGGAATGAGAGATGGATTTGGAAAATAGATATGGCCAGATGGATCAATATATGAAGGAGAATGAAAACAAGATAAATCTAATGGGCATGTATCCAATCAAGTAATTACTATAGGGTAGATTGATACATTTCGATGGAGAAATCTATGACGGTGAATGGATAGATGATACTGCATGTGGAAAAGGAATCTATATTAACATAAATGGAGTTAAATATGAAGGTGATTGGTTTAATGATAATCAACATGGCAACGGATTTGAAGCTTGGCCAGATGGTGCTAGATATCAAGGAGAATATAAATTTGGGAAAAAAAATGGATAAGGTATCTTAACATTTACTGATGGTGCCAATTATGAAGGTGACTTTAATGTATGATATTTTTAGGAAATTTTGTTGATAATGAAATTTCAGGATACGGAATTTATAAATGGGCAGATGGACGAATATATATAGGATAATGGCAAGATAATAAATTGCACGGGGAAGGAAATCTCAGATGGCCAGATGGAAGGTGTTTCAAAGGAGTAATGCTAGACCATAATATCTATTCTAGAGTTATGAAAATGACAAAAAGTAAAGGTTATGGAATATTTTATTTTGGGGATGGTAGAAAATATATTGGGACTTGGAATGATGGCAAATAGAATGGTTTAGGAATATATTATTAGGATGAGAGACATTATAAAATTGGAGAATGGTAAAATGGATAAAGATAACACTGGCTAAATGATCAGGAAATAGAAGCTATCAAAGAATCAATCTCTTAATTATAAAGATTATGATATCAATATTATTATTTTTATTAACAAATTAAATATAATATTTATAGTTGACTATTGTATTTTGATATCATTTCTTATGATTCTTTCTAATTGTACTTATTCTTAAAAAATTAAATTTCTTAATCTAATTTCTAGTTAAATTTATAATTCTAATATGTTTTATTAATTGGTTGAATTTGAAGTTAAGCACTGCTATAGAAAATATATACTATAATAAAAATTTTGCAAATTATTTGTAAATTTAATTTACAGGGATAAAAATAGAAGTTTAGGAAATCTTTATAAATATTTATAATATGAGGAAAATCTATATATCATAAGTTAAGTTTTTATATAATATCAATATTTATTTAAATCCGTTTTAATATAAATGAGAATCGCGGTTGTTTTACTCATTTGTTTAGTATTTTGTTAAGGTATTCCAGTACATAAGAAATTCTTGTAACTAGATGGGTATTTGATTAAGTGAATAGTAGTTAAGAGAATGATGTTTAATATACATCTGATAATTTATAGGTTGTCGAGTAGAAGAGTCAAAATAAAGATGTTCAGATTTTGGCAGCATAAGATAGTGATTTGATGATTAATTAATTAGAGCCATCTGAGAAATCAGAGACATAATAATCATTAGATGACGAAACCCCATTAAATAGTGCTTATGTATTAGATTGAAAATTATGAAAGTTTGAAGATGATTAGAATAATAATGAAATCATTGAAGATGCTAGTTAGAACATAGTGGAGGATTTAAAATTAATTGGACAAGTAGATAATAATAATATTATTGATGAAAATCATCAAGTCATTGACACTCAATAAAACATTCCTGATTAAAATGAAAACTATGCATCAGACACTATGAATGTTAACGATGAAATCCAACAGGAAATTTCAGATCAATAAAATGTTTAAGATACTGTTAATAATGAAGATAATTTTTATGATGATTCAATTGAAAACAATGATACATTATAAGCCAGCGATTCTGTCTCTTAATAATTGATTGCTTAATCAAATGAAGTACCAGATCTCACTAATATGGATTAAGATCAAGTTACGTAATAATTCACGTAACCTGAATACGAAGTTTAACAAAATCAAATAGAACAGACTAATCAATAAGATTAAACTATCATTATTGATAATCAATTAGAAAATGATGAAAACCAAGTACAACCTAAAATTATAGTTGTTGAAGATCAATCACAAATACAATCAGATGATTCAGGTCCCAAATAAGTTAACATCTAATAAGAAGTCACTTCCGAAGATCCAAATAACATAGGCGACGTTAATGAAGAGTAATTCTCATAATATACCTTAGATAAACATCTTAATGTATTGAATTATATAGTTAATGCTATTACAAAGGGGAGTCCATGAAAGCCTGTAATGATCTTGGATAAATGAAGTAATTCAATTGAATATTATTGTCTCTTAGAGATTTCCCATATGAAATTAAGTCCTTGAAGATTCCTTTTGGAACAACTCTCACAATATATGACCATCCAAATTATGAAGGAGAAAGACACACCTTCTCTAAAAATGAGGAGTGTTTGGCAAATGTAATTGTTCTAACATAAATTACATTTTGAAATTTATCATATAAAAATTAACAATATAATATGGGAACAAGCAGTTCTACATATCAATTTAACTTCTCTTAATACTAATATTTACAAGAAATCATAGATCCTAGATTTGGAGAAGTTAAATTGTATTAAAAGAATGAGACTGGAGAATTGATTTGTGTAATCGAAAAAATACAAACTTAATCAACAAAGCCCTTTAAAAAACTTGATCATCCCAATTTGTTGAAAGTTCATTACTATTCTACTTCTACATACAAAGTAAATTATTAATTTATTACAAGGAAGTATGTTCTACGTTTACAAAATTATATATAGTATATGAATACATAAATAACGATCTAAAAACAATTATTACTAATAGATATAAGAAAACTCAATATTTTACTGAACCTTAACTTTGGTCACTTGCTTATCAAATTCTAGATGTGTTACATTATTTAAAAAGAAATGGTATTTATCCAATGGAAATACGAAATTTATATGTTTCAAATTAAGGGAATCTGAAATTCAATTCCCTTTTTGATAACCATATGACATCATTCTAATAATTAATAAATCAAATCACTGAAGATTATCATATATCTCCTGAAGAATTGGCCCTTTTCAAAAATTAATCAAATTTCAATAATCTTAATCCAGAATAATGCTAAATCTTTTAGGCTGGCTTAACAATTTTATGGGCAGCCTCTCTAAATGACCCTTCCACACTCTTCAATAAAGTAGAATGGAAATTAAATGAACAAGATCTATATTAACGAATTTCTGAATTGTAATACTCTGATAACTTTAAGACTTTCCTAATTAAAATTCTTTAAATAAATCCATTGGAAAGAGGTACTTTAGAATCCTTAATGCTTTCTATAAATAAATTTGAAATTAATGAAGATCTTCTTAAAGTTTTTAAACTTGATTCGGTTCCAACCAATCATCAATTTGATGAATATGAGTATTAATCATAATCTTCATATAATTAATCGAGTCAGAAACAAAAACCAAATCTATAATAGAATAAAATACAATAATTTCAAAAATAAATATCCTTAATAGGTTCCATTACTTTAAAATCTGAAAGCCAAGAAATCCATAAGAATAATCAATTATTTGCCAATAAATTAACTCAACAATAAGATAATAACAATATCTAACAATAGTAATCAAAATCCTATGTATAATATTAAACTCCAGATTCATCCCCAATTCAGACCAACAGAAAACCTCCTGGCATATCAGGATCTAAAAATCAAATAAACAGCACTTCTAAACCTAATATACAAAGTTAGTTGCAATTAAACAAAGAGAAAGTATTGGATACTAGTTATTTTTCATAATAATCTCTCTTAAGTTATAATAAAAGTTAAAGAAGTTTGTTAGAAAATAGAATTGAAGAAGCCTTAATGAAAAGTAAATTAGCATTAGCAAAGTTTGATTAAACAATTAAATAAAATAATTATTATAAAAATTGATATGGAAAATATTTAATTCATAGTAACTATTCATCTGATCTTTCAAAAAATAGAATGTAAGCTTATTGTCTTAGAACATCTTACTCTCTAGCAAATTAGACTCGATGGTCGTCGAAATAATACCACTTTAATTAAACTTAAATTTTACTTAATTTCCTCTTAACGAGAAATTCACATAATGGCCTTTTTCTTAGGTTCCATAATGTACAATCACAGATTTTAATTTGTATTGTGCTTTAACAGAACAAAACTCAGTTATATCTAAATTATTCTGAAATTCTATATAGTTATGTAACTTCTTTTCTTAGAATCGTTTGAGATGAATTATCAAAAATTAAGGAGCAGTTCCTATCATATATTTTTTTATTGCTTTAGTTGTTCTATTGCATTGATTACACATATAATCATCATCCAGAACTTCTTAGGCAAAAAATTAGCTTAAACATTATTTTAATCCTTTCATATTATTCATAGATAAAGACAATTCAAAAAATGACTCAAATTTCGAAGAAGTTTATTTACATTTATGGCACTAAATTTATTGCATCATTTATCCTTAAAATAAGATCTCAGTTATGGCCTAATCATATTTATTCTACTTCAGCTCTTTGTTTAATTGTTCAGTTAAATAACATAAAAATTCTTAACAATCATGTTATAAATTAGGAGCGAATTGATTTTTAATTAGTTTCTTCAATATATCAATTTTCACATGTTGACCCTTTTTACAATTTTATATTTGATCTATGATCTCATAATATGATAAAATCCATTTATAATCTTCATGCCTTTTTGATTTTCCTTCAATTGAGACCCAACAAGTCAACTATTCTATTGACAACAAACTCTGTAATGCTGCATGAAGAAAACAGTAATTGTTTTCATTATATAAACCTATTGCTGGTAATATAAATTTTTATTTTTAGAATGTTTAACTATTATAAGTGCTAATATCTATGTTCTATAAAGATCCTTCCCTTGAGTTGACTTAAGATTCATTATTTATGCCTAAATAATCGTTATAAGTAATTTCAGGTCCTCCTCCGTAAATTGCTACTAAAAATTGCCAAGTGTTTCGATTCATTAACACAAAATCCAAATCTTACTTTAGGTTTTATCTATATGGATTTCGACTATCACCATCAACAAACAGATTATTATTTGATATTTCAAGAGGAATAGTTGAATGTTGATTTTATAGAAATGCAGTATAGTTGGCTGCCCATTTTATATCTAACATATAGATGGCTTTTGCTTTTTAGGATATTAAGTTTCTTATAATTTAGGCCTCTGTTTCTTATCTATAGTTGAAAGTCTATAAGTTTACCTTGTATTTTTATTAAAATGATCTTTAATTTATTAAATGTAATGGTTAACTATATAATTGCAGCTGCCAGCTTAACTCTGCTTGATTATATCAAAAATTGTACATTTGTAGTTGACTTCTTTGTACTAATTGAAACAGTATCATCTAATTTAGCAGGGGAACAAACGTTAATTCTGTATTAGACATTACTTGTTATTTGCATTGAATTGTACGTTGGCTTTTTGAATTTTGGAAATTAAGGTACTGAGATGCGATGATGTTCTTCGAACTCTTCACTAATAAGATCGCAATCTAACATTTTCCATTGTGGATTATGTTTTTAATTGTTATTTTTCATTTATTATTAAAATTTCATATTATTATTCCATACTTTAGTATTAAATTATTTTATTAATTAATCAGTTTAATAAATAGAATGATGCTTTTGTTATATGTAATTTATATTATTGATGGAAGACAAATATCTATAGAAAAGGATATAAACTAAATTATTTCAAATTGGCAGATAAATTTCACATTTTGATAGATAGCAATATGGATATCAATTATAAGTATTAAATCCAGAGACTTAAATATTTTTATTATTTTATAAAACAATTTGAATATTTAATATATACATTGTAAACAGAAATAAAAAATGTAATTTTTATGTCTTATCAACAAATGAATAGGAAATCAAAGAGATACCAATTAGGAAGACATTAGACAATAATTTGAAAAGCGATAAATAGAAGAGCAGATTGAAATCAAATCCTAAAAATATTATGTTTTATACAATGTCGACGTATTAATTTTTTGTTTATGCTCAAAAAATACTATTCAAGTAATGAAACGAAAAATTATATTTAATGTAAATAATGGATATGATCATAAATGGTTTTGACTAATTGTTATTTGAGAGATGCTGGAATATTAAATTATATTTATTAATAATATCAAAGGTGGGTTGAAATAATATGAATAAATTTTATATTCTATAATATTGCTTAAATCACTGAACTAAAGAAACAAATTTAGGCTTAAATTAGCTTCTATTTTAAAAGTATAAGGTTGTAAGTAATGTACATTTCTCAATAAATAATCAATCCTTCATGACTTCTAACTTCATTTATTTATAAATTAAGATAATCAATTCTTCTTCTATCATAGTCTTTTTAATGTGATTTCCATTAATTTGAGAATGATGGAACAAATTTAAGCCATGAGAATTGAGACAGCAATAATAATATGTAGATTAATGAATTTGAAGAAGGTTTAAAAATATATCATTAGATTCTCTTGATTTCATCGAAATATTCAAAATGGTTAATTATCTGATCGGCCACTTTAATTTAGACCCAAAGTTTTGAGCCTTCCTTAATTGAGCCAACTGACACCCTTTTGACTTCGGGATCTGCATCAAAGGCTATTTATTTTTTCTTAAAACAATGAAGTATAGTTTTAGCAGTTGCATAGTTTATATTTAAATCTCTTGCTATCTTCCATATTGAAAATATCTTACTTTCTTTATTTTACATTTTTGTTTCAGTACAGTCTAAATCAGTTATGATTTCTTTTCCTTAGAAATGTGACAATAGTCCCTTTTGATTCTTGGTTGAAGCACTCTTTCACATACATTCATGGATCTAGTTTTCACACCAATCACACTTTCACTGCTATTCATTAAGATTTATATTTTATATTATAATGTTAATGGAATTATACCGATTTATATGTATCAACATAATTTCTTCAAATAGTACATTTATATAAATCATAATTTATTAAGCTAATTATATACTGATATTAATCATGAAATGGTATAAATGTTTGCAAATATTTTGATTACTTATCTGTGAACCTCTACCAAAATAATTTCTGATTTAATTTCAGGATCTGATGATGAAGATTGCTTTAAATAATAAATTTTCATCATTTACATGCAAACCAAATATAAACACACTAATTATTATATTTATATTAATTTAGAGTCAATATCAATGAAAATATCACTTTCACAAATAGTACTGAATTTCAGTTCCTATAACTAAACATATTACTAATATTCTTTTTTCAAGGAAATTTAACTATTTATATAAATCAAATTAGATATATTTCTTTTGTTCTATCTCTTATTCGGTTGCAAAAATAATGAGGGATGGCGAAATAGTGTATTTACTTGAAATTTAGGACACAATTACTAAATTTGATATCTATTAAACATTTTCAGCCAGCATATTTTATTTTAAATAACCGATAAAATTAGTTATCAATAATATTTAATTATTGGTAATCTTCTTCTAAATTGAATTTAATACTTCAGAATATTTATCAATAAAAAAGTACTCATAAATTACTGAGATATTGAATGTCATTTAATGATTTGAAAAATACTAGTATCTGGTTTGATAAAGAAAATTACTCAATTAAAAATGGAAGTAAATTAATTTCGCTTTTACAAAAATAGATAGAAATATAATTTCTTATGAGTTGTAAATTCATTAGATTATTTTAAGAAAAACAACACTTTCTTCAGAATGATTGATAAGTAGTATTATTTTATATATAAATAATCAGGATCTGCTGCTACACATGCTGAGATACATTTTTAAAATCTTGTCAAGATCTTATGACTATTAAGGATCTTTTTTAAACCTTATAATGATATAAATATCAATTACCCTTTGACTCTATCTGTTTTTATATTTAATTTATGTTCTTCCTCATATGTTGGCTTCTAATCTTCAATTGTGAATGATGGCATTGATTTAAACTAATCTAATAATTTAACAGTTCCATTTTCATCAAAGTTTTTAGATTTAGAACAGTATTTACTAAGTTATATTTTTTTTGGCTATGGACTTTTTATGGTATTGAGTTTAGTATTTGAACTTTTTATTAAATTAGTCAAGCTAGCTTGATTTCTTTTATGATTATTTGTAGCATCTCTTAAAGGACTAGTTTATTCATAGATAATTTTCTTTTTTATATCATCAAAGATATTTTATTACTTTTTAGAATCAACTCTGGTTTTAGATATATTAGGAGATTTAATACTTAAGGAAGAAGAATTATTTAGGTTATTATTAGTATTATTTTAATTTAGTCTACCAAAAGGTTGTTATTTATGACTAATCAAGGGAGATTGATATTTTTGTATTGAATTTTGATCAATGGAAGTACTAGATTTTGGAGACATTGATATTTTCAATTCTATGATATAATTTAATTAATTTTACATCCTTATTATTAAGGAAAACATCTCTAGACAAAAGCAGATTAGTAAATATCCTTAAAAGATAGTCTTGATTAGGGATCTTTTTGTAAAATATTTTTGATCAATTCTTATGCATCTTAACTAATTGTACTAGAATATCGAATCAAACCATTCTTTATATTTTATGCTATTTCCTTATATTCCTTTCCTTTGAATGGAGCATAACCGTGCAATAATTCATACAATAGTACTCCAACTGACCAAATGTCTATTTTATAATCATATGGCAAATCAGATACTATTTCTGGAGCCATGTACTCATAAGTTCCACAAAACGTCTTTCTTTTTAGATGGATATTCTCAGCACACCACCCAAAATCGCATAATTTGAGGTCATTATTATTATCAAGCAACAAATTTTCAGGCTTTAATCAATAAATGTGATATTATACCTTAATATCTCTATGGAAAACATTCATTTCGTGTAAATATTACAATGCTTTACAAGTCTATATGAAGTATTTGCAGGCTTCCTTTTCCTCCAATCTCTTTCTTCTTTGTACATAATTATAAAGATTCCCATTTTCAGCATACTCCAATACCATATACACATTCCCTTGTTCAATAAAACTGTCATATAGGTTAACTATATTTGGATGTCGACATTTTAAATGGACTTTAATTTCTCTTTCAACTCCTTCCTATTCATATGGAGTTTGTATGTTGCATTATTAAATGGATTTTATAGCATAAAGTTGTTTTGATTTGATATTCTACACCAAATTAACTGTTCCGAAAGATCCAGTACCTAAACTAGTCTTACCGTTGGGTCTATATTTAGGTTCAAATTATGACATTGAATTAAATAGTCCTTTGTTATAGCACTCTATTTTTCTCTACATTTGTATTGATTAACTGACAAATTTTTATAAATATAATCAATAAAATTTATTTTAAACTGACTGAAATAATATTCCTTATTTATTTATATCCCTAGAATCACAACCTTTTGAAAGAACCCACTTTTTCGAATTTTGAAATCAGTATTCTAGATTTAAAAATAATAATGTTTCTTTTTTAAATATATTTCCATATCAATATCTGCAATTCATCACAATGATCAATTAATTATTGGAAATCTATTATAATAATAAGTAATTCACTCTTAGATTAAGGAAGCGATTAAAGTAGTAGAGAATCCACCCACTAAACATAAAAAATAGAAAAGAATTCTTTTGGGTAAACATCCAAATATTTATCAATCAAATGGATATATTTGATTCGAATATAGTAATTTCTCAAATAAGATAAACCAGGTTATTGAATTATTAAATTTCTTTCACTATGATTTAATTCTTTACTACCTCAATGAATAAAGACTTAAATTATAGATTTCAAAATTATTATCAGTACCATGCTTTCATATTTTATTCTTATCCCTAATAAAATCAAATGAAAGGTCAAGTGAAAATTGATAACAGGTTGAATATAAAGAGGGGATTGTTTTTATGAGTGTCCAAAGGGTAATAGAATTAGTTAGGATAATAGACCCTCATTAAAGGATGCGAAATTCTATCAATATGATAATAGAAACGAAAAATAGTATTATATATACACATGGCGTAATCTAGCCATGAGTTTAACATGATTCAGTCAATCAAAAGGTAAATTTATTGATTATCAAATTCTATTAAATAAAATAAGAAAGAAATGTATTAAGTAGGGGAGAATAAGGAATTTGAGATAGATACAAGAAAAGTAATTGGATCAGGTAGTTATGGTAGAGTATTTGAATGCTAGAGTAAACTTAATCCCGAATTAAAATTATGTGCCAAGGTATATTTTCATTTGAATATAAGGTCACTAAAATATTTAATGAAAATAATAATAAGTAGTAATTGGAGAAAGATATGTGTAGAGAAAAACAAATAACAGAAATTGTTTAAAAAAATAAAGATAATCAAAATCTGGTCTAAGTTTATTATGTAAAACATGATAAAGAAGCCTCATAACTTATTGTGATCATGGAAAAGTGTGTATCTAATCTTGATACGGAATGGAAAACGATAAATGTTTACTAAGAATATGAGGTTATAGATTTTCTAAGTTAATTCTTGAATGGGTATAGAGCCTTGTACGATTAAAATGTTATTCACAGAGATATTAAGCCAGAAAACATTCTAATCTAATATATTGGTGATTAAAAGTTCTATAGATTGGCTGACTTTGGTATAGGAAGAATTTACAAATTAAATGACTTTAAATTAACAAAAGTAGGAACACCTATTTTTGCATCACCAGAATTAAATTCATTGGTTTCAGATTAGGATCTAGATTCGAAATTTGGGCTAATGAAAAAAGACAAATAGAAAAGTGTTGTTGATATATACTCTGTACTTATATAATCTTTATTTAGCTTGGCATACTATTACATTTATTGGTAATGGGAGGTTATCCATGTGAGACAACTCCAAGCGGAATTAAATCATTTATGGCCAAGATTAAAACAGAGAAATTTAAACTTAATGCAACAATTAATCCAAAATTAGCAGATCTCATTGAAAGAATGATTGTTTATAATCCATAAGATAGATTGACATTTGATACTCTTTAATAAGAATGTAATAGATTAACAATGATGAGAATTCCAGTTAAGAAGCCAATCATTTTTAAGCCAGCTTGCGATCCAAATTAGTTAAGTTAGCAGATTTCTTAAAGTAATTAACAAACAACCCCAAATACCATTTAAAATACTCCATTAAATCCTTAACCTTTTTAAAAAAACATTCAATAAAATGGTTAACAATCTATGTAATTTACTGCTTCAACCTTTATTCCAAATCAACCTTAAGGCCTAAATCGACCTTAAGGCCTAAATCAACCTTAAGGCCTAAATCAACCAGCTCCTTAACCCACATTTCCACCTCCCTCTGGTTAAAACGTAATTGTAAACCAACCTCCCAGTTAACACTTATTTGGAACTCAAGGTCCTTTGAATATAAAAGATGAAATCTGCAATTATTTAAGAAAGATTTTGTAAATATTTTATCTATTCAAGAAAAATTCATAAAAACACTTTAAGTCCGTAATGCATAAAGACTTTTGAGGAATTTATTTTAGATAGGGCTACATTAAATGAAATTGGAAATTTTTATAATAATTTTGACAAAAACACAAATTATAGTTAGGAGGAGATGTAATTTTATTACTGCTTAAAATATGGGTTGTTAAATTAATAATAAGTAAGTAGAAGGTCATATGATGATCAAAAAAAGGATTTGTCTTAATGAGAATGAATTATAAATTATTAAAGTTTAAACAATTATCACACTATATATACAAACTTTAATATATAAATTTAATTTTATTTATAACAGAACAAATAGTTTCAAAATGTAACGACATCCAATGTCAATGGTTTAACCAAAATAAACAGAAGCAGAACTGTTAAATTAAATAAACTCATTAAAGTCAGAACTTTCCTTCTAAGTTAATGCAAGTATATTATAATTTAACATTTTCTATAGATGGAAGATTATCTAAGGAACTTAATGAATGTTTAAAGAGATTAGGAATTACTCGAGTTGATATAATTCATTAAGACATCAATCATTAAACAGACTTGTCTTATTTAGCACCTTTGTTTATTGTTTATGAAGATCATATTAAAAATTATGATGTCATACTTCAAAAATTAATGGATGATCTAGCTGCAATGGATGCTAGGATATAAATGGTCAATGATGATAACACATTCCTCAGAAAATAGTTATAGGAAAAGAACGAGCAATTTCTTAGATTGTATTAACAAGGTGGAGGAAGTGCAAATAATATCAAAAATGTTTTTAATGAATTAGAAAAAGAGGACTTAGAAGAAAGAATTCGATTATTGAATGAGGAAAACAGCATCTATGTCAATAAATTAAAATAATATGAAAGTCAGATATAGGATCTATAATTAAGAAATGACTAGATGATTAGAAACGAATAATAATATTTAAATTAATTATAGGACTTAAAATAATTAAACCAAAATTTAGAAATTGGATCTGACGATTTAAGGATTAAATTAGATATACTAGAGAATAAGTTCTAAAATCAAACCCAATTAGTAGCTATTACTGAGGAGGAAAAGACAGAATATATTCAAAGGTTCAGTAAAAGTGAAAATGAAAATAAAGTGTTGAAACATTAGAATTAGAACTTAAAATAAGAAATAGCTAATCTTCAAAATAAGGGTTAATTAAGTCAAACAGAATTATCAAAAGAGTTGGAAGAGATGCATAAAAAAGAAAGAGAGTTATTTGATAAATAAGTGCATAATGAAAGAGAAATTGATTAATTAAGAGATGAAAACAGAGCAATAAAAAGAGAATTAGATTAGAGTAAGAGCAATTTGGAATAAACAATTAAAATGATGGATAACTACGAAAATAAAATCTCTATTTTATTAAAAAAAGAAGAAAATTATAAGATTTTAACTAAATAATTAAAAGAAGAGAGGGAAAATGCTGTTATGGAAAAAGACAGATATCAATTAAAAGAATAATAGTTTGATTAGACTTTATAGAATTAAATGACAAAACATAGAGAAGAAATTACCAATCTAAAAGAAAACTTTGATAAACAATCAGATAGTTTAAAAAATAGATATAAAATAATTATAGAATAAAGAGAGGATGAAATACATAGATTGAATGAAGAAGCAAATTAAATTACTACATTAAATGATAGATTAACAAAAGAAATAAAGAGTTTAAAAATAGAAATTACTCGTATGGAAAATGGATTAAAATAAGACATTGAAACCAATTACTAATAAACTGATGATTTATAACGATAAATTAGTGAGTTAACAGAAAAAAATACATTGCTTGAATAAAAATTAACTGATCAAGAAGCTGAATTTAATTTAGCAAAGCAATCTCATGATTCCTATGTTAAGACTTTAACAAATAATAATGCAGATCTCAAATAAAATCTAGAACATACTAGATCTGAATTAACTAGTCGAACTTAAGAATTGTCGACATAGAAAGGCAAAATAAATTCACTAACTAGATAATGCTAAAATCAATTAGAAGAACTTGCAAAAACAAAAAGACATTATGAATCAAGATTAGAATAGATTTAAGATGACTACACTTATAAAATAAAGAATCTCTAATTATAGATGGAAGATGCTATTAATAGAGAACGATAAAGCAGAGAAAAATCAGTTAAACTCTTATAAGATTATGATAAAATTGAAGAAAAGCTAAAGGTTGAATATAACACCAGAATCTAAGAATTAGAAACAACAATTAATAACTTAAAGAGCATGAATCATCAATTAACTTTAAAGTAAATATTTCACTATATTATTATTAGGTTAAATGAAATAAGAAATGTTTCATACATGAACAAAGTAGAAAATTCAACACTAAGGAAAGGATAAATTAATTGAATTTTTATTATTAACTATAATAAACAATTATTCATTTGTGAATTGCAATATTCCAACAATAAAACTTCAATAAATTTATTATTTATAAATGAAATTTTCTAGTAAATCCCCGACTAAAACTGTTAAATAACAAACATCCGTTTCACCTAACCAAGTTTAAAAAAAAGTGACCCATAATTACGTTGAGAAGACACTTGTAAATAAGGAAGTTGAGTATTGGAAGTTTAAATATATGGAGCTAGAACAATTCTGTTAGGGAAAATAATCTTATGAAAAATTGGAAAATGAATTGTAAATCTGGAAATCTAAATATTAACAATTAACTCTCAGAGTAAATATTATTTATTTTAAAGGCAAGAGTAGCTAAAGGTTCAGAGTTAATTATCTAGGAATATCAAAGTCGGATATAAGAATTGAATTAGCAATGCAATGGCAATAATTACAATTCGAACATTACATTTAGTCCATCTAAACGGTCTGAACAAGCAAAATAAAACGAATTACAAAATAAGATCGATCAATAGCAGAATGAAATAAGATCATTATAAAATTAGATAGAAGAATTAAAGTAATAATCAAAATAGCATACAAAACGTGACATAATTACTACAACCAATAATAGCAATTACTAATCTTAAAATATGTTTGCTAATTCTTCTTCCTTAAATCAATAATATATTTAATAAAACATGAGACTTGAATTAGAATTAAAAAACTTTGAGTAAGAAAATTAGAGCCTTTAAGAATAAATTTAGTTCTACTAGCATAACTTAGACAATTAATAAAAAATAATAGATTAATAGAAATTGCAGATTAATTAATTAGAACAAAATTTAGCATCTGAAAAATTGAAATAGCTGAAGTTAATGGATTAAAATGCGATAAATCTAAGAGAATAGGAAATTAAAAAATATTAAGGTACTGTAATCATTTAGTTTAGAGGAAATATTCATTCTAAGTTCAAAATTAAGAGATTGTGAAAAATTAAAAAGATAAGAGCTTAATTAAAAAGATGAGCATTATTAAGAAATTATATCTTAATTGAAGTTGCAAATTCATAATTAAATTTAAAGTGGAGAAATGAGGTTAAGTACTCTATAAGTACAAATTATATTTTTATAATAGAATATATTGCAAGATAAATAACTCAATTCGTCTTTTGGTAGATTAAACAATGATTTCTACTAATAATAAAATACTAATTAGTCAGATAAAGTAATTGTAAGACTTGATTCGGAAATGAAAAATTTAAAGTCTCTTATAAATGAAGATAATAATAAGCAAAGATTTTTCTGAATTACTATTTTTATTTATTTGTTTCAAATTTTATTTCAAGATTCCCTATTTATCGATTCTTCCTATCCAAAAATTTAATATCAAAACAATAGTGAGAATATAATCAAAAATTATAATAATTAATAAATTAAAATTATAATTTTCCTTAAAATCAATTTCGATTAGAATCCTACTTAACATAGAGAGTTCATTGTTTTAGCCTAGTATATAACATATTTTTGATTTATGATCAAGATAAAACAATTATTATTTGTATTCTCTTATAATAATTAACTTGAAATATATTTAATAATTATCATATTCTATATTGTGCTTATATTAATTTATGTATATGTTTAATAAACCATTTGGATATTTTCAATTAATTTGCTAAGAACATTATATAGAAATATGTTTTTATAGGAGATTATTATTAAATATAAGTATATACATATCTGTAAAATTTAGTGAATGAAAATTAGATAAAATAGAGTTGGAAAAGATTATAAGGGTTATTGATATCCGAAGAATAGAATTTATGATGCTACCATTTCTTATTAAGCAATTTTTTCTTCTTTTTTATTTATGTGAGCATAAAATGTATAAATAAGTTTGGTTTTAATAAATGAGATGTATTTAAGTCCCTTCTTGAAAAAGATATTTTCATTAAATAAATAATATTTTGAAAAATGTTATTGATATTTCTATTCTTTTTGATTCAATGGATTAACTGTTGGAATGTTATAACATTGAAAAAAATAATTGAGCCCATTAATAATAATAATTTGATCGTAGAGGATGATTATATGATTGTGTCTAATGGAAGCTACTCATTTAAATATGAAGGTGTGTAGGGATATAGGAAATTACATATGATATTTGATGCTAAGGTAAATTTGAGTTAAGCTGAAATATTGATTAAGGTAAACGGAATTAGAAGAAACTTTCTTTTTGTAGAAAGAGATTTTAAGGAATTTCATATGGAATTTGATCATTAGGCTCCAGATATAAGAATATAGTTTATTTTTGATGCTGAGATCCAATTTACATTAAGGAACTTCAATATATTTATTTAGGAATGCCCTAAGAATTGCAGATACTGCTTATCTGGATATTGTGATCTTGAAATATTTGATTAATGTTAGAAATTAAGATATAAAAATGAATGTGTCGATGAATGCCCCTTAGGATACTTAGCTGAGTTCAGAGAATGTATAAAGAAAAGTAGATAATTAAAAATATTTAAGGTTTAAATTAGTTGGATATTAATTAAAAGTCCGTAAACAATGATATTGGATCAAATAAGAGATTTGGAGATAGTTAAGAATTGTATTTTGATTTTGAATAGCAATTTGAAGGTTGGATGGAGATTAAGTTTAATTGTTATGGGAAATAGAAGGATTAAAATCAATCAATTCTAAAGATATCCAAAGAAAATGTTCAGCCTGAAACAATATATCCGTTTTTACCCATTTATTATAATACATAATCGTATAAACAGTGTGAGAAAAAGTCTGAATTAGATTGCATATAAGTGAAAGTTTTAGTTAAGATGGAATTCTAAGAATAAAATAAAATTACTATATATAGTTATTCAAAAAATGTTGAAAATTCAGGATTTTGGAATGTTGAGGACGTTAAACTATATGATAAAGAAATAAAATATTATGATTGCTCAATTATTGGATGTGAATCGTGTTCTTTTAATTAAGTATGTAGTTAATGCGGTTAAGATTTATATTTATATGAAAATGAATGTGTTAAATAATGTCCATATTTTACAATTAGAAATGGTAGCAAATGCATAAAGATAGATGAACAATAACAAGGTAATCTATGTTATGAGTTTTAGATGTTAGTTTTCTCATAAAATTAGATTCACCATTTTAGGACATATTATCTATTTTTGGTTAGAAGACTTTCGATATGAGGGAATAGATAAGTTTTCGTTATGAAAACGGGACTACATTCATCGGAGGAGGATTAAAAGATGGTTGGCGAAGGACTACATTTACAAAACAATTAAATCTTGGAAAACATTACTAGATTAGATTGATGTTTAATTTATCAATCGAGAATTCTACTTCGGATTCAGATTGTTTTACATACACAATAGATGGAAAAACCACTCTTGCCCATAAGAATGTGTCTTACATTGATCATACTCTTTATCATAACAAGAACATCCTCAATATGAACTTAGGATGTAAAATCTCGAGTAATGGTAGATGTGTAATCTCTAATTATTATTTTATGACTATGAAAGTAAGAATCTAAAATATAATTAGTGTTCTCCTCTTTGTCTTCAATGCGTTGGCCCATTTGAATAGGATTGCAAAGCTTATGAAAAGAACATTTAGAAATTTGACTATTAGAAATTAAAGTGTCTTGATGGTTACTACTTAGATGGTAATGGATGTCAAAAATGTTCTGTCGGTTGTCTGATTTGTGAATCTTATAACAAGTGCTTAAAATGCAAGGAAGATAAGGATGGAGAGTTTTATTGTTAGCCCTACATCTGATTTTAATAATTTTAATTATTTAATTTAAACCTGCTGGAATTTTGTGTAAATCTTTAAAAGTATATAAAATAAGTAAAGCCAATAAGATATTCATTTTTTATTGTTACTAAATATTTTATTATTAATTCTAAGGTAACTTTGATATTTGTGACCGGGTTACTTGATATTTCTATCTGTATTTTGAGGGGATACATAAGGTGGCAGGAATAAGGATGAATTCTTATGAACATCACTTAAGTTCAATTTAAGTTAGGATTGAATCATGGATGAGGGATTTGAATTGCCAACATAATGTTAATTTATAGGTGGTAATGTTTTCTTTTCAGTGGTCTATTTCTTGTATGGTTTGACTTGTAACTATTCATCAGTAATTTGTTAATCTTAATTGAATTGATGGTTGAGCTAAATTAATTAAGACAATAGTTTTGATCTCTTTTCCACTGTTAGTCTGTGATTCTAGGTAGAGAAGAAGACTTACATTAATTTAGAACTGCAGAGCATTTCTATCTTGACAATAGGAGAGATATCTCAACAATCTAACAAAGTCAGTAGAATAATAATTGGATTCTTTGGCTTATTCTCTCATTTTTCTCATCATTTCTCTAAATGCTATATAAGTAAGACTAATTACATTGCGTGGCTTATTCATCATACATCACATGTTTAAATTCTTCCAATTCAATTGATTCTATATTAAAATAGAGATGTTTGTACTGTTATTATCTTTGTCTGCTTTCTCAAAAAAGCCCCTAAGCAAATTGATGTTGATTGGATAACCATTCTTGAGAAACATGGAGTACAACTCCTCAATTTCAAGGGTTTCTGCATATTAAAATAGGTATTGTTACTTGATTAATCCTTATCGATTAAACGAAATGTATGAGTGACTACATTATCATTCATAATTTCACGTTATGACTTCAAATACTGCATTTTAGCTTTTGGTTGACATCGAGAATTGAACCATTGTTTCGATTGGACTGAATGAAGTATTTAATCTGATGGAGGTAATATCATTAAAATTATTATTTCAAGAAGTATTTTAAAATTAAAAAATAAAATAATTAATATCTAGGTGATACAAAGTGAGAAGACAACTTGATTTGTGGTTTTTGATGATGACATTGATTATTATATTCGCAACAGAATTTATCAAAATAATATTAGTATATCTCTGCACATTCATATAATATGGATTTATTTATAAATATAAAACATAATCAAATTAGATGTAATTCCTAGTTTTATCTGTCTTTATTATGAAAATACATTGTGGTATTAGTAATCATCCAATCTTTAGGTTGGGAACTTTACATATCGGAATTGATGGACAGTTCAACATTTTACTTATGGAAGAACTCCAACAACATTCCTTCATCCAATTTGCTACTAGTTTGCGATCTTTAACCAGCCCTGAATTCAAAAATACTTCAAGGAGATCTGTCCTTAACTCGAATAATCTCAATGTCTGCAACCAGGGGATTTAGTAAAATTAGAATCAGTTTTGATATCTACTATTTGGGCTAATGGAATATTGCAGAGGCTATAACAGTATACGCTAACAGTTTATTGGTGCATTATGAAACTCCAAAGACCTATATATTAGAAGACTTTCCAATGCGATATTGTGTCTAGAGACCATTTGGAAAATCAACTTCTGAGAAAATCTCAAGAATAGATTAAATAATATCATTTAATGATCCTCAATTAAATATTGAAATTGTTCATGAGTAAGTTACAAGTGGTTCGACCAGTGATTATGGAATTACAAATTTCGTATTATAAGTTTTTTATTGTGATGATCTATGTGAAGAATGTGATGAGTATTAATGTTTGACATGTAAATTGGGATACGAATTAGTATAATAATAATGCAGATGCAATCCAACTTCAAAATTTTCATATTTCAATCCAAACCTATAATGTCTTGATGAATGTCCTATAAATCATGTGCCTGATTAGAATGGTATCTGCTAGTTGGCAACAATAACAAATATCTATGTGGATCTGGAATAAGATAATTTTGGTACTTACAAATTCTAATTTATTCCTGATAAGTATTATAGTACTGTGTAATTGATGGTACAAACAATTGGAACCAAAAGTGTGGCTGGCATGTTTGGAAACACAGACAAAATTGTATATAATGACATTCTATTACCTGCAAATGAAAAATATGAGATGAAATTTACATTGTATATGACAGGCAGATTTTCTAGTTAGTTTCCAGAGGAAATATTAATTAGCTTCAATAAGTTTGTAGTAGCCAAGATAGATGATTTTCATACAGCGTTTTTGTACTCTTATTTCAAACAGGGATATAGAGCTTTACCTAAGGAAATTTGTAATTCTGCTTAATTTTAGACATGTAAGTCATACTCAATTTCCATAATGTTTGACCTTTCAGAAACAGTCAGTGAAATCGAATTCAGCTCTAAATATGCTTTATATAAGTCTTCGCGAAAATGGGGTATCAGAGATTTCGTAGTGAACAAATATTCAATACCCAGTAGTTCAATGAATTGCTTAAACAATTGCTTAACTTGTGAATTCAAAACCCCAGATATCTGTTTGTCATGTGGGAGTAGTAAGAATCTGTTTAAAGGGATGTGCATAGATCAATGTCCAGATTATACTAGTGCGGTTAGTAATGTTTGTGTGGATTCTTAGATGGTGAATTTGAATTAGGAGTATTTGGTTAATATGTTTCATGATTTGAATCCTTACTATTTGGAGAGTTACGCAAACAAATTAAGTATGAAATCGTACTCTTACTTTATGAACAAGATAATTTTAGGGGGACTTGGTATATGGAGTAATGAATAGGTTATTCATCGTTTGAAAAACAAGAAACCATTCTATAGAATAAAAGTAGAGTTCATGTTAGTATTCATTGATTCCAAGAACAATCAAATACAATTCAGAACTAGTGTAAATACTGAAATTTCGACATACTCTATGTTTGGTAGTGGAATTTCAGTGGGCAATTAAGTTGGGTAAAATGAGATTGAGGTGATTTAGAGTGTTAGTTATACGAAATCATTCTAATCAACTGATGAATTATCAGTACAATTACATTGCATTAGGAATATTGACAGTGAAGCATATTGTGGGATCTATGATTACAGAATCATCATCTGGACTTGTTAGGATTATTGTTTAGAATGCGATGATAATGGAAATTGTTTGAATTCAATAAATACATAAAGTACTGACATTAATGGTTGCAAGTCTGGATATTACAAGAATATTAATGGGGAGTGTACTATTTGTGATATTGGATGCAGTACTTGTACTGGATACTAAGATTGTGTAACATGTAAAGCTGGGTATGAATTGAGAAATAAAATATGTTATTGTTCTATTCTAAAGGATGTGGTTGAATATTGTTCACAAAGCAATTGCTTTCATAATTGTCAGACCTGCTTAAATGATAGAGTAGATGTTGGTGTAATACGTCCAAAGCATCCAAAGAATTGTTTATCTTGTGATGAATCCAAAAACTTATGGTTGAATGTCAATTAATGCACATGTCTAGATGGATATTATATGGAGAATTTCAGTTGCTATATATGTTATCCGACATGTAGAAAGTGTTAAGACAGAGCTAGAGATTGTTTAGCTTGTATTCCAGGATAGAATAGAGTATTAGAATCATCGTCTTGTGAATGTCAAACAGGTTATTTTCAAGAGGATAATGATTTAGTATGTTCTAAATGTTCAGATCTATGTCTCGAGTGCAATTTTACAAAAGATCAATGTAGTTAATGTTACCCTGCCCACTATAGAACACCTACGAATGACACTTGTATTTGTATGGATGGGTATTATGATGTTGGTTAATTGATCTGTCAAAGTATTTATAACTCCTTAACTAATTAGAGTGTCCATCCACATGCAAAACTTGTTTCGATGCTCACACTTGTACATCATGCTATGATGATCAATATAGAATCATGAGTATTAACAATTCAACATGTACATGTAAATCTGGATATTTTCAACAATCATCTGATGTTTGTGGATGTACACTTATATTTATAAATCTTAGAGTGTCATTTATCATGTCTAGAATGTTCTAATAACACTAGTCAATCCTGTACTAGATGTCCTAGTACAAGGGAACCTTAAATCACAAATAATACTCTTTAGTTTAGTTGCAAATGTAGAAGAGGATATTATGAATCTAATGACAAGTAGTGTCTGAGTTGTTAAGATTATATCAATCCTCCAGTTACTCATTATTGTTATTCAAAGTGTGGAGATGGCATATTACAATGGAATGAGGACTGTGATGATGGCAATAATAATTACAGAGATAATTGTTATAAGTGTTTAAATGGTAACTCTTTTTGTTTAGATTATACATGCACTTCTTGTGATGCTGGGAGATGTTCAGGTTGTATTGATGGATTCTATTTAACTCAAGAATTCATATGCTTACCTTGTGATCCAAGTTGTAAGACTTGCGTTAATAGATCAGACAATTGTACAGATTGTATGGTCTATTAATCTGATGGATCTGGATGTGTAATGTGCAATCAAGAGTAAGGATATCAGGTCTAGGGAGATCAATGTGTAAATATTTGTGGAGATGGAATCAAAGTCAAAAATGAACAATGTGATGATGGAAATGTAGATAACAATGATGGTTGTAATCACTCCTGTCAAGTCGAAGATGGCTATCAATGTTAGACCTTATGCGAGAAGATCCTCTACCCATCTATTCTATTTGAATTAAATCCTTAAGATGTAAAGTACAATTCATAAAGAACTGTGAGGATTAAGACTGATCAATTAGTATCGATATCTGGAAGTATCAATTCCATAATGAAATTCAAAATCAATAATTTAAATCAATATGACATCACCTTTGTAGACTTAACATAATACTCTGATCAGTACAGTCATTTATTTCTTGAATTAAATATTCAATTGCAATCAGTAGTCTCCAATCCATAATTAATTTGTCAGATAATAAATCAAGATGCCATCAAAAATTAATAAGGTAACTCCTTTGAACACAAAAATTATGTTACATCACTCTTGGAATTTCAAACTCCCTCTAATTCAACAGAGAGTGCCACTGATGGTTTGATTAAATTGAGTAGGTACATTTTATACTTGCTCCTTGGATTCGCTATTTTGGCATTCTTGTTTGGTGGACTTAACATATTTTGGAACCTTCTGGATGTCTTGCAATTAGTATCTTACTTATAATTTTTGAATGTTGAATACCCATATAATGTTAAAAATTACTTTACTATATTTGGATTTGCTCAATTCGACTTTTTAAAACAATATATTGATTTGGAATAATACATTAGTTAATATGTGAATACACCAGATGCAGATCCAAAGTTTAGAAATGAAGGGTACTCCACTGTCTTTTATGTGAACATCATTACTGTTTTGACTGTATTCATAACAACCTTGGTCACCTTTATAGCATGTAGGATGCTTTTTTCAACTTTGACGAAGATCTCGCATTCCTTTATTTATGCTCCCATTGATTCATAGGAACAAAGTGTTTGTACGTTCTTCATCTATAGAATCACAAGGAATTTATAACAATCCCTATTAAAAATCAATTAGGAATTTATGTCTGGTGTGATTCGAACATTTATGGCTGTAGCCTTTGATTATAATCTTGCGTTGTTTCTGTAATTAAAGGATGTGTATTTGAGAGATCAAATCTTATTTTCGAGTTTTGTGTTTTGCACAATTGCACTGTTGTTAGAACTGGGATTCATTTATTCATCAATATTGTTCATGTCGAAACCAGATTATGTTTTCAAATAGAAAGTGATACAAAATAATTTAGGAGCAATTTATGAAGGCGTTAAATTGGAGAAGAATCCATTCACGTATTATTTCAACATCATCATATTGATTAAGAAAATGCTATTTATGATGTTTCTAGTGTTATTTTATACGATTCCTTGCATTCAGATTGGATTAGTGTCTATGTTAAACATGGGGATGGCTGCTTACTTGATCAAAGTGAAACCTCTGGATGATAAGGATGAATTGATCAAACAAGTAGGTTCTGAATTGATAATTTGGTTGGCTGAAATGTTCATATTGGGTTTTGCTATTAATCAACAAACAAATCAATTGGAGGAGAATGGAAAACTTAATTTAGGATGGTTTGTTATAGCCTCAACATCCTCACTGATATTGTTTTAATTGATTATAGATGTAAAGTAGCATATGAACTTCTTGATTCACGAATATGCTGTAATCAAAAAACTGATTGATAGAATTGGATTGCTCATTCAAAGGTAAGAACCAGAAGAGGAACAAAACATATTCCTTTAAGGAAAACGAAGATTAGGATTTGAGAACACTACTTCTTTGAATAATCTAAACAGTGCTAAGAATAATAGATCTTCTAGCCACTTTAAATAAGGAAGAGTCATAACATTTACAGTAAGCTCAAGTAGTAGCTGAAATCCATCCTCTTATCTTTTGCTGTGTATATTATTTCATGTTTATATATATATAATAATATTTAATTAATCTAGAGTGTTTTAGTTCTTGTCTTTTATTGAACAATATGGATTTCAATAAAGTATTTCTTTACTAATTAGATCATAGGAATAATATCATATGCTGGATTAATTACCTATAACATTATTTGACTATGAATAAGTTCATATTTTGTGATAAATTAGTTAGATTGATTTGTTTTAAGAATATTTTGAAAAAATAAATAAAATCTTTTTATTTATAATCATGGGTGTCGGAAAACCAAGAGGTATGCGAGCGGGTAGAAAGCTCAAAGATCACAGAAGAGTTAATAGATGGGCTGATAAGGAATATAATAAGGCTATGATTGGATCAAGATATAAAAATCCATTTATGGGTGCATCACATGCTAAGGGATTGGTTGTTGAAAAAATCGGAGTGTAATAATTAAATGATAATATTTTAGTGAATCCAAATAACCAAACTCTGCCGTCAGAAAGTGTGTTAGAGTATTGCTCAAGAAAAATGGTAAAAAAATATCAGCCTTCGTTCCAAAGGATGGTTGTCTGAACTTCTTAAATGAGAATGATGAAGTCACAGTAGCTGGATTCGGAAGAAAGGGACATGCAGTCGGAGATATTCCAGGGGTCAGATTCAAGATCATCGCTGTTAAAGGCAAATCATTACTTGCTTTGTGGTTAGGCAAGGTCGAAAAATGACAGTACAATAACAATCCATTAAATATATTTATCTAAACCTCACAATTATTTTTTGATTAAAATGCGTTCTCCTTCATCTTCAAACTCTTTCTTCAATATCCACATACTTTTGAATGATGCCAAATGAGACAAAATTGACCCACCTTACCAACTCAAAGTAATTCTTTCAGGTGGGGCCCAAATTTTCACCTTCGATATTCACAATATTAATACCTTAGCCTCCTTTGGTACTAATCTCTTTACTTCTCCTATTAATCTCTCTGGAAATCCTTACATCATGGATGTACCTCCTGTCAATACAATTTCACTATATAATGGTTTCCTCAAATCTAGATCAACTTTCTATATTGAATTTGCCAAAATTTCAGGAATAGCTAAACTTACTTTCTTTGTAAATTACAATTCAATTCTAGACCATATTTTTCTGGACACATCAAAATCTCAGGTGCTCTTTATTTTTCAAAACTCAATTCAATGGTACTGTTATCTGGTAACATATATTGGTCTTTGATCTTCCTCTCCTCCTAAAACTTGTCTTCTCCAATCATGGCTGGACTTAAGAAACATCTTTTTTCCTTAACCTTCTTTATAATTTCATATTCTGCCTTTTATGATAATTAACACTCCTTACTGTAGTAGTGAATGTGTATCCTGCTCTTCTCAACAAATTATTCAGATTTTCTGTCACATCTCTACCTGCCAAATCTACTCTCTATGCACTGTGTTAAATGTAGAATCCATCATAAATTGGAATACTTTAAGATACTGTGTCTCCAACATCCAGAATGACTCCCGTTGTCTTACCACTGGCAAATAAACTGATGACTCCGGATACTGCAAAGAACAAAGCTGGACAATTATAGCTCTCAAAAAATTGTTTTGCTATCTCCACTTTCTATGATTATGATGCATAAGGAGGTTCAGTCAATAAGATTGGACACTAAGATATATCTAATAATTACTTCTTTTGGATTTCCATGCAATTCCTAGAAAGTATATTTCCATAATTAATCCATTTCATTCATGTCTTTGATCACACCTCTTTGATAGGGGTATTTGATTTTCATCATCCCTCTTGTACTATCTGTAATTTAATTTCCTACATAAAATTCTTGACTATTTGCTACAGGTAAGGCTTTATATTTGGGACGTCCAATACTTAATTATTTTCAATTTATTTACTATGAATTGAAAATCAATTTCGGTTTGTCATCTCCACCAAATCCAGCCTTCATCTGACTTGAACCCTATTAATTGATATTTCAGTCTTGCTTACCATGTCAATCACAATCGAGTTATTAGCAAATATGTCATTATCCATCTTATAAATTAATTTTAATTTATATGTTTATTTTATAAAGTCTTGATTCCTCATTATAATAACACATAAATACATTATTATATATAATATCAAATCTCATCTGGTTTCTAATTCTGAAGTGCTTTCTCCTTGTTCTTATCGCAAGTTCTTTTATACTCTTTAATTAATGAATCCAATTGCAATTTGTATTCTGGAGTTAATTTATCATATAGTTTTTTAATTGCTTTCTCAATCGATTTCTAATATAAACCTCAATTTATTACATAATGATTGAAATTGGGATTCTCAAAAAAAGTGACGATCACCTTAAAAGTATCCTTATAAAATTGTTGTTCAATACAGTTCTCTAACATCTCAGTAACATCCAACATGATAAAGGCTGACAATAATTCCTCATTCCCAATGTATTTGATCAATAGTCTTAGCATTTCCAATCTGCCCTATCTTATAATCAAAACTCTTACCTTATAATTACTTTTGTTATCCTTATTGCATACGAATTAGACCAGAGTACCTGAAATCTCTTTAATGAAATGAGAACACACTTCTTCTAAATAGGCAACAGCATTATCTGAATTTGATAACCAACTCTCTATTATTCCAACAATAGTCAACAAATTAGGAAATCTAACAAATAAAAAGACATAGAATTAGAGAACATCAATGGACAACTTATTGGTTATTTGCAAATGCAAAATGATTAGATTGTGTTGTTAGGCATAATCAACCTTCTATTGTTTCAATAACAATTTTTCAGTAATTAGTGATGTCAACTCTTAGGTCTGTTCATTATTCAAAGGACATATTCTGATCATCTTAGTTAGTTCCTATATTGAATCTTTGTTTTTCAATCTTTAAGCAAACAAAAAGGCATTTTTACTAGATGTTAATTTTGAAGAATTGTTTATATTAGTTTCAAAAGTCTATTCGATTTATTTAACTATTCCAGAAGGTTACTACTAAGTTGGAGAATTCATCATTTGCATTCTTTATTATTGCAACAATGCATTGAGTTATTATAATCTTTACTATTAATGCAAAGTCTCTCGTATTTAATACAGTTTCTATAATTCGTATGATTGAGGATTAAACTAATCTGAATTCATTTTATTGTTTTGTTCCTTATATTAAATCTCAATCTCATTAAATCAATCTTTTCAGGGATTTTATTTATAATTGTTAAATTATTTATACTACAAATCAAAAATAATACGCTGTTAAAATGTCTGTTAGTTCTTGGTCTCTGATTGGCTTCACTAGGTAATTCAAAATACCAATTTTTGAACACTATTCTTTCTCTTTATGATCTGTATAGCCAGAACAAGCAATAATAATTTAATTCGGATTAATCTTTAGCACTTCCTTAGCCGCATTAAAACCATTCAATATAGGCATTTCTAAGTCCATAAAGATCATTCTATAGCCACTACAAGTCTAGCAACATTTTTTATTTTTTAATTTTTCAATGCATTCACTGCCATTCGAAGCTGAATCTATATCCACAATGTTTCTAATTAATCAATGCCAATACTTACTTTTTATTCAGTAATTTAGTGAAGGTAAAAACATTAAAGATCTCGTCATCAACTATCAAAACATGAGAACATCTAATAGGGGGTGGTTCCAATTCAACTGACTTTTTGGGTTCCAACAGAAATGCCTAGCCTTCATCAACTTCTTGTGACTATCCTGGATTTTCCTTTACCCTATAACTTGACACCTTCTTCAGTCTAGTTTATTAGATTTACAAGTTAAAGAAGAAATAGGTACCTTAATTTAACTTTGAATCAATCTGTAAGCCTCCGCAACCAATAGAACTTGCTATCTGATTACTGATGACCAATCCTAATCCAACTCCATTCTCATTTCTCTTTCTACTCTCTTCAGAATTCACTTTTGAGAATTGTTTAAAGAGTTTCTTCTAATCGTCATCAGATATGCCAATCCCATCATCTTAAACCCCGATTCTAATTGTTGTGTTGTCTATGTAAGATACTAGAATTGTTATTTAGTTGGATGCAAATTTAAAGCTATTGCTCAATAAATTCACCAAAATTTATTTAATTCTATTTCTGTCACTCACAACTATAAAAGGAGCTTTGCTATCATAAATGTAAGATAAATTTAATTTCAATATCTTCGCCTTCAATGCAAACAATTTCAAGCATTCTTTGATTAATTATTCCAAATTGAATCTTGTTTATTGCAATGCAAATTTACCGTTTTTGATTTGAGCCAAATCCAGTAAATCATTTGATAAATTTAATATATAATATGAATTGTCCAAAGCAGCTTGAAGCATTTCAGAATTATCCATAGTTAATTAATTAGAGTGCAACACATTCTCTATCATCTAAATAATGCAATTCAGGGGAGACCTGTATTCATGACTTACATAGGATAACATCTTCGATTTCTATAGGTCATATTCTCTCAGATATTTGATTTTTTATTTGTGTGTTATGTCTCGAATCAATAGGAAGAATAGGTTGTTCTCCTTCTTTGAAATCGTCAATTCCAACATTTTCTCCGTCTTCCTATCACTCTAAGACATCGTCACCCCATTATTAGGAAATATTGTATGTAATGTGAAAAATTCATTCTAAAAACTATTTTATTTAAACTTACTAAATATTTCTTTGAATTAATTTACAATGTTTTTTTCTTGATTCATTTCAAATAAAATCTAGTGGTGTGGATTAATGGATTAATTTATGTGATCACTCTTCAAAAATGCCATACTCTTACACAATTATTTTTGTTGGTTCATCATTAAGAAATTTTCATCTTATGAATCATGTTATTAATATTTAAGGCTGTTTAAAGTATTTAAAATATCAATTATTTCTTTGGCTGAATTAACTGAAAATAATGTTTTTGATGCTATATTTGAAAATACTATCTCCATTTCTTAATTCAATTAGTTTAATCTTAAAACCACTAAGCCTTCATGAGTAAATTACATCATTACATCTAGTATGTTCTGGTTTAAAATTTGATTTGGAAAGGAGTAATCAGGCACGAAAAAATGAGAGATTGGGTATTCCTTACTTTTTGGAGACAGCTTATCTGAATCTGACTGTGAAGATGCCCGTTCTTTCCTGTTTATTAATTAGTCTGTATTCTAATTTCGTTACGAATCACTTAATTTGTTTCTTGGTGCGACCACCTTTTACATTCCGTTTGTGAAATTAATCAACAATGAGAAGAACAAACTAAATGTGCACTAATAAAAGGATATATCAATTTAAGAAGTTTAAGATATGTAAACAATCTACAAAAAACTTGATTAAAGCAATAAAACGAGCCAAAATAATCTACATCTAACAAAAAAATACTATGTTTGAAATCTTTTAAAATCTTCAAATAGTTGTGTTGTGATAAAATGAACAATGATAACATATGCTGTACTTTCATTCTATGAATTTCTTTCATTTTAAATCAGAAACAAACATAAGCTTAATTGTATCAATATTATGCTTCCAATGAATTGTGTTGGTTTATTTTTGGTCTAAAAAAAAAATAATAATAGAGCCAATAGAGCTTAGATCGTCAGATATGCTAAATTCGTATTTTCCCAAGATGTTAAACAGTAATAAATTGAAAACCCCAATCCATTTATTTAAAATAGGATCACTATCAATCTTGAAACAGGTTTCATTTATCAAATAATAAAATTAAACAAAACCTTTTAAATAGCTTTAATTAATATACAAATGAGAGGGCGGCCTTACAACATTTTAATTGACACCATGGTATATGTTTAATAAAGCGTAATAATACAAGAATTTCAATTATTTACTTGAGAATTTTATTTTGAAATGTAGTCATAAATTCTAAGGTTACTAAGAAAACCTGAGTATTATTGAATAAATTTAAAAAGCATTGTGTTATTAAATAGGGAGTGGATTTAAGGAAAAATCAATGAAATTAGAAGGATTCCAAATCGTATGATGTAATAGTATCATTGAGTTAGGTTAAAATATATTCTCTACTTCTAATAAAATGCGTATAAATTAGATTAATTAGATAATAAGTTATAAAACAAAAGAATTTGTATTAAATTTTTATTTTTAATTTCTGACAAATCAAGATACTGGATTCATACATAAAAAAAAAATATTGTAAATTTCAAAGTTTTAATAGGACTTTTTTTACTATTGCTTTGTGCTTGATGTGACTGGTTTTTTATCTTATTTTTGAATTATAAATATAACATGTACTTTCTTTCCTTAAAAAGTTATTACTATTATTATTCAAAAAAAATACCCTAAAATTCTTATGGCTTTAAGATATTCTTCATCCTGGGTGTATTTCACTAGATGAAATAGATTTCTGAGCTGATTTACAAGTTCGCTCATGAACAACAGAAATTGATTTCCTTTTTCTTCTCCAAGGATCTGGTACACAGTTTTTTTTTATCTCAAAGCATATTGGACTATGGCTTTAGAGAAGTTTTTTTATATATTTGTTGAGTCCACGAGCAAATTAGGTTTTAAATTATTCCCTTTATCATCGGATTAGATTTAAACTGAAGGTGTTTATATCTATTCGGAGGTTTTCTCAAAATCAACAATAGAAACAGACTTTTAAGGTCTTGTTTAAACAATATTATCCTCTTGTTTTATTTGATCATCTTTCTTCTTTATAATGAGAACAGGCTGAGCCTACATTATTTGGTATTATGGATAAGATGTGTTTTAAACAGGATAATAGTACTAAGGAACACATTATGGATAGTATTGTCTTTAGGGAGTGGCCATGTAGTTCTGAAATATGTTCTGGTACATTAAATAATTATTGTTTTTTCAATTTTTTGTTTCACATTAAAATCGTAGTGAGAATAAAACTTATGTTTCCGAATGATTTGAATATCAGCCAATTAAATTAATGTGTTGATATTGATTTCAGAAATGGTGCGATAAGAAAATTTTAATAGTTTTATATCGCATAGAACGTCGATTAGGATTCTGGAGAAAAGAATTTATTAAGAATTAATATCGAATTAACAAATTATTTTTAACTTTATGTACAAAAATTAGTTATAAAATATAATTTTTATTTTATCTGATAAACTCACATTCACATTTTAAAATACTTTTCAAAATCTTTATCAGTCGTTGGACACACAGTATTACTTTTAATACATGTATGATGTGCAATGACAGCATTTGGATAAACGACAAATACCTAAAAGTTAATTAAAACAATTTTACTTTTTCTCCTATTGATCTACTACAAACAGCACATTTCTTCTCAGATGTAATCCTTACACTGGCTTACTTAGTACTGGCATTCAGACATTCAACATTCAATAAATCCATGTCTGATAAGTGAAATGCAGCCTTGGTTGATCTTTTCTAATGTAATGTATGGCCTTTCAATTAATTTTGTAATTACTTATCACACTATTTAAAAATTAAAATAATCCATCATCTTCGCCTTAATCAGCTAAGATCCAATTCTCTGGTATCATTTCTAATACTTCTAAAGCATTTAATTGAGAATGTGTTGCATATTTCTTCAGGAAATTGTTAATTGTAATCTAGATTCAAATATTTAATTATATTACTTTAACTTAACTAAATGCATATTAAGTTTACTGATCTGTTGGTCTTTCCTTGTATTTACTTTCCAAAAAGAAATATAGTTCTTTGTACTTTAGATTAAACAATATTTCATACCTTTTTGAATAGTTTTGTTAATAGATTGTCAGTGTAATCACAGCAATATTTCTCAGCCCAATCATAATATCCCAGATTTAATAATTGACTCAATGCCTCCTCATGTCTTTTCTCTCGACCATACAATAGGATTACTTCTCCAATCATCCAAGAATCCTTTACTTTCTTTTCCAAAATACTAGAAGAATTGTATTTGGCATTTGGATTTTTCAAGTACTTTTTCAAAGAAGAATATATTTCCCCAGCTATTTAATTCTTCTTCATATCAATCTAAGATGGTGAGATGTCCTTAGGGAATATATTAAATAAGGAATCTATGTATGAATATGCTAATAAAGTATGGAATCTTTCTTCTTCTGTCTACTTCTCTAATACTAAAACTTCTAAGTATTTTTCTTTTAATTTTCTCTTCAGATCTGCTTCCATTTCTTATTCTTCCAAGAATTTTAACATTTAGTCTGGAGATACAATACTTTCACTCACATAAAAGATTTAAATTCCTGTTTTGAATTACTTCTTGAAAACCCACAAAATGAACTTGAATATTCTATTCTTATCTGGATTCTGTTTGAGTATTCTTGTTGTTTCTTCACAAGCCTCTTGTTGAACTTATTAATTCAACGAATCACCACCTATGGTCCTCCAAACTTCTAGAGACAAATCGATTTTATTAAACGATTCATAAAACCTAGCTAAAATACCTTATTATTGTTCAATTTATTTATTATTTTAAAATATGGCCTATAATTCAGCATACATAGATAAACAATATATTTGATTACAAGATAAAAAGTTTTTCAATTTTGGTAATTATAAAGCTTCTAAATATGCCTTTATTAATGCAAAATCTATGAGTTCCAAAAGTTATTCACATGGTATAGCATGCCATTAATTTTGATTGTAAATTTAAGTACTAGTCAACAAAGTCAATTTATCCTTCATTGAATATGCATATTGAGTTGAAGTTAGAATGGCTCTTTTCTTTTCTAAGATTTCAATCAAGAATTCTCTTGCTAACAATTTTAATTCTTAACTCTTCTTTGGATCACCTTTATTGTTTTCTTATACATATTTAGCAATAATTAATGAAATAGTATTCTAAGATGGATTTGGATTAACTGATTCTAATTTCTCTACAGCATAGTAATAATCTGGGAACAAACAAATGAAATCTCTTGGTTCAAAGTTTGTTTATAAGATATAATTCAATGAATTCTAAAACTACATCTATCTAATCAAAGCCCAACCACAATCCAATTTTAACTATTCCAATTACTAATTCTTTGATGCATCTTAGTTTTAATTGTATTGTTAAAATACTTGAAGTGCATCTTCCACCTTACCTTACTTTAGTAAATCTTAAATCTATTGTTCAGGAGGTGTTTAATATAAGTAGATGATCTAAAAATGTTGATACAATAATTCATACTTCACTAGAACTTCCATAAAATAAATGGTTTGATGTTTAAGTAATGCATTTAGCTGACGATGACAATTAGATATCACTCATAGGTTTAGAATCCAATAAATTGAACACTTGTATTAAGTTATCGAATAGTACTATAAGATATTACTTAAATATAGTTATTATTTATATTGATTTGTTTTGTATTTGGATAGTACTCTTCTATTTCATTTAGCCATCTTTGCCAATAAAAATACCCACATTGTTAGTTGTTATTATTAATATTTCATCACTATCAGTAGCCTTGAGATATGGATTATTGCCAATGTCCACAATTAAATTGGCTACTTGTAGTTATTTATCATCAAGATTTATCACAGAATAATTTTTCTTCGATATTCCAAAATAAAATAAGTTTCCTATAAATGCAATTGTTACGGGAATGTCTGGCAACAAGAATCTCTCTCTCATACATTCAAATTTCCCTGCTTTCTAATTGTACTATAAAATGAAGCCTTCCTTCTTCTTTGTCACTATCACTATCTCAAATTAATTTATTTTTGAAAATTCGTTTAAGGCAAATAACGACACCTTTTCTTTTGAGATTTACTCGCCCTTCAGAGTTTTTTCTTCAACAAAAAATAAAGTCTAATCTGATAAAACCAAAAGATTAGCATTTGCTTAAGGGAAAACTTTGATTTAATCAATCCTTGATTTGGTCAAAGGTTTAGATAATGCTTAATTGGCTTGAATAATCATGGCTTAATCAGGCTACAATTGATATCTAAATCAATTAATCATTTACCTATTTAATGTGCCTTTCTCATCTCCAGTGTATAAGACATTTTAATAAGCATCTATGGATGATATCTTGTAGTTTATCTCTAGAACACCTCTCGGATTAAATACACTTCCAAATTTCATTAATATATGTAATACTATATAGATTAATTTTATTTAATATATATATAATAAATCCATGAGGGTTTAATAAGTTCGCTAGGCTTAAGATCATAAACAATTTAGAATATCATACAAAAGCTCTAGTTGATTTCACTTAATAGATAGATTGAAATACTTATTCAATTGTATATTGATAATTTGTTAAACCCATTTTTTTATTAATTTTGATTAATTCTGTAAATTCCTAATATTTTTCATACGAATTCATCTGATTTATTGCATTTCCATAAAATTAGATATAACAATCATGAGAAAAGTCTATAAAATAAGACCAAAAAATGTAAGATTTGATTATTTCTGTTGATAATACTTAATTGATTATATTATATTTTCATATTTGATATATTCTGACTGTGTGATCATCACTACATGAGGCAAGCAAATCATTATTAAATTTAATTCTATTAATTGTTTTTGAATGTTTGTGATATTTATCTACACTGGAAAGCAAATTCAACTCTAGAGTTTATGTCAACTCAAAAGTTTCAAGTTATCCTTAACCATATGCTACTGCAACTATTTATTTGTTATTAAGTAAGACAGAATCAATGGCAGTTATTTCATCTTGAAATTCTATTTCTTTAATTGGCACCGAAGCTTCTGTTGTGTTATAAATTCTAAATTTTTTATCTCTGCTTCCTGTAAATATAAGAGATTCATCATTATTGAAAGCACAAGTGTAAACAATTCTTGAACAAGGCTATGATTTCGATAGTATTTAATAAGTGTCATCATCTTATTTAACAAATACTCCTAAACATCTGTCTTTACTAACACTAATCAAATATTTGCCACTCCTAGAGAAGACTAGTTAGACAACAGTGAAATTATGACAAGGTAATAATTATTTAATTTTGAATGTGTTTGTATCCCAAATGATAATTTCAGCTGCTTTAGATGTTATGGCAACAGAAGATGAGGCGGCTATATTTTAATGTATAGCTATTGCCTAGATTGCATATCCATGTCCATATAATTTATTAGTCTCTGGCCATAATGATTTCTTTGCAAGTAAGGCATCATTTGGAGGTTATCCATATTTGATTTCAAGATTGACTTCTACTTCATTATTTTTAACACTATTATATTTAAAATAGAATTTTACTTCTCATCTTCCTCATCTTCAAATTGCATTTGCACATTCATCAATCCAAGTGCCTATTGTATTCCTTCAGTTGCTAATTTAAATTCATTAAATTGTCTATTGTTATATGTTACGATTTGTGAAGGGATATTCTAATTTAAAAAAACAGATGAATTGATATTCTATTCATTCAAATAATTAAGCTAATTAATGGTAAAAGGAGACGGATTGAACATTCTTAATATTTTCTCATCGCCTCCACTTATAATTTAATTTCCAATCTGTTTTATTGCGTTTAAATCATAACCATGGATTTATGGTCTAGATATTTCATGATATGTATCATTTTTAATCCACTTAGTGAATATTCTACTAGTTTAATCACTACTACAAGTCAATACATAATCCTTAAAATCCAAATCTGTCACCTCTGCATAATGACCTGTAACTACAGGCTATTCTACCCAATTATCCTATTCTTGTTTCCATATATAAATTGCTCCAGTCAAAGTATAACATATAATGTATTATTTATCAAATGACGTTTACAATCCAAATATCTAATTCTTATTCCCACTTGTTTGCCCTAGTCTTGAAACACTTAACCATAATCCTGTATCCTTGTCTTACTTCCAAATGATCACATTATAATCGAATGAACCACTTAAGATTGTGTTCTCATCAAACCAATTCACTGTTGAAACCTCTTCGATATGTCCTTAGAGGATAGTCTCCAATTTGAAACTATACAATTATTATTCAATTCTAAAAGATTTGGTCTTGGCTTCTACTTCATTAATTTTATAGATGCTCCATATTCTAGTGTATGTGTCTTTGGATGCACTTGCTAATTGTAAATATTCTTAATTTTTTAAGTGAAATTGCAAATGATTTAGACTTCTCTGATGGCCCTTCACTGATGCCTTATACTGCAATTAATTGTTTTCTAGAATGTACAAATGAATTTGAGTATCCACACCACTAAGAGCTACAAAAGTGTGTTTGTCAAATTCTATTGCATCAATGTTCTCCATCACATTATTACCAAACTCAAGCTTTGATAGTTCTTTTAATTCCAAATTCAATACTGTAACCAGACCATCGATTGATAAGGCTATGATATATTGACCTATGACTTTGAATAATTATATTGATTCATTCAATTTTGCCTCATACAGAACTTATGAATCATTAAATATTGCTATTTTCCCTTCACCATCTGCAGCTACCAATGTAGTTGCATTCAAAAACCTAACGTAATTGACCCTCTTATTAAATATCGAATATGAATAGATAATCTTTAATTTCTTAATGTCATACACTAATATCTAAGATATTAATCATTTTACTTGATTGCTACAAGGAAATGCTATCAAATGTTAGTTTTCTTCAAATTAACAAACATCAAGACCATTATAGACAGAATTACATCCACCTGAAATGAATATACTTTTCATTCTTAATTAATTATTTAATTAAAGAAAGAATAATGGATTATCAATTACAATTATTATTAGAAGTTCCATAATGCAAATTATTTGAAATTAAAAATCAATAACCCAAATAAGTTGATGCTGGCACTCTACATGTAAGTTTGATCATAAATATTAATAGATTTATTAATCAGAGTAACTTAAATTGTCTTTCATAAAATTCAGCCAATTCTAATATACATTGCAAAAAAATATCCCAGTAATGGTGGCTTAACTAGTTAATGGTAGCAAGATGTACATTTTTCCTGGTCTTAATGAGATTTTTTATGGAATCATTGTAGAAAAATAAGATTAGGTATCTGATACTTTTGAACATCTTCTCTCAATTAATGTAAGACTTGTGATTTCTTCACAAAAACAGCACTAAAATGTTATGTCTAAGTCTATATATTAAGGAAGAAGCAATATGAAATAATTAGATGACCAATAAAAATTGTCTTAACAGGATTTAATGTTAAGAACAGGAATAATGCAAGTCAATTTATGGGATCATGTTGGGTAAGGTGAGAAACCTCCTGGAGTTAGTGATTATATTAAATAAGGAGGAAATGCTATTAGATAAGGTTTAATTTCTGTAGCTGGATTCATTGGAGAGGGAATTAAGAAAGGAGGAGAATTGATTTCTGAAAAGATCACTGATAAAGAGTAGAAAGAAGTCTCAGAAGATACATTAAATAAAGTTAAATTAGTGAATAAGGGATCTAAAGCTATACTTCAATTCACCAAAGCTTAAGTTGATGCCTTGATCAATTTAGGAAAGTTGATAGCTGATGAAGCTGAGAAGCAATTTGAGAATAGTGAAACTGGTAAGAAAATGCAAGAGCACAAATACTATGATGATGCTAAAAATGTTGGAGGAGCTGCTGTCGTTGCTGTTGTTAGTATTTATGATGGATTAACGGAAGCATTAAGTGTACTATTGGATTGCACTGGTTAAGCCACTACTGAGGTAATTCAAATATTAATCTTTTAGGTTATAAAAAATAAATATGGAGATAAGGCTAGTGAGCTAAGCAAAGAAGGATTTGAAGCTGCGGGAAATGTTCTTGCATTTGATAAAATATATGTCTAAGCAGCAGCTAAAGCAGTATTAGAATAATAATAATAATAACAACAACAACAATAATTATAAAAATAATGAGTTGCTTTTCATAATTTATTGTAATTTATTTTATCAATATCAAATTAAAATAAATAGATTAAATAATTATACAATTTAAATATCATTGCTCTTTTTTACTACTTCCTCCTTTACTTGATTTTTTGTTTTTAAATTTATATTTCTCTTTGTAGAACTATTTTATTATACAATTGAAATTGTTATGAGGTAGATACTCTGAGAAATTATGAATTTTATCAAATCCTTCTAATTCATATTAATGAAATTATCTTTGAAATTAATCTAATTAACGAAAAATAAGCGTTTCTTTTCTCATAATTTTTCTTTTTTCATTAACTATTAAGGAAGGTTTATTGTTTTAAATTATCTAAGATTAGTTGTGCTTTTCACTATCTATTTTTCTCGAATTTAATTTATCACAGTATTTAATTTCCACAAATGTATTTTTTTTAGAATCCTGTTTTGGAAGTGACTTGTTTGATACAAATTTATTCTCCGAGATTAATTCAGACTCTTAACTACAACTTAATGAGTCTGATACTTAATATTTGACCATGTTATCTGTATTTATGGAATCTAGATAGTCTTCTTAGATTTATTTTATAATTTATTAATTTTATTAGATAATTATTAATGATTTAAATTTTATATTTTATCTACTTTAGGAAATCCTATTATTTATATGCGATTGATTCGTTTTCAAAATATTAATATATAAATTGGGTTAATAAGTCATAAACGGACATTCCATTTATATATGAGTATATTAGCCACAAAGATGGCATTTCATAGAAATAGCTGAAAATTATTTTGAATAAAGAATGCTATCTTTTATCTTAAAAAATCGTTCAAAATCTTTTTGATTATTTTTGATGATATTTATAAATTGTTCTCTATCTATTTTGTATAATTGAGTGAATCCAACACTTTTTATAGATTCTCTCGTATTTTGACCTGTAAAAAACTGAAATTCTCCAAACGTTTCTCCAGCTTTCAATATCTTTACGATTTTCTAACTCTGTTCTTCAACTACTTACACTTCGCCTTCTTTAATAAAATATCTAAATGCATAAATAATAATATTGTACAAATATTTATCCTTATAATCATTCCTATGATAAATATAATCATTAGGTGTAAACTTCATTTCAACTAAGATATTGTTTAATTTATTTAAGGTTGAAATTTAGAAATTATCGGTAATCACTTTGATTTTTGAGATTACCTTATATTGAATGTTTTATTCTATTTATTTCACTAGATTTAGTGGTAATTCATTAATTATTTTAGTGGTTTCCTCCTGATTTTCAAGCACATTATTGCCAATATTATACTTGATGTAATTTTTTACTCTTCTTTGTATTTGTTAATCTACATCATTTTTGGACATGAATTAATTCATTAAAATTAAAGTTCGTCTAAAAATATGATACTTGATTACTTAAACTTTGTTTATTAATCATATATTGCTTTGACAATTACTCCAATAGAATTCATAGTATAAGCAAACATACAGCTAGAGGATAGCATAATAATAGTAGCAAATGTTACTTCAGATTGATTCTTAGGCGTAATGTCACCATATCCTACAGTTACCATAGTCATTGTTGCCCAATAAAAAGAATAATTATATCTAATCCATATATTTTCATCAAGAACATTGTAATAACTCAGCCAAGAACCTTATTTTTAAGTGAGTTCTCCTACATAATGCCACAAACATGCCATTGTGTGTGCAAAAAAATAAATAGTAATTATTAAAGTGACGATATTCAATATATTACTATTAAATCCTTTTAAGAATAGTTGCTCTATCAAAATGTTATATTTCCTATTTATCTTCCTAATAATAATTATAAATTAAATAATCGCCATGGTTTCATTTACAATAAATTTTAAATCAAAATCAAAATAAATTAAAAACCAAATAGTAAAACTGATTAGATCTTCTAACAATTAGGTTTTTAAATAATTTTTCCATATTTATGTAATTTCAACAACAACTTCAGTGTTAATTATAATTGGCCGATGTATTGAAAACAAAAATTCCAAAATATTATAACAAAATATCATAATTTCTATAGACTTAAATGTATTAATATGCTAGCCAAAGGAAGGTATGAATGAGGATAAAAATAGAGAGATAAATAACAGAAGTAATGAAATCAAATCCCAAATTAAAGTAAAGTTTCTATCAGGCATTAATAAGTAAATTAACATTTTTTGGTGCAAATTATGTATTTATTACCTTGCATAATAAAATAAATTATTACAACTCAAACACTTAATTTGTTGATTTTGGTTTATCTTTTAACTCTTATAAATATTCTTCGTTTTCCAGTATTTTTTTCATCCTCTAAGGTATCACATAAGATGAAGAAAGCAAATTATGTTTAAACTTATTAATCAAACTTGAATTTATTATTGCTTTAATAATATTAGGTGTCTCTAACTTGCCAATCTTTTCATTTTTATCCAATTATTGATTCCTTCCCTCCATTAAGTTTCTTCTACTTACCTTGATAAAATTGTTTTAGACTTGCTAATTGGTTGAATTTTGGCTGGCCATTTAGTATTTTAATTTCTAAATTTAATAGTTTATTGGTGGTTATCCATCATTTTATGGAATTTATTAAGGCTTTTAGCTTGATTCTGAATAAATAGATATTTTTGAAGGTGAATCTTTTTTATATAAATTTACTTCACATTACTCTATACATGGTCCAAAATAAAAATCCTGTAAGAGACAATTCTCTGTCCTATTTGTGTTCATTTATATTAAATGAAAAATATATTTGATGAAAATTAATTATTATCAATAAAGAGTTTCGTTGATTTTTCACTTACAATAATATTTATATAATTATTTATCTCTATTCCAATATCTCACACTCCCTTGTAGATTATAATAAATTTATAATTTGAATGAGCAAAATGGTATGTTAATTTGCTATAATTTAATTTATTTTGTGCAAAAGTATCTTATTCTAGAACATATTAAATAATTAAAATATAAAAGTTTAAAAATAAAATATTCCCATATGAATATACCAATACCAAAACAGAATAAAATTTATTTTTGATTGGTCATCAATTTCAATTGCAATTGCAAGATAGTATTTTTTCGATATTATTAGTGCTTTTTATGTCTATCTAATTTAAAATGCTTTAATTTCTTAAATATATTTAAACATAGATACCTCAGTACTTTTAATTTGTTATTATTGTCTTTCTAAATCAAAAAGCTTGAATTCCTTTCATATCTAATTGTTATTAGAATTAAGTAAATTCTTATTAAACGTCCATTCCACCTTACTCCAACTAAGTACCGTTTTTAGCATTTTTTCCCATTTTTACATTTTATTATTACTCAATAGGAAATTGCCTCAAATTTTCTTTTTCAGTAAATGAATTTAAAAATAGATCTTATCATTATTTTAAAATCATATTCATCCACTTCGATCTTTTTAATTTACTTAATGGGATGATGATGATAGTTAAGGATTTCTATTTTATTCAAGTACTTATAATAATAATTAATTTATTCGCATGAATTATGTTTAAATTATATAAATGAGCCTAATTTGAGTGGTTGTTGCAATCAATTCATCAAAACATTAGATTCAATCTCTACTTGAGATTTTCTATTTTTAGATTTGGCATAGTCATTATATCACGTAGTAAAGTTCCTTGATAATTTTAACAATTTTTAGTACTCTTAGATTAGATTAATGAAATTTGAAGTTTGATAAGTGTATTAATAAAATTAATAAATATATTTTTTGATATTATCACAGATTATTAATTAAGGCAAGATTTTTATATAAGAAACCACTTTTAGTAGAAAACATAATGTTTTCATCTGATCTCAAGGGGAGTTTATATTTTACAAATTATGTATTAGGATTGGATAGGTATTTTAAGAAATGTGAATAAAGTGATAAAAACAACGATTAATATATGGAATCTTATTATCATGTAAAATTCAATTTTAAATTGGATTCTGATTGTCTAATTAATAGAAATGTAAATAAATTCAATTTTTAATGTTTAATTTCTAAAACAGTAGTATGATAATTAATGATTAATCAATAAAGAATATCGAAATTTCAAAATTTACTCCAAATTTTATTTGTAACTAGGTAGGATTTAGAATGGTTCTAGACATACATTATTATAAAACGAAATTCAAAAGGATAAGGAATATAGAAAATGAAATACAGGAAAACTTGGACTTATTGAGAAAGCAGATTTATATGGATAGTTATTATTCTGTATTTATTGTGATATCAATGGATAATGAACGTAGTTTACCGTTTTATTTAATAATTATATTCTTTATAATATGAATAAGGTGTTAGTGTTATCACTGATATGTCTAATTAGCATCAGAGGATTTGAAATTGACTTCTAGTTGCTTTTACAAGTATGAATAATTGCACTAATTAACCAAAAGACAGGATCTGAATCAAATGATGCAGTATAGGCTGTTTACGATTTATTGAATGATTTGAAGACAAGCAATATCGAAGCTTAGGGAGTGGCAGATGAGAAGAACATTTCAGATGAGGAAATTGGATAGGCTAGAATAGCTGCTTTATCGAAAGTGAACGAGTTGAACCAAAAAGCATGGGCAAGTGCTAAGGCTAGAAGAGAATAAATTGGAGTTGAATACAGAGTAACGTTTAGAGTGATATGAATGTATAGGAAGCAACAGATTACATAGCTTGGGCTACATAAAGATTAGCTGATATTGATAGAAGATCCATTGAATTATAGGAGTTGAGATGTTTTTCAAATGGTTTGTTTGTGAGAGCCATCAAATAACATAATGATGCTTTGGGAGTGATCAGAATATTAAAGAATGATTTAAGTGGTTATTTGACAGGTTAACCATCCTCATTGGTTGAAGTGAATGTGTAAAATGTATCAGACAAATTGAAATAATACAGTCAACTGTTTAATCAAGATGCAATGACCAAATTTGCACAATTAGCAGCAGAATAGGCATCAGGAAATGCAGAGTTGCATGCTCTTGGTCAAGATGAAGGATCATCATCAGACAGACAACCAGGACACAACATTGGTCAATTGGTTTATAATGCTCTTTCAGATCTCGAGGATTAGTTGAAAGGATCGTTAGCCAATTTGGAAGCCAATGAGATTGCAGCCTATTATCAATTAGCCGATTGGTTGGCAGATACAGAATCTGAAGTGGCTCATCTCAATGATGAAATCTAGAGAAAGACTTAATTATAAGACAAATTGGTTGTGGTATGTAAGTCTGGCTATAATTGTATAGTAAGAGCAAGCTGCCCTTGCTGTGTAAGCCAAAGCCAACAGTGTATTGAAGGATTCTCAAAATGCTATAAATGCAGCTACAGCTTCCTTGTAAGAGTTGAGAGACTTGTATGAGACTGAGTTGAATAGAAGAAATGGTAAGAGTTTGAAATTAACATTTAAGAGGAAAATGCCATAATCGACGAGGTTATTCATATTTTCAAATAATAAGTATTGGAAATGGCTAATTAAACTTCTTATGGAAAGAAATGATTAATATCGATATATATTAATATTAAAATTAGAGAAAAATATTATAAGGCATTTTACATTATCATTGCATTAATTTGGGATAATTGAGTAACATAATCAAAAGGCCAGTTTAGTATAATAAAATTGTTTTTATTATATGCCTAAACATAATCCTATATATACACCCAGGGTATAGATAAATATTAACATTAGTTTGACGAAGTATTGACTGAATTGGTTGGCACACTTGGAGAAGCCAAATGGGCAGAAATTACTAGACAAATGAAAACGATTTATGGACTTTCTATCCCCCATAAACCAATGGTGTAAGCTAGATGGAGAGCCATAGATCCAAAAATTAATAGACAAATATTTTCAGCAGAAGAAACAGTCACTCATTGGCATATTTGTGTCAAATATAAATGTCATTGGGATGCAGTCAAGGCTGAATATGAAGCTATTGGTTAAATTAGAGACAAATGTTTTTTGAGTCAAAAATTCTATGCACACTTCTAATTCAAATTAGTTGATCTTAATAGAATGATGGGTAAGATGGTAGCCTACAATTAACCTAAAATTGAAAACATGAGAGATACAACAAAAAAAAGAATCTTGGAAATCAATGCCAGAGAACCAGCCAGTGTTAAAGATCAATCTGCTAGAGAAATCATATAAAGTTGTTAAATGCTAATCAAATTATTGACTTATGTCGTAGACAATCACAAAGAAGATTATAAAGTGATTACAGAAGAATTGAAGAAGATGATCACTCCAGAAAAGTTTGCAAGAGTCCTCTAAAACATATTCATTATTGATTTAATTGTGTTGATTGCTTGTAATGAATTGAAACCATCTGATGAAACTCCAGATTTCATTAAAATGGATGAAAGAAAGAAAATCAAGTATAAAAAGCCAACTAAAGTTAAAAGATGGGATGAAGCACTTCTATAAAGTTCAAGTCCAGAAAACACTGAAGATGAAGATGTACTCAGAACTGAATAGGAAATCAACAAAGTTACTGGAGGAACCAATTTCACAAAAGCAGACATGGAAGAAATTAAGTAGAGTCCAATTTATTGTGTTTGCAATACAGATTAAAATCAAACATTTTATGATTGGTATAATGAGGCTAAAATTCAGAAGGCAACTTTAAAAACTGACTTATTGGTTGATGTTATGGATATCATGAGTAGCAAAGATAAATAGAAATCTGAGAAAAGCAAGCCTCCTGTTTAAAAAAGAACAGCTTTATTGGCTAAGAAATAAATGAAATTGATAGAAAAGAAGAAAAATGAACTTATGAAACAAGATAAGGATGATAAAATCAAAACTGTGAGAGGCAAAATAAAAATTGATAAAGAAGTATTTCCAGGGTGTTACACTAAATTTTTTGACAAAGAGGATGAAGATGATTATGAGGATAGTCAAGACAATCCAATATATTCAGCAATCGATGCAGATTAAATCTATTAAATTATTATGCAGTAGAAGTAGGCACAAGATAATTGAATAATTCTTATTATACATAATATTAACATCTATAGTATTAACTTTACTAAAATAAGGTTTTCTATTTGCAATTAATTTTATATGATTAAGACATATATTATTAGATTTATTTAATATCAAACACAACCCTTATTTTCAAAATTCCAATAATTGGTTATTTTTAAAATATTATTAATTCTATTATGTACATAGTTCTTAATTATTAGAATTTATTATTTGATCCTATAAAGTCGAATAAAAAGGAGAGAGCATTGTAGTTAGATATTTCATAAATACAAATATTATATCAACACTCCTAAATCAATATATGCTATAAGAGAGTTCTTTAGAGTTTAAGCGATTTTTTAAAATTTACTAAGTCTCTGAATTTAGCAATAGCATTAGTTATAATTAGAGAATTCTTGTTTATATAATAAATTAAAATATATATATCCATCAAAGATAGTCATCAATTATATTTTAATTAGGCTACAAGTATTTTTCAAGAACTTTTTCTTTCCTTCTTTAAACTGCCTTTTATGCAACATTCTTTAGATCTTATATGCGAATTTCTTTTTCTTTTCTAGATTATTCAATTTCTTTTTGATTTTGCTTAATTTAGAATGAATTATTTAAGTTCATTGATATTCCTAATGGAAAGTGAGCTTAATTGTTTAAGGTTTAGTTAGTGTGAAAAGGTTTGTATTCAATAAAATGTTCTCTTTTATCAACTTGAATATTTGATTTATACGAATTAAAGAATTGTGCCTCTTTTTAAGTTTATTAATTCTATTATTCTTGATTTGAAGTTCCAAATTTTTCAATAGAAGTCATTTTTTAAGGGTCAGGAGCTTCATTCATTCCTTATATTAAATTAATATATTTCCAAATTATTTAATAGAAAATAATTATGTTACCATAAAACACTAATCAAAACCTTATACACACTAATTAATGAAGTTGATAATTCAAATTGTTATCCATAAATTTTATTTTAATTTATCACTTATGTTTTACAAATTTTTGAATTCTCTATTGATCTGAAACTTTTATATTTTTTGATCAATCTGTAATATGATCAAAATTAAATAACTTAAGACATAATTCGGAAGCTTAATAATTTATTGAGGTAATCTATAAATAATTATAGTAAAAAATTTATAAATTTTTGATAAAATCTTTACTAAATTTCATTCCATAACATTTGTATCAGTGTTTGCATAAAAGCGGTTTTAATCATATCTACATGATTGCTACATTCTTAACACCCATTAATAGAATTTAAATGGCGCTTTGTTTTCTATAAATTTCTTAAAGGAATTGCTATTGTATCTGCTCATTATTACACCAAATAACTAGATAAATTAATTTCAATACTTCAAAATCTGCTTCATCTGGTTTCTATCCTCCATGAAACTGTTATCCATTTAACCTTTAAATCCATTCATTCAAACCTTCAAGTAGTTCTGTTTAAGCTTTAAAATAGGCTTCCTTTTATCTTATCATTTAGTAAATGTTTCTTGTACTTTAGGTAAATGCTCTATATCCAACCTTTAACATATAATTAATGAGTAAATAATTCTTAGAATCTTTAGCATAGGAATCTGGACTTGATTTGAAAAGGTTTTGCCATGTTAGCATGGGATTTAAGAAGATCAAGTCTAATGGTTTTTTAATTTTCTGCATGACGCACTCAATTCCTTATTGGGCAGCTATTGTATTGGTCATGTGACTAGGATTCAAGATTAATTCTTTGTTTATCAGAAAAGAAACAATGTTTTCTGGGCCTGTTACGAATTATGTTGAATCTAGAGAGACATTTACTTTCAAGACTGGCCATTCCCATTTCTCAAGAGTAATTACCTTTGCTTTCTTTGCGAAATCTAAAAACAACATATTTTCGACTTTATCAAAACTGATATTGTAATAATTCAATATAGAGAAGGCTTTTTAACAAAGATGACAATCATGTCTAATTTAATAATATTAATACCTCATATAGAGTACAAGTTAAATTACAATATCTGTTTAAGGACTATGCCAAAATATTTATAAATCTCTGCCTTGTAATTCTTCCTTTGAAAATTATCGATTAATTGTTCTTCTTTATTCAATGATTCCATCAATTGAACTTTTATTTTGAATCTTTGAGAAACGAAATAGTTACCGCAATTTAATCATTAATTATTTTATAATTGTTAATTCAAATAAATGATAATAAAACTCATGAAATGTATTTCTTCTTTATTTTCTTTAAAACTTATCTATCTACTTCACAAAGCACTTTGATTTTTATTTAGACGAAAAAACCAATTATTTTCATGCACTTTCTTTATCAAAATATAGTAATTTATTATTTCAAACTCTTAATATTTAAATCTCATAAAACACTACAATTTGAGTAACTGCTTTCATATTATTGTTAAAGTTCATTATAGGCTAATATATTGATCATATTTTAGATTAAATTTCAGTTGAGTAACCATCTAGTCATGCTATAAAATCGTAATTATTCTAGTTCGTTTATCTATTCAACTCAAAATTATTATTCAATTCCTGAATTTATAGACAACAAGTAAATTTTAGAGATCAAAATATACATTTTCAATAAAAAATATGCAAAATTTATTTTCCATAATAATTTCAAATATTAAAATATGAAACAAAAATAGTTAAGACTATTATTTTTTACTTTTAGATTTTAATTTCAAAGATTATTAATTTTATGAGAATTATATCAATTTGATATATTTTCAGTCTGGCTTTTCTTTGAAGTATCAGTTTCAGTTTGAGGACTAGAACGGTATCCTCCTTTGACTTATTTCATAACTGGGACTTAGTTTATTGGAGGTAGTTCATTTTAAAAGTAATCAATTCTTATTTATTAATCCAGCAAAATCAATTAATTTTATGAAGGGCTGGTCAAAATGGCATCCAAGTTATGAATAGATTAATGTAATGATAAATTTTTTGCTCTTATCTTTGGAGATGCAAGATTGTCCATATTTTCTTTAAAGAAATGATGATTTAATGCTTCAATTGGCTTGATCCTTTGTTTAGGATCGATTTACAACATTTAAGAAAGTAAATGTTAAGCACTTTATGGAATTCGTATTAATTGAAGATTCCTTAGATTAAATAAGCATTTTTGGTTTTCTTTCAAAGTATCATCTCTACTGACTCCTTAAAATAGATCTTATTTAACCAATCTAAAATTATTAAACTAACTAATTTACAATTTATAAAATACACAACCCAAAGAGAACATGTCTGATTCTGTAGAATATTTGTTTTCCCTTAAAATTTCAGGAGCTATGAATCCAGGAGTACCTAATATTTTTTGATCAGAACCAGAAATGGAAGCTTTGGCGAAGTCAATTAATCTCACTGATGCAGTTTGCAGTTTTTGATCATAGATAATATTGTCTGGCTGGATGTCTCTATGGATTACTTATATTTATTCTAGGTATTATAAAATCTTTAAGCACTCGATGATAATTGACTATATCTAAATTAAACTTAATTATTGTTTTTTTGTCGAATTCAATCTACTCAATTTTTATCCCTCTATTTTTTCCATTACAATATAATAAGTATTATTTGTTCTAAAGAATTCAACCAATTTAGGAAGTCCTTAATGATTCAATATTTTAAGTATATTTAGTTCATTGTATAATTAGTTTATGTCTCTAATTTGTTCTTGTTTTATAAGTTTAGCAACATAATTCAATTAATAATCACCATTTGAAATGAATTCATAGCAATAACTATTTTGGCCTTTGGATATGTGCGATCCTAGATTATAAAATACTTAAAAATCAGTAGAAGTAATGCGTTTTTTAAGTGTGGTTCTCAGCGTTTCTATTATTTTGGGCTTAGCATGGAACCATTTAATTTTTTAGTTGATCACTAATCCAAAAGCAGGATCTGAGTTCAAGTTATTCCAACTAATTTCTACAGACCAATTTAAACTTATTGAATATTTTGTTAGTCCTTCAGTCTAATTGATAAAATTCTCTATTTACATTAAGTAACAGTAATTTATCGTTTTGGATATCAATATGATATATCGAATCTCTAAATAAATGTTTTCGAAGGCAAATAAAATCTGATTTCATTAAATAAATATAAAAATGAAGACTTCCCCTCAATCTTTCTAAAGGGAAAATGAAGAAACTGTATGGCATACTCGGAAATAACGCTAAGAGACTGAGAAAGATATCTTATTGATGAAGAATAGACTTAAATTATTGAAGAGAGGGGATGCTCAGTTATCTAAGAGAATTGATGAAACTAAAAAGAAAACAAAATCCATGGTTGAACTGAAAATGAATCATCATACATAGATTGAATAAGTAATTAATATTATGTATTGGAAAATAAATAGAAAAAACTAAGTTAGAAGAATGACGAAGTAATGTTGAAAGATAAATAGAAATTAAATTATAGTCTTAAAAAATAACAAGAAGAATAATTGGAGCTGATTAAGAAAGCTATGGAATAAATCAAATTAGAAGAATACAAAAGAATTAAGTACTCTTACTAAATATCATCTATCTAGAGAAATATCTATCAAGAACTCTGAAGTCATTAGTAAATAAAAGTAAGACTTTATGGTAAAGAACAGAGAGAGAAGAGAATTGATTAAGGGAAATTTATCAAAATCAAAAACTAATGTATCTCTGTTTTGGAATGAGAAACTATCTCATATTCAGAAGGACAATTAAAGGTAATATGCGTTAAGATCTGCTTTAGGGCAAAATTGGAAAATAAGAGAGCTAGCGAATACAATAGGGCTTTATAGGAAAGGTTGGAAATGGAAGAGTCATATATGATGCAAAAATTGATGAGATCACAGGAGGTTTAGAAGAAATTGACATCAAGATTGGAAAAAGCCAAAAATCTACCTCTGGATGAGTACAATCATATGATCAAAGAAGAAGAAGAACTTAATAGACATCTTAAAACGAATAAGAGTGCTGAAGTACCCAGATGGTTACCTACTCCTGAAAAGGAAATCTTTGAAACACAGATCTTCTAGACTGAACCAGCACAAGATTCTGATTAATAAAAATAAGATGGTGACCAATAAGATTAGTAAGGTTGAGATATTCATTTTTATATCAATAATAATTTTACAGGATTTATTAGTAAATGCGATGTAATCCTTGTCATTCACACTTAGTCGTGTTCTGTACTGATAGTGAATGTATGATAATAGGAGTGTATATATTATATATTATAATACAGATATGTATATACTATATATTATAATACAGATAAATATTAATTAAATTGATCATTCTTGTTTTTCTTTGGGTTGTGTTTCATCTTCAACTTTTTACTGATTTTTTTAATTAATTGATGCTAGTAAGATTCCAAGGATGGCAATATCAGCAGCAACAATTTTAAATGCTTGACTTAATTCTGTGATTTCGAAGTCATCCAAAGTCTATACGTGTAAAAAGAGGACAATAAATTATAAGATGGCTAATGCATAATTGATGTAGGAAATGCCAAATAAAATTGAAAATGCAATGACATTAAAGATAATGATCCAAGTTGTATTATCAATCGATTAAAATCCAGTCATGTTGGCAACAATATTCAATATGGAAATGACATGGGTTTCATTTCTGTGAATTTGAATTGACAAATAAACAACGTAGCTAATTATAGGCATGAGCAGGAATTTCTTGATCATAATTAATAATATCTTATTTTATATATTTTTAATCCAATGTTCAGAATTACAACTTAGGCTTTGTACAATCTATAGGCGACAAAGTTAGTTAATCGATTCTGTGTGGTGTCAAAAAACAAACCAGAAGCTGGTCCTTCTTAAGTAATTCAGAAGCATAAAATTGATAGGGCCATTTGACAGACAAATATACAGTGATAGATCACACATATGATGCAGTAGTTGTAGGAGCAGGTGGTGCTGGTTTAAGAGCTGCATTTGGTTTGGTTGAGCTTGGGTTCAAGACTGCTTGTATTTCCAAGTTGTTTCCCACTAGATCTCATACAGTGGCAGCTCAAGGAGGTATTAATGCAGCATTGGGAAACATGACAGAAGATGATTGGAGATGGTACTGATTGAGTTACATCTAGGCATGCATACGATACAATAAAGGGATCAGATTGGTTGGGAGACTAGGATGCTATCTCTTATATGTGCAAAGAAGCACCAAAGGCTGTTTATGAATTGGAAAGTTATGGTTTACCATTTTCAAGAACTCCAGAAGGCAAGATCTATCAAAGAGCATTCGGAGGACAGAGTTTGAAATTCGGAACAGGAGGACAGGCCTATAGATGTTGTGCAGTAGCAGACAGAACAGGACATGCTATGTTACACACTTTGTTCGGAAGAGCCTTGGGATATGATTGTATATTCTTCGTGGAGTACTTCGCTCTTGATTTGATGATGGATGATCAAGGGTAATGTAGTGTTGTTGATTCTTAATCATAGAGCTTGCAGAGGAGTAGTATGCATGTCGATGGCAGATGGCTCAATTCACAGGATTAGAGCAGGATACACAGTGATAGCAACTGGTGGTTATGGTAGAGCATTTTAATCGTGCACATCTGCCCATACTTGCACAGGTGATGGTGGAGGTATGACTATCAGAGCAGGTTTACCAATGGAGGATTTGGAATTCGTATAATTTCATCCTACTGGTATTTATGGTTCTGGATGTTTGATGACTGAAGGATGCAGAGGAGAAGGTGGTATCCTCAGAAATTCTTTGGGAGAAAGATTCATGGAGAGATACGCTCCTACTGCTAAGGATTTGGCAAGTAGAGATGTTGTGTCTAGAGCTATGACTAAGGAAATTTTAGAGGGAAGAGGGTACCTCTTAGATTATTATCATTTATAGAGTTGGACCAGAAAAGGATCACATCCATTTGCATCTCAATCATTTGCCTGCTGAACTCTTGCATGAAAGATTACCAGGAATCAGTGAAGCCGCTAAAATATTTGCAGGTGTCGATGTCACAAAAGAACCTGCACCAGTCTTACCTACTGTTCATTACAATATGGGTGGAATACCTACCAATTTCAAAACTGAAGTTCTTAATCAAGTTGCAGGCAAAGATCAAGTGGTGCCTGGACTTTTGGCAGCTGGTGAAGCTGCTTGTGCATCAGTCCATGGTGCCAATAGATTGGGAGCCAATTCCTTATTAGATATCGTTGTTTTTGGAAGACAGGCTGCCAATCTTGTAGGTGAAAAGTGGAAACCTGGATAGAAACAACCAGATTTACCTAAAAATGCTGGAGAAGCTGCCATCGCCAGAATCGACAGATTAAGACATCATGAAGGATCTCAGACTGTTGCTTAAGTCAGAAAGGATCTCCAAAGAACTATGCAAAAACATGCTGCTGTCTTTAGAATTGAGAAAACATTGTAGGAAGGTGTTGAAAAAGTCAAAGAAATCTATTCCAGAAAAGATGATATCAGAATCAAAGACAAAGGACTTGTATGGAATTCTGATTTGGTAGAAGGATTAGAATTAGACAATTTACTATGTATTTCAATCCTTTATATTATTTCAGTGTAAGGCAAAATGACCATAGAAGGTGCTTTAAATAGAAAGGAATCCAGAGGAGCTCATGCTCGTGATGACTTCCCAGATAGAGATGACAAGAACTGGATGAAACATACATTAGCCAGAATCAAAGACGCCAAGAAAGGTGATATTGAACTAACTTATAGAGATGTATTAATTAATACTATATTTTATAGGTTATCACTAAGACCTAAGATCCAAAAGAATTTGATACCGTTCCTCCAAAAAAGAGAGTGTATTGAATAAATATTAAATAACATTATTAAATAAAATATAATCAAAATGAATGGCCGTTTGTCTTGTTATTAATTTCATTCCGAAATTAATATAGAGAGAGAGGCTGCTGAAATGGCATCAAGAATTATGGACCGTGTTCGATAGAAACAATATTTTAGATCTAACCAAAAACTCACAATAAAAGGTGATGGTGGATTTCGATCAAGTGAATATTAAGTTAGACCTATGGAGGTTCAATCCATACGTCATGGAACTAATTCAATTACAGACAGAAACCAAATTAAACTTAACTTGAATTTCAGACAACCTCAAAAATCTTATAATTTCTTTGAATAAAATCCAAAACACATTGAAATAATCAAGAAATCTGATTATTTGTAAATGCAATAATCGCAGGGTTTAAAAGACATATATCATGGGGCCATCAAATTAAACAATGTTCTTGAACCTTAATCTTAATCTACTAGCGATAAGCCAGACAAAACTAAACTCATTAAATTAATGTAATCAATAACTTCTATTATTAGGAAAGCGTGAATGGAATCTTGAATGGGATATTTGAACCAAGTGGAAAACATTGTAAAATTGATGGTATTACTCACTATATCAATTAAACTATTAAATTACACAACTTTCAAGTGAATTTAAACAAAATAACGAACAAATAGATTCATTATTTTTAGACAGATCTAGAAATTCTAATAAATGCTTAGAATATTCTTAATTGGTTGTAAAAATGAATCTGTACTATTAAGTTTACTTTGTTTTTCATATGATTTATACAAAATTTATGAAATATATTTATATTTCATGACTTCATTAGTCTCTTTATTAGTTATCTCGATTCTAAATAATCTGAGATTTTCAATTCCTTTACTACCATATACTATTGAATGTTGGACTCCTGAGCAAATTTCTTCTCATCAAATTCTTTCAAGTAATACTTATCGACTATTTCATAATAATAATATAATTGTTATAAGAAGGAAATCTCAATTTATTATGATTTGTTGATTTTATTACATAAATTACTGGTATCGATATTTTAAGCAATGATGTGATTAAATTCGATGATTAAATTTTTGATTATCTTCTTTATGACCTTCCATTCTAATCCAAACAAAATTTAATAGAACTCTGAGTCATATTTTTAATATTCAATTATCAATGATTTATTAGATTTAATCATCTGATTATATTCTTAACATGTTTTAGTGAATTAGTTATTTTCTAATAAGAATTTAGCACTAAATCGACTATAAGCATTTTCTTTGCAAAAGAGTTACCAATCTTTAAATTTAAATTTATTATCACTTTCAATCAATTATTTATAGATGGTATCCTTGATACTTTAGAGATGCTTTGAAAAAATAATCCTGCACTTCTCATTTAGCAAAGGTGTGATCAATTTGAAATCCTTTAATTTTGATATAATATTATTAAGAAATATGCACAAAGAGAACTGACTTTGAAGTATCAATGAGATTTCATCTAACAAAGGCTAATTTTTAGTAACTGTGTTATTATTAGTTACTTAATTGTTTTTGGTGTTCAAATACTTATTCAAGATCGCGTTGACCTAAGGGTTCTTGCAATTCACATAAACTAATTTCTTATTGGAACTATTTGAAGTCCATGGTTCAGAACTGTTGGGAATTTCAGATTTAATGGTTTACTCAGTGCTTTCAGTATCTGTTGGTCTCACAAATTTTTCAGCTTTTTTTGTTGTCCTTTTAATCAAGGGATGTTTAAGGAGTTCTGTAATTCCTAACCTCAAATAAGGATCGACAATGAGACACTGTTTGATAAAGTCCTTCACAGTTTCAGAGACAGGGGGAACATCAGGAAAGGAAATGCGTTGGTTGAGAATCTTAAAAATCAATTCCTATTCAGTCTATGCTTACCAGGGGGGGTATCCAAATAGAACTTCATAAAAGAGGACTCCTAGACTCCAGATATCACTTTTGGCATTATATTAGGATTTGATTATGGTTTCTGGACTCATGTAGAGAGGAGTGCCAACATTCATTTCGTTTTATAATTGATTTAAGGGCTTTGCGAATCCGAAATCTGCTATTTTAATACCATCCTCATTAATTAATATGTTCTGTGGCTTTAAGTCTCTATGTATAATATCTCATATGATAATTTAGAATACTTTGTTAAGCCATCACATAAATACCATCTATGATTTATCGAATAATAGCGACAGCATATTCTTATCTCAAGTAACCAAACTGCTTTAATTTCTACCCTAGATCTCCTTACCTACAGTATTCAGTGATGATGTATATATTGTTCTGAGTTGTGAAGTGTTCGTAAAGCTTTAAAATATTGCGTCCCTGGAGCTTGGAAAGGATCTGGATTTCATTCTGAATAAGTGGCAATTGATCTGAAAACTGCCTCTTGATAACCTAAGCCAGTATAATAAATAAGCATTACTTTAATGGCCACATTCTCCTTTGTAATGGTATTGATACCCTTATACACTATGGAGCTAAACCCTCTTCCAATAATGTCACAAGTATTAAACTAATAATTCATTATTACTCTAGTTTCATAACTCATATTTTATTAATTATTTTATTTAGTTTGTTTAATTAATCCAAGTTAATATATAATGATGTTTAATAAATTATATGTAAAATAAATTGATTAAGTATAACTGGTACTCAATTTAATGTATATAATCATTCATTTCGTGATAAAAAGATTGTTCCTAAATATTATAAATTTATGATTAAAACATACAGCCTTCAATTTGGGTCTCAAGAGATTGAGCAGATGTATCGTTAATCACCATAGGTGGGTTTCAAGCACAGAAGTGAATACTTATATGCAGCTATTACTATTTATCTAATCCTAATTGTGATAAAGTATAACTAATATCAGAACTTAATGCTTCAACTATTCCCTGGAGTTGGCTTAATATTGATATTGATTTGTTATATCGGAATAAGGAGATATCAAAAATACAAAGAAATCTTTGTTACTACTAACATGCTCATAATGAGTGCTATCATAGAAAGTATACGACTCTTTGGATCTGAATCTGACTCATGGTTTTATGGTCATCACTCTTCAGTTCTCAAGATCTGTAAGAAATATTAAATTTATTGATAGTAATCTACTCATCCGGATCCTCATTTATTGGCTAATCATGTTTCTTTCTCCTAACTTAAATAGCAAACTTTTATGATTTCTAGACTTATGACATATAATCCATCATCTCTTAATTTATAATATCTATAATGCTCGTTGTATTAAGATATCAGCATGAAATAATCAAGAGAAAACACTTTTTAGTTAATTTATCCAAAGTTCAATATGATAACATTTTAGAGGACTTATTACCCTCTTGGGTGGTCATTGTAAAGTATAATAAATTAACTGGCCTACTGGATATTGAAAAGATAAATAAACATTTGAAGGATAAATTCAATATTAATAACAGTGAAGCATTCAGGGAATTCTTAAGAAAACTGGTCTTCTTCGACATGGAAAATTAAAACACCTAACAATATATCAAAATAGAACATCAGATCATCTAAGAACTCTAATAGAAGAATGAAGAACACCCTGATCAAAAATATTTTGCCATTTTAGAAGAATAGAATAAATCTAAACTGTGGAAATTCAGAGTTACCTAGGTTTATTTCAATTCCTTTTAACCTTAAATACTACTCTTATTCGAAGAAATTGAAGAGGATAAATATGATAAGTACATAAATGCAATTGAACAAAGAGACAAATAATTATACGTAAAAATCTATTATTAATTCCTAGTTAAATGCAAAATTAAGTATTAAATAAATCAATCATCAACTCGAAATTATTCAATAATTCTATTAGGAAGTATCTAAACATGAATGTCTAATCTATATTTAGCATAACTTAAAATAGTAATTGTAGTTAAATTATTTCCTTTACAATTTAAACAACAATCTATTTAATTTATATTAAATATGCCATAGACAAATTAAGAGTGATATCAATGTATTAAAATTGGATTTATTTATTATTGATGTCTGTCTTAACCTTCAAATAGAATACAAAATTAATAAATAGAATCAGCATCTAAATCTTAAAAACCTAATTGTGACAACTGACAAATAAAAACTCATTTCCATTATTATGAATTTAGTTTACTTTATCAAGCTTTTGCTTTCCATAATCCATAAAGATAATAATATTGTGTACCAAGTTTAGCCATTAAAAAAACCAATTAAACTTTCTATAAAATAATCCAAAAAATTTCAAAACTCATTATAAATTTCTTTAACACATCCTGATCTAAATGTAGCCAATTCTTTAATCACTTAATTACAACACATTGAACCCTTTTAACTGGATGATCAGAAAAGAAATTGGGAATAAAGAAATTATTTTGACAAAATAACAAGTATTAATGAAAACTTGTAATAAATAATGGAGATGCATAAGTAAGAAGTATCCTCAAATCAATTAATTTAAATAGATAACCCATAAATCAATAGTAAAAATTAATAAGGCATACAAAATGTAAAATAGTTATAATTTAATACAATGGGATATATCATAGCATAATATTTTGCTAGTAGTTTAGGGCCTCACAATAAGTTCACTTTCAAGTAAACTTGTCTCGACATTGAAAGATATCATTCTACTTAATTTATAGGGTTGTAATAAACTAAAATATAATTCTGTATTTATAAAAATTTTTAAAATTTTTAAAAGGAGATACAAAGTGAACAATAATACTATTTTGGTTATAATTTGAATATTTCATCAGAAAAAATGATAGGTTAAGATATATATTAGAATTCTTACTAACAAGTTCAAAAAACTAAATGAAAATTATATAATATATATTTAAACCTACATTTATTCCAATAAAAAGACATAAATTTATTTAAAGTATCAAATAATTCTTTAAATTCTAATAACAGCAAGGGTTTACATAGAAAGTCAACTTTCAATAAAGAAATAAAGTTTGAATGAACTTTAATCTTTCTTATAACAAAAATTATATTTTTATAGGTAAAATATATTTTGAAAACTATCTATTCTTTCTTCTTTTTATTTATTTATAATTATATTTTAACAGATAATGAGTGGATAAATTTCCTTTTCTGATTCCGATGAAAAATCCTATATTTAAAATGAATAACAACGATTACTCAAGAAGTCTAATATTTACAAGCAAAAGGAAAAATGCAATAACAGTTGTGTATAACATCCAAATAAAAAAGTATAACAATGTTAATAAATCAGGCAAAATATTATGTTCAATAAGATGTCAGTAAATTATTTTGTTCAAAATGTGCTTTGGCTTTAGCTCTCAAAGGATTGAAAATAGAGGAAACACAGGAGAACCAACCAGAAATTTATAGATAATAAAGAATATAGGGATTTTAAGAGTAATTAAGTGAAGTCATAAAATAATGTTCAAATAGATTCTCTTAACTAAGCTATCTATAAATGAATGGCTAAAAGTAATTAAAGGAATAAAAAGAAAACTGTAGTTTATTCTTTGAAACTATTATAAACACTAGTAATTAGTTGAAATTAACACACTTATCTAAATTAGAAACTGATCACATTGATTAATTAAAATAAGTTACAGATAGAATTAGCCTAATCTAATAAATTGATGCATAATTAAAACAATTTGAAATTGATATAGCGAATAATCATGAAAACATAGTTAAAAATATGGAAATGAAACCATTTGAAGATATAATGTGTCGATATGAGAAAAAGGTATCTTAAATAAAAGTGTAAATTCAGGAATTTAATTAAGAATACTTACAAAGGTCAATTAAATTTGAACATAATCAAATATTAGCTGCGATGAATAAGATGTGTTATACTTTATTGTTCAAAACTGAATATCCCTCTGATTAATTACCTTAGTAACTTAAACTGGAAGACACTCCAAAAATAATAAATAAATATAAAAATTCACCTGCAAAGATGAAGGTATTTGAATTATTGGAAGGTGATGATATCTACTAGAGTACTTGCTCTAATCCAGTTAAAGATCACATATAATCTCCTGCAAAAAACACTATTCAAATATTAGAAAAATAGCAAAACCAAAAAGAGAATACATTTTTAAATCCAGTGTCAACATTGTAAAATTCTAGGAGAGAAAGCTATACTTATACTAACACCCCAGAAAGTTATCAAATTAAGGGTTGTCTAGATAGAATAAATCCTTAAGTAACTTCTAATGAGAGAGATAGTTTGAAGCCTATCATCAACGTAGGAGAGCAGAACATTAATAACTAATTTGAATTGAATGATAAATATTATGAAAAGTAGAAAATCACAATTGAAGGGAAAAGATAAGAAGATCTATAAAATTAATAATTAACTAATAATATTAATTAGGTATATGTATAAAGACTATCTAAACAGTCAGACAGAGACAGTTTTGAAGATAGATAATTGACACCTAAACATCAAAAACACTTAACAAATGCAACTCCTCAAACTTTTAAGTTATTAGCCAATCATGTAAATTAAAAATGTAATAATATCAATCTATTTAAGCCTAATATCAATATCCTTTAGTGAATAATAATGTATTAGAATAAAAGAATTAAACAGAGATTTCGAAAAAGAATTATGATTCACAGCCACAATAAAAACCTTGGACTCCTCTTCACTAGAATGCTTAACCTAGAATAAATAATCAACTGAATCATAAGTAAGATAACAATCTCAATCGTAGAGCCAATTCAAAATAGCCTTCCATAGATTAAATAGAAGGAAAGAGGTAATTTATACTGGCTAATATGAATATTTAATAATACACTTCCTAACCTAATTAAGATACTGTATGTGAAGATACTCTGAAAGAGAGAATTCACAAGGAATTATGCAGTCATCCTCCAGAATCTATTTATAACCAAGTATTGAAGTAGAATTGTTAATCAAAACAAAACAATTCAAAATAACCATAAAAGGAAAACATTGAATAATCAACTACAGGTAGAATGAAAAGTGTAAATGGATACTAATGTGCAAAGAAATAATCCTATTAATTATGAATCATAGTTTTATTAATATACTCTACAATATATTTATAATGATGATCATTATTATTGATGATTAAACCAAAAATATTTAATAATTAATTTCCCTTATTTTATTTAAATTTAATAATCAATAATCGATGTACTTATATTTATTAATTTTGGACCTTAAGTTATATGAGTTTTAGTGCTTAAATTATAGTATTTAGTAATTCAGAGCTTATTACAAAACTGAACTATAATTAGATAAAATTTTAAAGTAATTTAATAATCAGTTAATTGCATTTAATAATCAACAATAGTGGAATGAGAATATTCAACAGATTAATAGAAATAATTTAATTTCAAAATTAACCTGAACTATGAAAATTGAAGTCCTCTTTACCTTAGGTTATATGATAATATCAGTCTTCCAATAATTTTATACCCTCAATATTGTATTAAATGTATCATATATTCTACATTTTGGCTAATAATATTGTAAAGTGATACACTCATTGTCCAATTAAAAGTATATGCATCCTTTACTTCATGCTCTACTATATTTCTTGACATTTAATCTTATCCTCCCCCTAAATAGGTTTCGACATTTAGGATTTTCGAATTTGACTTAAATATTTTTGGCACAGTCATTTGTTTGAAATAGTATAGTTAATGTGTTAGATTGCATACAGTTCAGAGTAACTTTCATGCCTGTCATACACTTGCTATTTTATTATATTTGGCTTAGTTATTATCTACATTATAAGCTTTAAGTAATTGTAAATATTAGAAAAATTAACATATAAATGAGTGTTGGATAGGTTCATCCAAGTTGCTCATCTCCAATTGATACAAAGGATTATAAAACAGGATTAGAGTATAATATCTTTTTACTTGAATAGTTCACTCAAACTATTTAATACAATTAGGTAAAGTAGACATACATCAAAGGAAACCACTCTCATTATATCACCAAAACAGTATAATTTGATATTATTGAAGTGGAATAAGTAATAGGGCATTTTTAACTCCGAAACGCAGTTAGTTTACAAGTCAAGATTAAATTGTTGAAGAAGATGATTATTTTAGAGAGCGAGTAGCAAAAAGCAAATTTGATGTTGCATCACGAAGATTGATGATTCTATTGTCATTTTTTAGACACATTAATCAAACTAAAGAGTCAGATAAAACTTCATAACTTAAATAAATTCATAAGAAAAGAAAAAAGCTGCCATTTTATCCAAATTAATTGCAAGTCTGGAAATACTTTATGTAATTTCAAACATCTATTACTTTAATGTTGTATCCAATCTACATTAGTTTATCAGATTATCGAAGTTTAGTATTCATATTCATTATTTTTAGGATGTGATGACTATACTTATTTTGATTTTGGATAGCATGTATTTCATAGATATCATTCTTAAATTAATTACATGTCAGATTGATAAAAACTATAACTTAATCAATACATTCTAAGCTATTTTTCTATTTAATTTATAGAGATGGCTAGTATTTGACCTCATTAGTATCATCCCATACAAATTATTTGTTAATAGTTTTACTGAATAATTGTGTTTAAATCTTTTAAAATTAATAAGATTCATTAAATATTTTAGCTATAATGAAAGATAAATATACTAAGAAACGTAGAAATCCAAAGACTAATCCTAATACTTTGAAAAACTATTTTAATTAGAAGGCAAGTTGTGGAGCATACTAAAAATATTCAAAAATATGCTCATTTTGATTAGTTTATTTGGTTGTTTGTTTTATTCTGTATAGTAATATGAGGGAATAAATGCAGAAGATAATGCCATATCAATTTATATTCATGGCTTATACTGGGCTATACAAACAGTCACCGTCATTGGATATGGTGATGTAGCTATCACTACATCTATGCAATATAATTTAACAATTATATGGATTTTTGTAGGAGTTGGATTCTATTCATTCACTATTGGCAATTTAGCTGCAATATTGGAATAACAATCTTCGACTGAAGGATTTGATGAAGATCTAGAAGCTCTTGAGACCCTCATGTCTCAGATCCTTATTCCAGAAGAATTAAGTGCTTAGTTATTTTCCTATTATTATTATAATATCGAAAACAATCCATTTTGGAATTACAAGAAGTATTTCATTTATATAACAAAGATAACAGAATTATTGAAACCTTGCCTTCTCAACTTAAAGTATATGCTATAGCTTTTTGTCAAAAATAACTGATTGAAAATGTAAATATCTTTGCCTTTGATATTAACTTTGCAGCAGCAATTCTACCTCATTTCACTATCTACTGTTTTAAACAATACGAAACAATATATTTTAATGGATCTCCCAGTCTTGAGGTGTTTTTCTTAGTTGCTGGAGAAATTCGTCTGTGTGACAATGATGGCAACACACTTCTTAATATCAAAGAAGGATATATATTTGGTGAAATTGAAATCCTCGAAGATAGTAATCGTAAACAATCGGCTATTGCTGGTAAAGACTCTGTAGTAATTATGTGTCCTGTATTGCAATTCTTACAATTAGTGTAAGAAGATGAAAAATTACTATTTGAGATTGAGTAGTTAGGATTAAGAAGAAGACTGTTATTGCAAGAGAGCATTTCCAGAATTAAGAGTATTTCATTTCTTTATTTCTCAATAGAAAGTGCAAAATAAATAAAAAGAATAAGCGCAATGGATGGAGAAATGATGAATTAATTTGTATCAAAAAAGTAAATTTTGGAAAGACAATTCAAAAGAAACATAGTTAAAGATTCATATCAATAATTGCATAAGAAATTAATGAGATACATTTTTGGATATAAACAAGAGAAGAAATGGAAGTATCAAGCAATATTTAAGATGGCTGTTAGAAAGATTATCGATCATAGAAAATAAGCTTAATTATAATCAAGAAAGAACCAGTATGGTAATGGGCAAATAAATGTTATTAAACTTCGCTTAAGTGAGAGAAGCTGAATAAGATATCTAAAAAAAGATCTTGAATGATAAAAAGAGTGGAAAATATTAAAAAAGAGTGAAGATTAAGGATATCTTAAATCATCATCGATAAAGTCGAATAGCACCTATGCTAATAACACCCTCTCCATATTATGAAGATATTAGAAGTGAAGTCAAAGAGGAAAAACAATTTCAAAAACAAAAGTAAAATTAAATTGTTGAGTTATCTAACAGACTTATTAAAATAAACTTAGTTGGGTAATTAAAAATATTTAATACTTTGTACCAAGAGCTAATTTAAAGCGTTGATAACTTAAACGATATTAAGTATCAAACTATTTCATCTGTAGAAGAAATGGAATCAATATATTATTAAGTATCTATATTGATTGCATCTATTATTTGAAACTTATTCTATATTGTAGTAAAATTCTTGAATATTTCAAACTATAACATATTTTTATAGCCATTTTATTGGTTCTTCATATTTCAAAATTTCAATCCTAATATTCATTTATTCTGTAACATGAAATCATCTATGTTCATTTTCCAATCGATATTCAAAGAACCAAACTAAAGACATTCTATTTAAAATTTGAGTTCGGAATTTAATTATTTTATTAATTTAATTATAGTGCATCAATATAATAAACTATAAAATGTTTAGCACATCGATAAAATGAGCTCTTGATAACTAATTTCAAAGAGGTCAATTGATCAATGCAAAGTTGGAATTATTGTAATCAATATTACTTAATATAATTCAATCTTATTATACTCTTATAAGTAATTCAAAATCTGAATATTACCAATATATATACACGATCTTGCTGAAATTAAAGTAAATCCAATTTCCGCATTTACCTGAAATTTATTTGTATTATTAATATAAAATTGAATTTTAATTGAAATATTACTATTGCTTTTAATTAACATTTTGAAACATAATATAAAATATTTATAATAAAAGTTTAAGTATTACTTTAACTATATTTTTTAGAACATCAATTATAAACAGTGTTCTTTTTGAATTCAAACCATTATTTTACCTTTCTAAAAGTTTGATTGTTTTACATAATTTCTAAATTAAATCATAATATTTAGGATATTGATTTAATTAAATAAAACTTTCGATTCTTGCTAATTGTAAAACTATTTATGTCAATACATTTTATTTAAAATTCTTTGTTATGAATTTACTTATTATAATTTTGATCTTTATATTTTATATATTTAAATAATACTAAAAATAGATTTATTGATAGACGGTGATTGAGTATACTATATTGGTAATAAATAATATAAATTAGGTTTGGAATTAACGACTATGTTTTAGTGATATTAAAAAAAAATATTTATTCTTGTTTAATTGAAATTAAAATATTTTATGCAAGAAGACCTAAATTCAAGTCTTGATTCACTAGAATTGGAATTGTATCATAAACCGAATCACAAAATAAAATCAATCCTGACCTATCTAAGATAGCAAAAGATTCAATTTTGTACGGACCCCAAAAAGAAGGAAGAAGACTTTTATTCAAAAAATGATAAGGAGAATGATAAAAAGGAATTCGGATTGTTTAGAAACAAATTTTTTAAAAGAAATGCTCGGGCCTAACCCATATTTTGTGAAATCAAATTATCATGATTATGTTTTATGCTCATCTTATCCTAATACAATAGATTTTATCATTTCAAGGTGTTTTCAATCTTATTGAAATATGTTTAAAAAATCTTATCCAAATAATTATAATTATTTGTCGAATTCATTATAATATTTTTAAGGAAGCAAATAAGCGACAAATAACCATACAATATATCAAACAATCTAACAAAAACCCTCCACTTTCATTTTCATAATCCTTTTTGTGTATATAATTTTCTGGTAAATCTATAATTAAATAATTTTAAAGGATTTTTAATTATTTATAAACAACAATTTAATAAAATAATTTATAATATGAGTATAAAATGGCAAATATTAATCAAAAAATTAATTCAATTTATAGAAAATGGATTGTCTGAGCAATGATTTTATAATTTCAAAAGATCTTTGTTATAAATCACAGTAACAAACATAACATATTTACTTGTTCTATAAAATACAACTTAATATAATGTGACCATTCAAAAAAGTTGATATCCTAAGATTATTCTAGAACCTATAATTTCAGTTTGTTGTAAGTCGTTGGAAGCTTTCAAATGCTAAATTTATTGCTCTATTCATAAATCCTATTTTTATAAGAAGATGGAAATTTTCCTACTTACTTAAACAATTCATTTTTCATGATAGATCGAATTGCTTATAATAATAAATTTTCTATGTTTTTCACGAAGCAAAAGAAAATTTAACTTACATTGTTGGCCTTGTAGTTGAAATCATAAAGTAAATTATTAGATATATAAATTAATTAAGGAAGAAATATCAATCATCTTAACTGTACTCTATCTCACTTGGTTAAACAAAGTAAGTAGATATGGTCATATTTTTTGAGGGTAGATAAACATCTTTGGCATAATCGAATTAGAATCCCTCATATTCACTTTCAACTAAATTTTTAGTGGCATCACTAACAAGTATTTTTCCTTCCTAAGAATATTCTTATTTTTTATTACTTATCCTGATGACTCCATAAGATTTGCAATAGTAACATCTTCTCCATAGATATCATATCTAACAACATCTGTTCCAACAACGCCTCCCAATACTCTGCCTGTGTGGACTCCAATTCTCATATTCAGATGTTAATACTGGGGATCCATTTTATAATGATTGATGATTTCAATCATACTAAATCCAAATGCCAAGACTTTTTAGGCCTAGTCTAAAACTAAAACTTACTTCCCCTGCAGGATCTCTATTATTACAATCTAAGACACCCATGCAAACATAACAATCTCCAATGGTAAACAACTTATAAATTTCTGCTTTCTAACAATACTAATCAAAGTTTGAGAATAAATTTCTAAGCATATCGACCACAGTTTCTGGTTCAACAGAACTTGAATATTTAGTGAAACCAGCAATGTCTGCAAATAAAACAGTAGTGTTTTCCAATACATCCATGAATGTGTCCGTATTCTCTTGAACAGGATTCAACAATCTTCTCAAAGCATGTGGAGGCATCAAATATTGGAGCATATTCTCGTATTTTGCTATTTAAGTTGATAACTATAAACTTATTAAATAGTTCTTAAATAGTAATTCCTTCTCTTGCATTTAACAAAAAAAGGTTAATCCTGCAATTCCCAACTAATAAATAATTATTTCTAAAATGTATTTTTCATAAACAATCATTATTGTTATAGCAATCATAAATATAGCAACAAATTTCTATCTATCTTCATAATTTAAGATTTATGAAAGATAAATATTTAAATACAAAGCTGTTATAGAACTTATTTATAAAATTACTTCAAACTCCTCCTACTCTTCAAAAAAGATTATTAATATAGAAAGACTACTTGAACTAACAAAATAAATCCAAATTATAATCTTAAGCTTTTCAAGGTTCATTTTATCCTAAATCTTTGAATAACAAATGGTCAAAATTGAACACATAAAAAACTTGCAAACCTAAATAATTATTAATTCAATATAGGAATTGTAAAATTCCTAACTTAAAATAAATAAAAGCAAACCCTTAAACATGTTTAAGATGGTTAGAAATATTAAAATAGTTCTCATCTATGGCTTTTCCTACTCTTTATATTCCTCATAGATAGAATGATATAGTTATTAATCATCATTCTTGAATTAATTACTATCTATTTCAAAAATAGACTTCTCGTCATAATCTAATTTATACTTTTTGATTTTCTCTAATGTCTAATAGTCAAACTTCTATTCAGATGTGATTATCAACTTTTTTTTCGCTATTTCTAATTCTTCTAATCTTTCAATATTAGATTCTGGACTTTTCTTTAAAGCTGAACTAGAATCTTAAAGTTATTGTAATTTTAAAGATCTTTAATTTCTGATTTATATTTTCTGTTCCATTAATGGTTCATTCTCTCCACCTACACCAGATATTTTAATAATCTGATTTTTTTCCCTTTCCTCAGGTATTATTATTTTAGTATTAGATTTCATGATTCCTGCCTTCCTTTAAGTCAATTCTCCCAAAATTAGGGTTCCTTTCTTCTTTATTAATGGCCTAGGAATACAATTTAAGCCCTCCTATTTGTTGTTATCTGCTTGTTAATCAGAAATCTTTAGTAATTGATCAGCTGAGTTTAAGAATTACTATTGATTTGATTAATGAGATAAGTTCACTCCTGATTAAAGTATTTGCTATTGGCAGGATGAAGATACAGCTTAATTAAGAAGTCTAGGATCAGGTTGGAATTAAAGCTATGTAATTGATCCTTATTAAATATATTGTATTGTTTAGACATTTGCTTAATTATTATCTAGAATGCTTTGACGTTTTTGAATCCAATTCTTTTAGAACCCAGGAGTCTTGGCATTATTTGAATGGTTCATTTGGATGTCATCATTCTTACAAATAATAAAATAAGAATACCTAATTAAATGATTTCGATTTGTTTTAATTCAAACGTTTAGATTCTGAATTATTTTCTGCAGATGGTTTCTATTTTAAAATCATATTTGGCATAATGGAAGATTGTGTTTCTCTATGTAATTATCTAATAACTAGTTTTGGAGATTTCGCATGATCGCCATGCATTAAGGCACCAATTTAAGCTGGTTAAGCAGATGATCTTTTAAGAATATTCTTTTTGTCTGCAGGTGACTTGTAATTCAATATTTTTTTTTTTGATTCTTACCCTAGGATTGAAATTTTGTCTTAACATTCTTATGTTGATGCCTTTGGAGTCAAATTTTTGGTCGATTCTTTTTACTACACAATTAATCTAAAAGTTTCAAGCATGCCTTTTCCTTTGGCAGCAACTGATCTCTATTCAAATTAATATTTAGTATTGTCCTTGATATTTAAATATGCAGCCTCGCTTAACGTAATAAATCCAGCTTCTCCTGTACTACAAACTCTACTTGTTGTATTCACTGTGTCTCCTATTAAGGAAAACTAAGGTTTATGAACACCAATAACTCCAGCAATCACTCTGCCATAATGGATTCCTATTTTCAATTGAACATCCTAGTTATCTCCATATTTCATGGTTTTGACTGTTTCCATCATTTATATTGCAGTTTCAAGGGCTCTGGAAGTGCTATTTCCATTTTTTTAATCTACAAAAATCAAATGTGAACTTACTTATTACAACATCATAATCCTTAAGACCACCCGCAGCCATATAGGTTTTCCCAACGGTTTCAATTTTCTGCAAATCATAGTTTTAACACAATTAATCAAAGGCTCTATAAATGGTATCTAAAAATTCAATGATTTTTTCCTATTAATCTTTAATTACTTTATCAAACTAATAAATGTCACAAAATAAAACACTAACATCTCCTTGATCTTAGGAGATTTAAATCTGGCCTTTATTCATTCTTTCCTGAATGAATCGAGGCATTAATAGACCTAATACACTATTAATTTTCTTCTATTCCTTTGTTAATCTATTTTAATACACATACTATGATCTTTATAAGAATTATATTTTCTGTATGTAATTAAAAATAGGATATGAGATCTCAATAATAATAAAAAAGTATTTCAATGTGCAGAATATGGCTTGATTAACATTCTCAAAATTAATAGTGAATCCATCAAATACTAAATTAAATAGATACATAATCACTTGCAAAGCAACGTATAAATACATGTTGATCTTTGGTTGGGTTGTGAGTGCAAAAGATATAATAAATAAAGTGTGATAGAGAAAAGCAGTGAATTCCTTGTTTTGATCCAAGTAGACTAAATCTATTATGATTTTAAAAACGAATCGTAATGCAAATGATAGGATTTACAATTATTACTACAGAGTTCTATTGTAAATGAATCTGAATTACAGAATTACAATACACAATTATAACTAAAATTAGATGATGATTATTATCAGAATAGATGTTGAAAAGGTGGACATCATAATCTCGTATAAGTGAATTATAAATATCGTTACTTCATAAAATATAACTACATATAATAAGCTAAACTTTTGCCAATTCTATTATCTAAAGAAATCCATAAAATCATTCTCCGTTCTTCTATCATAAAATCCATGAGTTTTATCCATGTAATCTATTGTTGTCTAATCAACCTTTATAAATTTAGTTATCTATTCATCCACTATATCCATATTCTCAAATAATGTTTCTATCATTTTCTTTATGTTTTGAAAGTGTCCTTTCTCATTAGTCTCCAAATTCAGGTTTTGTTTTATATCAGTGATCTGCTTCATATGAATATCTAATTATGCATTATCAAGTGGAAATGAGAACTCAATATTAATCAACTGAAGTAATTAATACAGAACAAAAGATACTCCTACTAAAAAGACAGCCATGAATATAAAAACTACCAATCCTAAGTTATTTATTTGTAATGAAATCTCCTAATTATCTTATAATGACTGCACTATTAAATAGCTAAATGATAAAACCAATATTATAGAGAGAATTATAAGTGTCTGCTTAATCTTATATAAAAGATCCTTAAACATATCAAAAACAATAAATAATAACTTACTTTTCTCCAAAAGCTCAATACCCAAATACAACAACAAAACTTGAATTGTTTAATTTATCCTTCCATCACTGGAAGACACATGTATAATTGCCTTTTCTAATAAAATTACCAATGCTGAATCAAACAATGCTATAATAATAATTTTGCTTATCTAATTGAACATGTTTTCGTTTTTTAGTATGTTTAATCTTTTTGCAAAAATATTAAAATTCTTCAAATCATAATCTACTTAAATAATAAGCAAGTATTGTTAGAAAATGAATGTTAATAAGTTGCTAGGGATAAGATAAAATATTATCAATGTAAATAAATTGATATCGTTTTAAGAAAAACTTATTCCAAATACTGATAATCCGATTAGAGTGCTTCTGTATAATTAGATTTCTAAAAGAGAAATGTAATTTTGTAAATACTGAGTGCAATAAAAGTATAAGAATGAAAATATTTACTTTATATTTTTAACTATGAAATTTGGCTAAGTGATACAAAAGAAAGGATTATTTTAAGCCAATGTAAAACTAATGTCTGACTTATTAAACTAATAGTTGTTTTGTAGAGAATTTCCAATACTAATTATTTTCTTGTTATTTAATTTTAGTAACTTTATTAGTTATCCATTGCATTTACCTGTAAATTCATAGGCTCCCAAACCACTTGCAAATTATGTTATAAATACAAAATGATATTTTAGATAATCATCTTACAATATTATCTTGAATGACTGTTTGCTGATGATTATATATTTCTCCATATGCTTTTATACATCAGATCCCATGATATCCTATTCTTCTAACATATATTATATATGTTATCTAAACCTATATTACAATTATTGCACATCCCTTTCATTAAAATGAATAATTTATTCTTTTTAAACTACTTAATGTGATCTAAGAAAAATAATCAATTCTTCATATGACTCTGATGTAGTTAAACAGGTCTTGATGTTTTGGATATACAAAGTTTGAAAAAGCTTATCCTCCTTCAGAGAATCTACGTTAAACTCATTTTGTGAAATTTGTATTTAATTATTCTAATACCCAGATTTAATCCCTATAATAAACAAGATTTCATTTTGTGACTCTAACTTTTTATATTCAATTTCTATTTCTTATGATCTATTACCGTAAGCATCATGCAATTAAGACAATTTTGATAAGAACTCTTATGTTTGTCCTTAGCTCAACTAACGTTTACTATATACAAAAGTTGATTGGCCATCCCATAATAATTCTTATAATTACTCGTTATAAGTATTATAATATTCAGACGGTTTGCTATTAGAATCATTTTTTCCTTTAATGATGTTCTTTAATTAATTAGTTTAAATTCTTGTATATAGAATCGAACCTTCTTCCAATAGAAATGATTCAGGATCTCTTACTAAAACAGATAGAGTATTCTTTCTATTTTCAGTCGGCTCCAAAAATGCTAAAACTTCAAAAACTTTCACTTGATTTTCAATAGAAATCACCTTTTTGATATAAGTTTTTAATTGATAATCCAATCTTGAGTTTTCGATCTCAGTACTGCACAACAGTTAATAATTGAAGACCTTTGTAAATTCTAATAAAGACTCATCAAATTTATTCCCAAAATTAAATTGTAACTACCTTTTTTAATCATCGAAAACACTTAAAATATTATTTGTAATTAGAATCATCAATAATATTTCATTATGAAGAGTGTCATCCTTTTTATAGAGCTATTCTATAAAATCTTATTCATTATTATAATCTCCAACTAATCTGTCTGTGCCTTGATCTTCGTTCTATTTGATTGGAGATATTTATAGAGAAGAGTTATAATTATTGAACTGTTTTATCATAGTTCCCCCTTTGCCAAAAAACTAACTTCTTTATTTTGAAATTGAAACAAGAGGAGTAATATTACCATTTGAAGAATTAGTATTTAATTTACTAAGATCTTTCATTGAATCAATTCTTTCTAATGATTTCTTCGCAAAGGATTAATCAAAAATATACCTTGTACTTTTCTTTTTAGGTAATTATTGTTTTTATGCACTTGATAAACTTTTGATTCCAAAATCCTCCCTTTTAGCCAATTAAAGCTTCTTTATTTAATTAAGACCTTCATTTGAATTTCTTAAATTTGGAACTTTTTTCTCTGCCAATAAAAAATCTAAATCTTATGTCTTCTATTCATCATTGGTCTATTGTCTATTAGTATCTATTAATAATTTATCATAATTGGTTTTCAATGTTGGAGATGCTTTCTATATTAATTCTTACAATTTTTAGTAGTTAAATATATATTATTTTTAACTGTTGGTTATTATCTACACAATTTAATGCTTATTTTTAAATATTTCTTGAGGATTATTTATTAAGATCATATCTCCTTTGATCATATCTAGTATATTTTTTGGGGAAAAGGTCAAAATTCCTTTTAAATTTCTTTCTGTCTTTTACTATTTATGGGGTTCAGTTTCTGTTTGTACTGTCTTAGGGTGATTCATTTTAAACTATTTTTATATTGGCAATAGCACTTTCTTTTCATTTTCAGATATAATAAGTAACTGATTTTCATTGATTTCGGTTAACAATCTATTCATTGATTTCTACGTAACACAAACTTTATCTTCTTTCTTATTAAATTTCTTATTATTTGTTATCATGTTAATCATAAGCCACAATTAATTTAACCATAATAAATTTTGGGGTATTACTAATAAACAATAGGTGATACTACTATAGAAATACTTCTCATAAGATTAAAAAGAATAATAAATGATATTTGGAACGAATAATATTATAAACAATACTATACATATTAGTACAATTTACTAATAAATATTGTGTATCCAACTTGATTGTGTAAAGTTCTAATTGGAAAAATTAGCCTAAGCAATGCAATCATTACCGACTCTAATAACCATACCAAAAATCCAATCCACTGAATCCAGGATTTCTCCTCTCTAAATCATATTCTTTTTGGTAAAAGGGGTTAATTTTGGATCATTTTTCATTTTAATAGTCCCCTATATTTAAAGATCTGTAATAGTGAATTAAATAGTTCCACTTAACTTTGTTTTGAAGTCTAATATATTTCCCTTGATTGTTTAATTTAAACTAACAAAAGTACACGAGCATGGAGTTCTTTAATCAAAATTGATTAGAACTTGCTCTTTACTTGAATCCAAGATCAATAAATCGGCAGGACTCTACTCATTCTATTGTAAGCATATAATGTGACCAACTGTTAATTAACTCCAAGTTATAGTTTAATATGAACTCAACCTATTGAAATAATAATTGTTAAATTACTCTTTGTTTTCATTTGAGATTTGCTTCGCAGTAATATCTGGGAATTTAGCAATGATAGTGCATTTTTAAGAATTGATGGCTTTTTATTATATCATTCGTTAAAAGGCAATTAATAGTATATTTGCAAGAGATAACAATAGATTGAGAAGGTAACAAAATAGAGTATAATACACAATGATCTCTTCGTTTTCATCGTGACGATAAGTTTTACCAGAAAGTAGGATAATTAGAATTCCTAATATTATTATGTTTTCAATGCTTATTATATTTTCTATAAATGTCCCAATTATAGTATTAATCTAAACAAATATAAGATTTCCATACACTAATTAATTTGATATTATTGGTTGGAATTTCAAAATTGGTGATCTTTTACACCTCTCCATTCGAGAATTCAATCTAATTTAAATTTTAGTTGATACTTTTTGTGTTTAATCAATTCCCTGTTATAAAAGTAAAGATTATTAGACCGATTTCTGTATTTTTCTAGGTAGCCACATATATCCCTATGAGATCAACCAGAATAATATTTTCATGCTGTGAATATTTATAAATTTTTTTATTAAAAAGAAAACCTAAAAATGTTGAAAGTTTTTAGAAGTAATTTAACCAAAAAATAAAGGGCACACTAAAAGTTAATAAATTAAAATATTTGATATTTATAAGAGTTATTATCAAACAAAAATTGGTTAAACTCTGGATTAAGAGGGCATTTAAGATTCTAAAAACCTATCAAAGACTTTCTTTGCTTTCTTGTACATTACCCTAATTTAGGCTGCAGCATCAATTGTCAAATTTGAAGTCAAAATGGTAGTAAAAATGCCTATATTGAACCATCCTAATTAATTTAAGCTTTCTTTTGATATCGAAAAGTATTCGTATGTATAGTAAGTAGAAAAACTTAGAGAATTTGCAAGCATTCCCAGTTCTGTAATCATTTATTTAATTTAATCTTCATTATTTGAAAATGGTGAAGATACAGCCAAATAAGTAGCAAACCCTGCTGCTTACGTAGCAACTACAATTGTTTAATATAAGCCTTAGTTTTAGAAACAAACGATCGCAAACATAAATAACGACTTTTTGGCAAGCAGTATTGTATTATACTACATTTGCCATGTTGATTTCTACAGATTTTTGTCATCCTGTTGCAAAAGAGTCTTTATATAATGTTTCATTGTGAGAGATTACTTAGTTTAGATTTATCTTATTCTGTGAGTGAGTAAGCTGGTAAATACAAAGGTGAAGGCTAGTGTAGCTATGGCTCCACTTGAATTAGCAATATCACTACTAGAGGTGAAATCAACATGTGTTAATTATAGTAATGACGCAAATTGCATTTCATAGAAATTAATTGTAACTAATCTAATAGCTCCTGAATAAACGAAGTCATTAGACATCTTGGTACATTTTGATCGAAACTTCAATATTCCACCTCCAATGATTGAACCAAGATCATTAAGTTTGTGGGGAGGAATCAAATGCAGTAATTTGGATAATGTTAAAGTTGTTAAAAAAACACTCAGACCTAATGATAAGGTGACTGCTGTTGCTTTTATATTTGAAGAAAACTAATATTATAAATTATCAGACTTGAATTTATTTGGCATTTCTTAAACTGTTTAATTAGGTTATGCAGTGATTGATTTTGGTAATCCTGTATCTCCAAGTCTATTATTGACCATTTAGGTCAATGAAGACTTTTTTAGATTGTCCATTGTTTATTACAAATTATCAGGAAATTCCAGATTGATATATCTGGTATAATAGAGATATTAGATTGTATCAAGAGTCATGAAGAGATTGGAATATCCTGTTGAAAATATACTGAAAGCAGAGACACCCAAAGCTGCGTATATAGAAATTTCATTTGTATTCGAAAAAAGTTCAACTACTTTTTAAGAATAGGAACTAAAAATAAATGGAACAGGTATTCTAATCTAATCTGAATTTTTATCCAAATTGACATAATCTTCAGTAATAATTAATCTTTTATCAACCATTACTAAGACATTGATTTAATCATCTTAAACATTCTTTAAGAGATTCAAATTGACGATGTATTTAATATCTTAAGGAAAATTCTAAATACCAACTACAGGTTCAATGCTATATTCAAAATCCCCTTACGTTAATTCATCAACAGTGATAAAGAAGAGAACTTACTAAATATCAGTGAGATCATTTTCATTTTCAACCAAAACAAAATTAGGTTGAAGCATCATTTAAGTTGAGAAGGTCACTTCTATTTTAGATTGGCCTTCCTTTTACTCCAAAAGCTTCAATTAAATAGTTGGTTATCTTTTGAAAATACAAATACTAATTTGCAAAGCTTAACTTTCGCAATACCAATCAACTTCAATCTTGCAATCACTATCACAACCGTCCTAGTTTACTAGGTTTCCATCATCGCACTATTCTGTATTTTATTGCCAAAGTCCATCTCCACATTTAGATGAACACTATTTATTTGATTCAAAATATCCCAAATAGCGATCGCATTTTAAGCATATACCTTTATCACAATTAAGACAAGCTAGATGACATTAATATTCACAAGAATTACTACAACCATCATTTTAAATTGCGTTTCCATCATCACATTATTCATATCCATTGACTTCTCCATCTCCACAAATAGGGATACAGACCAGAGTTTTATCATCATAAGTCCATCCAGGTGTATTGCATTCATAACATACATCTTTTCTGCAATCAGTACAATATTAAACACATTAATAATTACAATCAAAGCATCCATCATAAGGTAAGAGATTGCCATCATCGCAATCCTCATATCTAGGTACTACATACTTGTCTCCACATATTGTTTCACATCTATGTTTATCATTTAATGCCCAACCAAATGTACATTCCTAGCATTATCCTTCAAAGCAAACTGTACAAGCCTCTTCGCATTATGCTTTACATTAAAAACATCCATCATAAGGAACATCATTACCATCGTCACATTCTTCAATTCCAACTTTTAATGCATCTCCACAAATTTCCCAACAATAATAATTATCTAGTCTCCATCCTGGTGTATTACATTCATAACATTAACCAGTGATGCATTTAGTGCAAGCTGGTTAGCAAATATAATTGCACTCATAACACCCATCATAATTCAACTCATTTCCATCATCACACTATTCAATTCCAGATACAATTGTATCTCCACATAGAGTTTAGCAATCTCCTTATGATGTTAGATGCCATCCTTTTTCTTCTTCGCATAAAACACATGATCCATATAAACAAGTTTAACATTATGATTGGCATGCATATTAACATTCAAAACACCCATCTTCATCAATTAAATTACCATCATCACATTTCTCATTTCCAACAATAAAACCATCTCCACAAACCGAGATGCAAATCTAACTTATTAATTAAAATCCATTTGAACAAAATACACATTTACCAAATTCACAAAATTAACAATTTTAATCACACTCAAATTTACATTCATTGCAACCATCATACTTAATAGAATTTTGATCATCGCAATCTTCATCAACAGTAACTATACCATCTCCACATACAGAAACACAACGATCATTAATTAAGTCATAACCACTTTGACAAATCTCGCATTTTCCTTTAATGCACAAAGTACATTACTCTTCACAATCATATCGACATTAAAAACATCCATCAAATGGTACATTGTTATCATCATCACATCCTTCCTATACTGTCGTTACCATATCACCACAATAACTATCACATTTATTCTCTATTAAGTAATAGCCACTTTAACATTGATGGCAAATACCAAATGAACAAGTAATACAATTATCAGGACATGCAAATTAACATTCGTTATTACAATAGAAATCACCTCTTGCATAACTTACAGGCACATCACATTATTCATCCCCAACTATTATTTTGTCTCCGCACATGCTTTCACAAGTATACTCTACTTCATTCCAATACCATCCATTTTAACATTAATAACAAGATCCTTTTATACAAATTATGCATTCTCTTTAACATTCTTTTTAATAACAGTAATCCAAATTATCGGTAAGACTTGTATCTCCACAATCAGGAACACATTTTGGAAACTCAAGCACAAATCCTGATATACAATCGTAACAAATTCCTTTGACGCAAGTATTGCAATTTTCAGTACAGGAATACATACAATTATGACATCCATCATTAGGTACATCATTACCATCATCACATTCTTCATATTATGTGAGTTTCATATCTCCACAAGTAGATTTACACAGAGCAGAATCTTTATCAAATAGGAATCCGTCTTAACATTACATGCACTATCCATAAAGACAAACTTAACATTCAGGTTAACAGTCATATTAGCATTAGAAACAACCATCAAAACCATCAAGGTTATCATCGTCGCATACTTCAAAATCCTCAGGAGTTTAATTACCACATATATTTTCACATTCATTTAAATCATTTAAATAGTAACCATTTTTGCATTATTTACAAATTCCCCTATCACAATCTACACAATTTTAAACACAAGCTAATCGACAATTAAAACATTGATTAGATGATATATCTCCGTTGTCAATGTTTAAATTAACATCACATTCTTCCAATTCAGCTATAATACCATCACCACATTTAGTCTCGCATCTTTTATTTTATAGATACCATCCAATACTTTCATCACATGTAATGCATTCCCCATTTATACATTTTAAGCATTAACTTTGACATTAGAATTAACAGAAAGAACATCCATCAAATGGGAGGATATCGTCGTTTTCACAATCCTCATTTTAAGTTTATATTTAATCACCACAAATGTTAACACATTAGTTTAACAGTAGTTAGTATCCTGTTATACAACTTTAACAGATTCCAAAGTTACATGAATTGCAGTTATCATCGCAGACAAAATTACAACTTTCGCAAGATTCTGAGTTATCATCGCAGCTCTCAACATTACTGATAATTAAGTCACCACATTTTGATTCACATTAATTATTTTAATTTAAATACCATCCATAACTATTTTTACATTCTACACATTTACCCTAGACACAATTATTACAACCTTCTGAACATTTGTATCTACAATTTACGCATTCATATCCATTAAAATCTATCAATCCTATTTCGCATTCTTCATTGCCAGCTATTATCCCATCGCCACATACTGACTAGCATTTTGAGTTAATTAATTTATAACCAGATATGCATTGATAACATATTCCAAAAATACATACTGAGCATTCTTGTTAACAATTGAAAAGACATTGACTGCATCCATCATTGAGCTGAGAATTAGAATCCTCACATTACTCATAATCATTTATAATTGAATCTCCACATTTGCTGTAACAAATTGATGTTTCGGAATCTAAATACCATCCCAAAGATTCTCTACATTTCAAACATAAGCCTTAGGTGCAAATTTCGCATTAAGGTGAACATTAGAGTTTACAACTAATACACCCTGTGTTATTTTTAATTGTTTCATCGAATTGTATGATGCCGATATCGCATTATTCATCTCCATAGATCATTTAATCGCCACAAATAGGAAAGCATTTCTATTTCGATTGATTCAAATAATATCCAGTTTGACATGATACACATACACCAAAAGAGCATTAAGCACAAGGTTATTCACATTAATAAGAGCAATTCGAACACCCATCCTCAATAACAAAGTTGTAATCATCACAGGATTCATATTTAGAAATAACTCCATCCCCACAAACAGGAAGACAAATATTGTCAGAACTAAGGTAAAAGTTGGACTTGCATCTATAGCAGATTCCTGCTGCACATGTCAGACATTCAGCCTAACATTCATATTTACATTAAAAGCAGCCATCCTCTATTGTTTAATTGCCATCATCACAAGACTCAGTTATGGAAGTAAAAACATTATCCCCACAACTTGGAATGCATCTCTATAATTTTTTATTTAATTAATATCCAGGGGTGTTGCATTCATAACAGGTTCCCATTAAGCAAGATGTACATTATTCTTAGCAAGTGAGATTGCATGAATCACAACCATCATAATTAAGTAAGTTGCCATCATCACATCCCTCGTAATATGTAACAATTTTATCTCCACAAATTGGGGCGCATTCACCGCTTTTGCTCAACAATGAGAATCCCGATTTGCATTTGGTACAAACACCTTAGATACACAAATCACAAAAATTATCACATGAAAATACACAATAACTGCAACCATCAAAAGGGTCATTATTTCCATCATCACACTGTTCTGTGCCTGCGAGAATTTAATCCCCACAAAAAGTAACACATCTAAAAGTAGCTAAATTAATATAATATCCAATAGAATTATCACAATCATAGCATTTTCCATAGATGCAATTTGTACATTGAAGTTAGCATTAAAATTAACAATTATAACATCCATCATAAGGAGTCAGATTATTATCTTCACATTACTCTTGACTAACAATCGAAGTATTTCCACATGTAGGAAAGCATCTTTTCATTGTCTTTTAAAGTGTATAACCAGAAATACAAACTGAGCATTATCCATTAACACAAGTTTAACATTCTTTTTAACACTCAAATTTGCAATTATTGCAGCCATCAAATCTGGTTGTATTACCATCATCACAGTCTTCTCCATCAGTGACTACCATATCCCCACAAACTGATTGACAAATATAATTTGCACCATCGTCATAGTAATTACTTTAACAAACACAAACATTGTTACTCAAATATCTATGTTAAGACCCTTTACAAGACAAACACTAATTACTATTTGGACCATAACATGAATCACATAAAGCATGACAACTCGCACAAGTATTGGAACCAGTTAAATAGGTCCAAGGATAGCATTAGCAATTTCCATTTTACAAATAAAAGTTAGTAGCACACTTGGTACAAATATAAGAATTTTAGCATTATAAACAGTAAGAAGGTGTGCAAGTTTTGCACACAGCAGGTGATACTGTGTTATCAAAATAATAGGTATTATCAACACAGGTAGATGGTGATGCCATACCTGTTGGCAATGTTTATTTTCCTGTGCATTATGCCCATGTTGGACCAGTACAAGCAGTACAATATTCAGTGCACTATTTATTATTTATTTTTTACTTCTAAGACGATAATAAAATAATCATAAACAATGCAAAAGTTATCCTTAACTTATGCTGCTGTTGAACCGCATTTAAGCATAACTGAAAAACTGCTTGCTGTGTGTACTTCTGTTCTATCAATAGTGATGAACTTATCTTATTGAGTCTTACCAACATTATTAGCCGTATTTGCACAGTCACTATATACTATAGTCTATGAAAATCCTCCTACAGTATATTGAAAATTTCCTGCAAAATTATCTCCCAAAACTAATGTAAATTTCAATCTAAATTTATAATGTGGATTTAAAGTGAAAGTTCTAGTAAATGTAGCTTTGTACCAAACAATAGGACCTCCTAATACTCTTTTCCCCAAGTAATAACTAAAATACACATCACCAGTTGTGCTTAGAAAATGATCTGAAGTTTAAAAATCTGCTGTTCCAGTTGTCATTGTTCCTACAATAGTGGGTACATCAGTTTCAGTAGTATTTGAAGAATCATAGAATGCTTTTATTATATATCTGGAATCTAAATCTTAATAGAATTAATACTATCGATTGCCTCATTGAAATCAGTACAAACACCTGTAGTTTATACTGAATGTGTTGGACAACTAGGTACACATCTATTTTTATAAAGAAACCCTGATGAACAAGCGTAACATTTCAGATCAAAATCACACCAACTGCACGATGATTAGCATTTCATGACATCCATGACAACATCTCGGAAGCCCCATGATTGGGAGCCAGCTAAACTATTAATAATGTAAGTATAAATACTCCATCGATCCTTATAAACGCAATACTGGATTTGTTATGTTTGATTTTAATTTAGCTTCTAATCTATAATAGCCAACTGTTGGAGTTGTACAATTAGAATCAGAGTAAAGCTGATCAGCATTTCGACCAGTGAGTACTTGACTTAAAGTGTATACCGATGCAAACTCTATGTTATCATAAAAAACATGAACTGCTGAATAATCGATCCAACTGTTTAGTTTTATAATTGTTGCTCTAAATCGAACGTAAGATATATTCTAAGGAACTGAGAGGGTCACACTAAATCCTTCATTATAGAAGAAAGGACCAACAAAGTTCTTGCTCGTTTAACAAGAAATAGTGCTAATCTTTTGGGAATAAACCAAATTGAAGATGATTGGATCTGGAATAAACACCCATGGAGATGTGGAACTGAATGTTGTAGTATCGAAGTAGGTTGTATAGGGTAACATATCTAATTATAATTAAGATCAGTACTCTCATTAAATTAGCACACCTTATTCGAATCTGGAACTCGATAGTAATGGCATTCAACTACACAGCTTTTTGTATCATCTAGGTATTCAATAAAGGCTGCATTGGCAGGACAACTACTACAGGTCGAAGGGGAACCTAAGGTAGTAGAAGGACTTGTAAAGCAGGCCAAGCAATTATTAGCAGCATTGCTAGAACTGCATTTTAAGCATGACCAATGACATTTATTAACATAAATCTATAATCCTCTTGAACCATAATTTTTACTACCAAAATTTGTTCCACAAATTCTAAATCTAATTTCTGTGTTATCATTATGCTAGAAAGTCAGATAGTATGTTTATATCTCAAAATTATTCCAATTTGATGATTTGCATACTTATTGAAATGTTCCTAAAGTATTATCCTTATATTGAAATGTATAAGTAGATGTTGATGATCCTTAGACATCATAAGCAACAGTATAGAAACTACTACTAGAAGAATCTAAAAAATAGCCATCCACTATGACTTTGACTTAATAATGCGGAGGCAAATTTAAAACTGAGTAGTAGGCTCTATCATTGTAATTCCCTACGTAAATGTATTCGATGTCATTATCTGCACAACTCCCAACAGATCCACCTCCACCCATAGACCCACTGATCCAATCACAGGAACCTCTATAATTCCAATTAGCTCCAGAAACGGAGAAGCCAAGCAGATCCTCACTTACAAGCTGCCACTAAGCATATGCGACTGTACTAAGCAAAAGAAATATAAAAGTTATGAACATATTGTTTTTTTATTTATTTAAGTGATTACATCATCAAAATATTTTTATATATGAAGATTTATTGAAGAATAGTTTCCACCTGAATAAATATTAGGATGGGATATGAATCAAGGGAATTAATAAAATAATATAAATAGTATTGGCTAAATACAATTTAAAATATCTAGGTAACGTATATTCTTAAGACCTCTTTCCAAAACGATTGATTCTGACATTATGTATATTAAATTTCCAATTTATCAAAATCTCTTTTTGATTATTTATTAACCTTAACTTTAAATTCTAATTTATTATTTCTTTGCCATCATTTTGATTTTTAACCTTCAATCTTTAATTTGTTCTCAACCTTTAATTGTCTTTGAACAAGTTTGAAGTCGAAATACTATACCAAATTATTTTAAAATTTCGATTAATAATAATGTGGTTTGATAAAAAGTCATTTTATCCATTTAAGAAATACATTTGGATAGATTTTAGAAATTTCGTTGAATAATCAATAATGCTTCTTTAAAAAATAATATTAACTCCAAACTATCTCATTATAGGCATTAGGCAAAAATTTATTAAAATTTCTTAATTTACATAATCATATATATATAATTATAATATTATCAATCTTAAATATTCATATCTTTAATTATATTTTTCAAGAATCTTCTAATTGTCTTATTATCCTTGATAACATCTATTGGTATCATATTTAACATCTGTATATTTTGATTGATCTATTATATTTCAATAATTTTACTTATGAATTAATACTAGTTAGAAAGGGTAACCAATAGATTATAAAAATTAATAGTAATACCAATATGAAAATGATTACAAGTATAAGTTGAATATTTAAAGTTTCATCCATCTAATTTGTCATCATTGATAATTAATAGCTCTACACTTAATCCACAGCTGTCCTTACATAATTATACATTGACTAATCTATCTAATATATATATGGATCATAAACAATCTATCCTTTTTAGTTAATGGATAACTGATTTCTAAAGTATTATAAATAATATTGTTCGACATTGTAAATCCCTAATTCAAGATTCCCTTCAATAATTGAATAGCAAATATCACTTTTGGTTAAGCCTAATTCATTACAAATATCTCCATAGTAAATTCCAAAGTACATGTTTCTTAATGTTGGTAATTGATTCAACAGAGCGGATGCAAAGCTTAAAGAACTTAATTGATTGCCAGTAAAGGTTTCAATTTATGCGAAAGCTGACTCATAAGAGGTTTAATTAATGAGATTAAATTAATTGTCTAAAATTGCTAATTTAAAAATATTGAGATAATTTCCATATTCAGAAATATCCATTGAACCTGAAAAGTATTAAGGAAGCAAATATCTAATTTGATTTCTTTCACTAGCCGAACTAATGATGTTGTAAACAGCAAATATCAATGTACACAAAGCAATGAATATAAATTGAATGATAATTGCTTGATTGCCTTTAAACTTATTTTTTCTGTATTTCTCAATAATTTTCTTTCGTTTCAATTGTAATTAAATGAAATTCTCCTCCTCTTCTGGGTTCTTTTAAATCTTAATCTAATCCTCCTACATCTACTCTTCTTCACTTGAATCATAACCTTCTAATTCATTTTTTCTTTTTAATTCCTCTATGCCAATATAATTTTTAATAAAATATTCAACCTTCTTATAGAGTATGGTTATATGCTTTTAGGGGATATCTAAAAATAAGAACAAGATGTTCTCTCTGTCCATTTTGATACTCAACATCAAAGTAATGAATTTTGTCATTGCTAGGGTGGTGACTAAGATCAATATTCCCAAAGTAATTAATAGATTCACATCATATTAATTCATTTAGCTTTCAACATTTGAGTACAACTCATAGGCAATATTAATAATCTATTGATGAACAACATTGAAATGATTATAAACTATATTTTAGATTATATTGCTTTTGTAATTGAATGTTTGATTATTCAAAAGTGTAGTATTTAATGCCAAGGTTTCAATTAGCAACAATGCACTTTCCAATTTTATATTAATCTCACTGTATTAATCATCATCAAAAAATCTTAAATTAATATAGTGATCGTCAAAATAGTAATCTAATAATGCAGAATTTACGTATTGATTGAAAGCAGTTGCATTATTGGCAGCATACTAAAGCTCTAGATACAACTGAGTTATATTAAATTGTTAAGGTAAACATAGATCTAAAACTCTTGAGATTACTTAATTTTGGAATATAATTTCATTATTCACTAAATAGATTGACTTAATACTCTCTTTGTAAGAGACGAAGTACGATTGACAGAATAAATATTGAAGAATTGTTATGAAGAAGATGAAGAATATCCAAAGATTTGAATACACTTTGAACTCTGTAATTTTCATATGCTTGTGATCTTAATTTAAAACTCTCCTAATAAGATCTTAAGAGTTTCTATGAGCGAATATCTTATAATCATCTTCATCTTCAAATTAATTTTAATTGAATCTGAATATCGAGTTTTCTTCTTCCTCCTCTTCCAACTATAGTAAGAACTCCTACTCCTTTTCCTCGTCTATATTTAATATTTGATTGCGTATTAATCTTCTTATGACTATGTCACTAGAATAGTCAACAACTGGATTTACTTCACTTTCCACTTATTAATTTAACAGCATCTTATAGTCGTCATATCTAGGTTCTGAATACAGTTCCGATAAAAAAACTGCATATTATTGATCAAACTCTAAATTAGTGTCAAATTTAGGTATCTGTCCATCAATTGATTGATTAACCTAGATCTTAGTTTAGAGATATTGTTATGAAGTTGGATTGCTATTGGTATTTGTTGTTGTTATAAGTTATCGAGTACTAACTGCAAAATTCTTATTTTTCTTCTATTGACCACCTAGATTGACTTCATTCTTTTCTAACTTCTCTAATCTAACCAACCATTTCCCAGTTTTTATATTATTAGTTTCGTCTTTTTAGTTCGATTTACCATGAGTACTTTCATCCATCCTCTATGGCAGCTTAATCTCTTTAATCAGGCATGAAAAAAAGTATGTCTCTAAAGTATTATATTTAAATTACATTCAACTCCATCTTTGCTTTGATGATTATATTAGATATGTTTCTCATTTTATAATAGAACATTGGGGATAAAATTGTTGAGATAAACATCTTTTTCTATCTACTTTAATTCCAAATCAAAAAAGATTATTGCTCCAGATGACATTTCCATTATTTTAGATGTGTTATCCACTATAAAAATGACTTAACTTTTGATGGTATTTTCACTTTTAAATGTTGTCAAATATTTCATGGTCTCCAGATTAAGAGTAACATGATATATAAATGGAACTATATATCCATTTTTATGTTTAAATATTTGGGTTTAATCAGTGTCCAAATATTAACTATCAATTTCTCCTTCCAATTTTAGATTCAATACAATATTATCAAAAAATTCAATTAGATAATTGTCATGTTTTTCTGCATATAATTTAGGCATCAAAACATTAATTGATTTATTTATCAATTCTTCTTTTTAATACCCAAAAAATGTTGTAAATAAGGTGTTAACATTTACTATCTTACCTACTTCTGCCTTTTTGGCACTCACTTAAATAAATGGAATAGGTTAATTATCAATATTCAAAAATTCATTTCTTCCCCCATATTCTTTTTAAAATTCTTCTTTGATATTCTAGGCTATCTTCCTTAATTCTCCTCCCAATTTCTAATCATTTAACACATACAAAATAAAATTGCTGTATATTTTAACACTCTAATATACATTTTAGGATATCTTTTGCATTTCCTCATAATTCTGTCTAGCTGTTTTAGTAACATAGGTAATATCAGCACCCAACTTCATCAACTTACCTAAATCAGGTTGATCCTCCTTTAATTCTCCCCAAAAGTCCTTTTGCAATTTTGCTGATTGCTGCATACTCTTTTCACACATTGTTTAATGATTGTTATATTTGATAGCCTCCACAATATCGTCATCTTTGTTTTCCTTCTTATTCTCCTTGATACTTTTCCTGTAAATTAATAAATCAAAATATCTTACATATATCTGTATTTTATGAATTATTGATACAATGCAGGCTTACATTTATCATCAATAAGTTCAAATTATTTATACGCTCCTTCCTTATTTTTCTTTCTCTCCATAATAAATAAAGCATAAAAGATCTTGAGTTCAGCACTTTTAGGAAATTTCTTAATGCCATCCTTGAACATCTTTTCAAGTTCCTAAATTAATCCTCTGATCATATCATTCATATCCAATTCAGTATTCCTTCTTCTACTGAATTTAAAATAGCAATCATTATATTTACAAGTTTCTTTGTGCTTCTCTATGTACCCAATCAAAAGCATATAAGAATTCCTGTCCTTTTCTTGTTATTGAATAAGCTACAAAACATACCGAATATGAGCCCAGATCTCCTTGCCACTTCTGATCTTCTTCTATACCTTAATCAACGTGTCAATCTTAGACTTTTTTGTCATCAACATAATTGAAACTATGAATGGCAATCCTATTATCCAAGCAATAAATCCTCCATTGAAATCCTGATTCTCAAATATCTTGCATATCAACAACAAAATGTTAGCCCATAAATAATAACTAGAAATTATTGAATAGAATCTTCCCACTTCAAAGTCATAGTAAGGATCATCGAAATTATATTCCCAAAATAACCATACAGCCATAAGAAATGTTGCCAACACCAAGATCCATGATTGATTCTCTCCCAAAAAACAATACAACACTTAACATGTCACCTTGTTAATAATGAATGTCACTTCCCCTTTACTATCCTGTCTTGCTGTTCTATCATCACTCATCATTCCTGGCTCAAAAAATGCATAGGCCACTATAGCACAAATTGCTACAAACATGAACATAAACAGCAATGTTAACAATGCGTGAAATGTGTGCCATCCTTACCAACAAACCACATAAATCTCACTATAACCAGATATTATATATTCCCCAGTAGTTTGATCGGTTTAACATTATAATATGGAAAATAAAGTTTCGGTAATCGGCAAAAACAACACAGTAACCACAAGTGATGTGACTGATCTCAATACGACCAAAGGCCATGTGGCAGCAAATTAATTTTTTGAAAATGAATAACTTACATAAATGATATCCAATATGATAAGCAATATAATTACAAGCAAAATGTATACAGATGATAGAAGAGCGAAGTAAGAGATATTAGGTATGTAAGTACTTAATTAAAAGAGATTAACGAAATTTAAGACAAATCCAATCACATTGTCTGCCTTCCATAAATAGTAAACATTATTGTTGAATGGAAAAGTATGCATCTAAAAGTAATCCAACCCAGTTTATATATAAAATGATAATTAAGACTCTTCCGATTCTTCGTCCTTCCTTAAAACAAAAAGAACTTGAAAAATAATTTGTTTCACTTTCTCAAAGAACCCTATCGATTCAGATTAAATTAGGTTTTGCCCACTCTCACCTTAAATATCTCCCATATATATTGAATTAAATTATTATTATTCTAAAAAATAAACTAGACTCAATAATAAGTAGTAATATATTCTTAATTAATTGAATACAGCAGGTCTTTCTCAATTAATGCTCTCTTTCGAATCTCCCCTAGGAACTCCTATCTGATCCATAAGAAGAAGTTCTCTCAGAATTTAAATCATCAGAACCAACATCCTTAGTTCTTAAACTTCATCCTGCTTTACCTATCTCAAATTAAGTTCTAGGATCTCAATAAATAATACTTGTATATTTTTTAGGCTATTTAAATCTAGAAAATGAATTTGTGTCCCAATTCCAAAAGAAATTTTAATGATTGTAGTGCAATAACTCAAATTAATTTTGTAATTAATATGGAATGGTTAACTCTTCATTTCTTCTTAATTTTCTTAAATTTTCCTTTTCTCATTATTTACTAAATAATTTCATATTTTCAATAATCTTTCAGAATTCTTACTTATTAAATTCTTCTCTTTGAATTCTTTTAATATTTATAATAATTTTTATTTGATAATTAGTAGACTGATAGATAATCAAATAAATGCAAATTTTAAGAGGAAACTATGAGAATTTAGAGGAATTATGAGGTTGTAAATATCAAATATAATCCCAGACAAGATAATTTTTTAATGGAAGTGTTGAATACTTTTTTTAAGTCTAAAAAATTAGAAAGATAATGAAAATGTTAAGAAAAGGCAATCATTCAATCATTCTTACTTTGAATTAGTTGTGTGTCAAGTATTTTTTTAAAAATTCATTTATTCTTCTAATTTAAAAATAGGTTAAGTATTATGTTAATATACAACAGTTAAATAATCATTGATTTGTTGAAATTTTAGATCTTTATATAATTCATTAGTTGTTACATTTAATTTTGACTAAAAAGTAGTGAAATTTTGCTAACTTTAATATTCCTTCTTTTTTCGTTTCATGGAATACTTGATAATTTCATTTGATGAAATAATATTTGTTATTATTGATATATGTTTAATAGTAAATTTAAAGAATACTACTTTAAGTGAAAGAGAATTTGGAAATTGCAAACTATGTAAATTTTTATTTAATTTCACCAATAGATAATTAATGTATTAATATTAAAGAATATATTATTTTTGTAATTTATATATTTATTAATATATAATAATATATTATTCTCACTAGAAGTTATTAATAATTCAAAGTATCAGGAAAGTATGAGTAGAATTATTTAACTTTCAAATTTATAAATTTCTTTAAGAATAACTTATGTAGAGTTTTTATTAAATATAAAAAATTTTGTTTAAATTGTGGGTGTAACTTAAATGAAGGAACTCAATAAAGAAATCAATTATATTTCATCATCCCCATCAGAAACTACATTAGGAATCTTGCATAAATGTATTATGATTTTATCAAATTAATTATATATATAGTTTTTATTGCACTTCAAAATCCATTGATTTTTTCGATTAAAAGAATATGATTTGTGAGTTAATTTTTTTTGAAATTTAAGCAAATCTTAGATCTTACAAATGTATAATAATAAATAAATAATGGGTTGTTTCTAACCAAAAGGAATAAATAAAATTGTCGCTATGCAAACAACAAACAGAGATTACATCTTTACATCAACTGCTGACATTCATAAAATATTTTCCTTCGGAAGAGTACTAGGAATAGGTGCCTTCGGTAAAGTTCTGACAGCTAGGAGGCGAAATAACGCTGAAAAATTATACGCTATAAAAATGATTGACAAGAGAAAAGTGAAAGGAAGGGAAACCATGTTGGCAAATGAAATATATGTCCTTCAGAGGCTGGATCATCCAAATATCATAAAATTCCATGAAGTATATCAGAGCGAACTGTACTTCTACATCTGTATGGACAAATGTGCTGGAGCAGAACTTATGGAGAGCGTGCCCAAAAATTAAAAATCATATACTGAGGGTTAGGCTAGAGATATAATGGTTAAAGTAACTTATTATGCTAAAGACAGATCATATCAGCAGTTGCATACATTCATGAATAAGGAATAATACATCGAGACATCAAACCAGAAAATATTATGTTTACCGATCGTGACATCAGATCTGAGCCCAAACTCATTGACTTTGGACTTTCAGTGAAATACGATGCCTTCAGCTATAAGTAAGGAAGTCATAATATTAAAATAGTAAACTGAAAGCTGGAGTTGGCACGCCTGTCTATTTGGCACCGGAAGTCATCGAAGGCACATACAACGAAAAATGCGATGTGTGGAGTCTTGGAGTTTTACTATTTAATATGCTCGTGGGTTATCCCCCTTTCTATGGTAGAAATCGACAGGAACTTTATGAAAACATTCAATATCAAAATGTATACAATTTGAATTATATATATTAGTTAATATTTGACAGGAGACATTGGAAAAACATTAGTGACGAAGCTAAGGATCTCTTGAAGAGGATGCTTAACAAAAGCTAGCACTTAAGATATTCTGCCAAAGAATGTCTTAAGCATCCATGGTTTCAACTCTTATTTAAGGATGGAGTTTACAGACCTCCCAGAAGAAGTACTGGATTTTCAGGAACTCCCTCTGAGGATGATCAAAGAACATTATATCAAATGCTTAAAACTTATCGTATCGGTGCCAAATTCAAGAAAGAAGTCATGAAAGTCTTAGTAAATCAAATGAACGAGAAGGATTTAGCGAGGTTGCAACAAATATTCAAGAATATTGACGTTGATAATTCTGGCACAATAACAGTCCAAGAGTTGCACCAGGCACTTCAACAAGAAGTATTGATTTAAAATATTCTTAGGGTTCCCTAGCCACTGTAGAAGAAATTGAATAAATTATGGAGAACATTGGATATGACATTGATGAATTAGACGATGTGACAGTAACTTTATCCCATAAATCTACATCCTCAAAACCTTTAGTAATTAAATACAGCGATTTCTTAACTGCCTGTATTGATGAAAGAAGAGTTTTCACAAGGGAAAAATTGTGGTCAATTTTCAAGTATTTCGACACTTAGAATGAGAATCATTTATCAAGAGAGGCCATTAGAGAATCATTTGCGAGGCATGGACGTTCACTTTCACTCGACAAAATCAACTAAATGATATCTGAAATTGATCCTAATAATGAGAATAAAATTGGATTCGACGCTTTTTGTTAGATGATGGGAGTTGCTGGAATCTAAGAAACTCTAGAATTTAAAGATGAATCTAAGGATCCTTAATCTAATGCTCCTTCTGTAATTGTATGACATCCATTCTTATGACATATAAATTCTATATATATTTATATTAATTTGTAATTCATTAACTCATTAACATATAATTGTAATAGAATCATTCGACATAAAATATCATTAAATTAGAGAAGATTAAATAAAAATAATCATGTTTCAATTACTTCATCATCATCATCTAATTTCTAATAGATTCCAGCATTATCAAACATTTGACAGAACTCATCAAAACTAATTTTGTTGTCATGATTAGGATCAATTTCATAAATCATCTCTTCAATTTACTCATCTGTGAATGACTTTGCATTTCTTGCAAAAGCCTCCTTGATATCATCTTTCGTGATGTAATTCGAATTATCTGTATCAAAAAATTTAAATAAGGACCATAACTAATATTATTTATTACACTAATACTTTTTCTCTAGTCAAAAACTTCCTCTCATCAATGCAAGACGCCAAAAATTCACTGTATTTTAACTCAACCGAAGGTCTAGATCGTTTCTTCACATCTAAAGCATTCTTTGGTGAAATATTCTCAACCAATCTTTCAATTTCATCAATCGATGCAGGTGAACCCTACTCATTAATATATTAATAGAAACCTCTGCGATAAGTGCCTATCTTAATTCGAATATAGTAATTGTTCCTGAATTATCAACATCTATTTATTTGAATTTTTCTATTAGATTACTCAATTCTTATTCATTTAATTATTTCACTAAAATTGTCATTACTTCTTTTCGAAATTTACTTCCCCCTTTTTAAGCTGTTTGTTTCAGCATCTAATATATAGATCTGTTATCAGAATTAGAATTTGAAGGGGAGGCTTAACCTTTTTGGGAAATTTGATGGTCCAGTGTTTGTTTTTCCTCAAAAACTTCCAACTTTGTAAACCACTCTTGTTTTAATAAAGTTATTGCTGACGGTCTTAGGTTTGGATTCTTCTGCAACATTCTTCTTACTATATCTTTGGCATCATCACTCACATTCTTCCAAGCATTATATGTGAAGGTAATCTAAAAATACATTTTTATATAATAAATTACGTTAGCCCTTTAAATGTTATCGTATAGTTCTTCTTTTGATTCTCCGTGAAAAGGCATGTGACCTGAGAGTAATGTAAATAATAGAACACCAAGAGACCAGATATCACATTTTTCATCATACTTCCCTTGAATTACCTCTGGAGCCATGTACATAGGGGTTCCAACAAATGATTTTAAACGACGTAGCTTTGATGTATCGAATTTATTTGCTAATCCAAAGTCAATTAATTTTGGTTCAGCATCATCCTTCTTATTTGCTATCATAATATTTTCAGCCTTAATATCTCTATGCACTATCCCTTGACCATGAATGTATGCTACGGCAGATATGATCTACATAATTGACTTGTCATACCTTCTTCATTATTTCCTTGATGTTTCTTTCATGAAAATTTTTATATCGCTTTGGAATCCACTCTACTAGTTCTCCCCCTTTACAATAATCCATACAAATATAGAAGTTCATTCTATTCTGATAAACCTCGTGAAATTTGATTATGTTGGGATGATCCAACTTCTACAAAATAAATATTTCATTAGCCAAAATGTCTTCTCTGCCTTTGACTTTTTTTTTCTCAATAATTTTGATTGCATATTATTTCATAGGATTACTCCTCATTTTAGCTGCTATTACCTTTCCAAACGATCCTACTCCTAAGACTTTTCCAAGAACATAGATTTTAGAAATGTCTTCAGTTGAAGTAAACACCAAATCCTTATTTCTTGTTTTCATCGGCCTAATTTAGTTTTTTCTTGGCACAGTTGCACATATACAACCCATGTTTTAATTTTTTAATTGGAATTTATATCAAAATCTTTAACTTTTTATAAATGGATAAGCTAAGTATAAATGAAAATACAAATCAATAACAAATAATTTTTTATTAAAGTATTGAAATGGTCTTAAATATTTAATTGGTTTTAACAATAAAATAATTTATAAAGTGACATTTGTAATTAAATAATTAAATTTCGATAATGATTCTTGACTTCCTTTCGAATGTGGTCCTATTTGGAATAATCGCTTTAGTTGGCTTTGCAGCAGTAGGTTCCTTTGCTAGAAAACAAGGTTTCAGATCATGAATTACCTTAATATGTGAATATATATGTATATTCATACTTTCATTATACGTTTTTGCTATTTCATAGAAGACAAAGTGTCTTGGGACAATATTTTTAATTTTAGAAGGAAGAGAAGTCGTATTACATTGAGTACTGATGGAAGTTTAAATTAGCATATTAAATGTATTTTTAATAAATATCAACTCATAAACTATCATACTTTTTTAGCCTTCCGAGCAGAAAGGCAGGGTTTAGCTATTGGAGCAAGGGGGGAATGATTGATTGCATAGGGGACTAGGGATAGAGGGTTTTGTTAAGGAAATTGGGATTTTGAAGAATTGGAGCAGGTCTTCCTGGATAACGAGAGTCATGTATGAAATTACAATTATCTCCTCTTGTGCATCCAATGGAGGAATGAAAATTGTGACAATGCTTGGTTTTGTAGGCTCTCAACCTCTGAGCCTGAATGGGATTGATAGTTTATAATTGTTCAATGCGAGTTCTCTATTATTCTTATTGAGATTTAATGCGTTCTTATTCAGTTATAATTGATTATTTGTCATTCAACTTAGTTTCAAGGAATGATTTAAAATTTTTTATATATTATTCCTCACCAATTTCCTTTAATTTTTATATAATATCATGTAATAAAGTGACTTAAATAAATTAATATTCTTACGAATGCTTTCCTGGCTATGGTTTTGTTTCTGCTCAACCATCTGAACCAATTGCTGCATCTTGGGTTGGAGATCCTGCTTTGCCTGATTCAACATGATATCCTTCTAATTGGATTATTCAACTTGAGGTTTTTTCAAAATTCCTTTGATTTATTTTTTATTGGCATTCTTGTGCTTCTCCTCCAATTCAGTGAATCCCCGATTGCAGATGATTTGTACCATAAAAACAAGGTCTTCTCTCTTGGGAGGATCCAAATGAATGGTTCTGGGTTGCATTCCTGATTGCGTATTGGAAATTTCACTATACCCAGGCTGTTCAGGGATCTACTGGAGTTAATAGATTATATAAATATATACATCTCGATTATAGAAGGCTGACATTTTGGATTCTGTTCTCGTTTATTATTTTTGAGTTTCTTTGAAATTGGTATCGTATGCTTCTAAAAAGGTTGGACGTAATTCTAATAATTTTGAAGCATTTTTTACTAAAAGGTTTAATAAAGGGAATTTATTCGATCATTTATTGGATATTATCTAATTGGAGTTTGTGTTCTTGTCCTTCCATCATGGATTCTCTGTGTTTGATATCATAGCCATTTATTTGATTCAGTCTTTTAAGTTCCACTGAATATAATTTTTGAAAAGCTAACACTTCTTCTATAGACATTCCTCTTTGATTAGGTTCATCATCCCTTTTAAAATATTTGTAATTCATTAGAATGTCATCTCTTGCAAACCTATGAAATTCAATACTCAAAACATACCTAACATTTTTCTTTTTATTCTTTTTCCTTTTATTGGATGAGTCATTGGAACTTGATGATTGATTCCTTTTCACTTTTTTTTTGCGCTCTTCATATTTATCCTTCTAATTGTTATTTTTTTTTAAATCTTCCAATCCACTTCTATACATAGCATAAATTTTCAGCCATTTTTATTGGATGTGATCATTCATATTTGCTCTTTGATCTTCAAATAATCTCTTATCCTTTATTTTAATTAACAAAAGTCCCATTTCAGATTCTCGAAGCATTTAATCATTTAAATTCATCCTCAACAACAACATAAATATTTTATCCACAAGTTCCTCATTACCCTAAATGCATTTCAAAGATTCTCTCAAATATTAAGTAATCATCTTCATTGAACTTGATTATCCAACCCTAAAATTAGCCCTCCTTTTTACATGTCTATGAATTCTGGACTCGAATTGAGTATATAATTCACCAATTGGATTTTGGCATATACAGTAACTGCTGATTTCAATTACATGTTGATCCTATTCAAAAGCTCCTTACTACTCATTTGATCCATCAAAATAATCTTATATTAATTTATATTATCATAATTATTCCATCATATAACAAAACCTATTACACATTCTTATTACTCTGTACATCTAATTCTGCATCTTCATTAATTGTATGGAGTGAATAATAACTGTTGTATATAGAATTTCCTCTCATTAAAATAATTACAGATTAATGGAAGAATAATAATAACAAAACTATAGTGACTTAGTGAATCAAGAAGTCTCATAGTAAAATAAGCCAATCAAATGGGAAGTAGAAGGGAAGATGCCTCAAACAAGAGTGGGACAGATGAAAAAAGAAGCCGTCTACATTTTCTGGTTCGAATTCTTAGGCACATTCATGCTAACATTTTCCATCTACGCCAGCAAGTAAAGTCATTATAATACTTCAAGCAATAACCTATTCGTTTTCAGTTGTGCATATGGAATGTTAATTTTGGTCGCCCAAAATCAGAAGTGCTCATTCAATCCTGCAATCACCACTGTCTTATCTGGCAACGACAAGGGTCTATGGGTATCAGTAGCCATAGCCAGCTAATTTGGAGGAGCATTTTTGGCGAGTATGCTTGGTTTCTTTTGCTTTAAGAATTAGTAAAAATTTTGTAGATTATTATCTAGTGTAAATGATGTTCCATATTTGTCTTAAACTTCGATTGAGGAATACTTCGCAGTCATAATAGGAGAGATCTTAGGGTCACTTATACTGACTGCTGGCTTTTTGTTTTAGTATGATGACTTGATGGATTTCACAAGCGATAGATTAGAACATAGTATTATAATCAGTGGATTATATGGAGTTGGCAGAACTCTTAGCTATGTTGCGAAGAGCAGTCTGAATCCAGCTATTGCTATGGGGTATATATGAGAATAAAAAATTAGATTAGTATTTTTTGAGTGTTGTAAAGATGGTCATTGGGCTAGGTTTTGGAATCTGTGGATTTATACAGGATTACCATTTGTTGGAGCTTTCATTTCATTGACATTAATAAGAATATTATACAAGGATTGCTATGAAAAATAGATTAAGGCGGGTTTAAAATATTGAATGATAAGTGTTTGACAGATTTATGCAAATTTATTTTATTATTATTATTATAAACACAAATTTATTATATTCTTATTAAGTAGTTAATACAAAAGAAGTGTTGATGTAGTATCAAAATAAAGTTGTTGATTTATGTTGCTTATGGTGGTGTGTCAATATAGAAATGAAATTATTTTAAATTATTAAATATAAATAATTAATATCAAACATGTCCTCAAAAGAATCACGAAGACGTTCAAATAGAAGATCAAACCGCAAATAAAAATAGTATATATTCTTAAAGCGATAATCTTTTAGTTCTACTACTACTTCTTCGGTAGTGACTGATGATGAGTCTAATGGAAGCTCTTCAAGTGATGATGATTAGCATTATAAATACAGGAGGGGAGAATATATCAAAGAATACAAGGTCAAGAGACATATATTTGATGGTACTTTTGGAAGGGTCTTGAAAGTCAAGAGGAGAAATTCAAAGACATATGCCATGAAGGTAGTCAGACACAATCATGTTGAGAGTGCATAATCAGAAGCTGATGTTTTATTTCATCTAAAGAAAAAAGGATTAGGTCGCAGTTTTGTTGAATTGTATGAATGTTTTCACCATAGAGGGTACTATTGCATGATTTTTGAGAGAGTAATCATTTGTTATCATATAAATTTAGCTTGGACCCAGTCTCTATGAATTGATGAAGTTCCATAAAAATCAAGGACTTCCTATGACTTTAATACGAAGCATCAGTAAATAATTATTAAAGTTCATTGGTTAATTACATGATCTTAAAATTGTTCACACTGATTTAAAACCAGAGAATATCCTTTTTAGTAAAAATTACAAATTCAAAAAAGGATAGAACGATTTGTATATAAGCTAACCAATTCTTTATTTAGGTACTTACCACAAGATGAGAGAATCAAGATCATAGACCTCGGTGGAGCAGTGTTTGATCACGAAGGACATGATTGTATAATTAATACACGTCAATATAGAGCTCCTGAGGTTTAGTTGTAATGTTGTGAATGGGATCATAAAAGTGATGTTTGGGGGATTGCCTGTATCATCGCTGAAATGTATTTAGGTAGGAATGAATAATTTAAAATATTTCAGGACAGTTGCTATTTTAAACAAGAAAAAATGAGTATGAACATATGGCTTTGGTTGAAAAAATAACTGATCAAAACTTCCCTTATTGGATGGCCAGCAATGCCAGAGGATCATTGAAATAATAATTCACAAGGAGTTCTACCAATGGGAAATACTACATTTGGCCTTAGGAAAATACGACGAAGGAGAGCATTGCTAAAGTCGAAAATCAAAAACCATTAAGGGAATTGATACTTGATCCATTATTAAGAGATTTATTATAAAAAATGCTTGAAATCAGTCCCGAAAAAAGAATCAGTTGTCACGAAGCTTTGCATCATAAATTCTTTCGTCATTGATAATGAACAATAATTTTATACAATTTTAATTTATTTCTAATTTTGCCAGATATCATCCCTCTTAATTTTCCATCAGGTACTTAAAAGTATACTAGCATTCTTATTGTTTTCAAAAGTGGTTTATTTCATGAATAAGGATTTAATTTCAATTGAGATGTAAATGAAGTTTCATTTGAAATACTATGTTAAGACATTCTATGGTGGTTGTATAAATTGAAATTGAGGAAGGTGGAAGAATATTCTCTAGTTTTTAGAATTTGATCTTAACAATTGATTATAATCACTTAAATAAATTGATATTTTAAAATCATTTTCTTAGATTTCTTTGGTCAACAGTGCTATTATTTAATTGTATTTTTACTTTGTCTTTTGTTAGGTTGGTATTTATTTGTCTACATATTTCATAACAGCCGGTTACTAAAATTTAAACTAATCCAAATCAGTTCTACACATTTAATCATAGTCCTCGTCGCATTCTTCTACTTTTTTTTATTTTTCTTATTTCTGGGATACCACTTCGCTTGGAATAATCTCAGAGAGTATGTTAAAACCCATATTGGAATATACTAAATTGTGAGACTTGTTTATGGTCATAGTATCGTCGAAATACTTCTTTGACAATAACTAACTGTATAATTTCTTAAATTGAACTTTTGTTGTATTTATTCCTGTTAATTTCTTTCAGTTGTTATATCCAAAACTGAATCATTAACATTGCATGGTCTCATTGAGTATACGCCTTTGTCAATTTCCACATTTAGATTCAATTTGCCAGTGAATATTGGTACAAAGGATTCCTTTTCCTAAATAGTATTATTAATTTCATTCTTCTCTTCATATGTAACAGTAGTATTTTAGACTGCTTAAGAACAATGACTTCCCATTTAATAATTATTATCAAAATTAAAATTAATTATTTCTTAGACTTAAAGGATGCTGGTGACACATTAAAATCATAAGAAGATCCAAAAACAATCTTATTTTTACTTAAATATAATAACAATTCTTAATCAATTAAAACTTCAGTTGTTAGTTTAAAAATATTGAAATTTAATTAATAATAAATTAATACTTATATTTTATACTTATATAGTATTAAATTGAATTATCATTCATTGTCGTCTTCAACAATGTTTTTTGATAATGTCTTCATTATGGACCTCCATTCTTCAAGTATGGATTTTAATTATTGTTTCATTTCTGAAATGAAACTCAACAGTTCGTCCTACATAATGATAGACATTTTATCACTTCTGTCCTTATTTTTTTGATATTTAGTTTTCAACACATCCATTTCTAGATCTCTCTATAAATCATTGTAATAAATACTCTGCTTGAATTATCTGTATATTGCATTTTGAGTTGATCTATTCTTTATTGATCAATCAATAATTGTTATTACAGATTTCTTCTTCTTTTGCAAGCAGTCAATGCCCATTCAATTTCAAATAAGCTATTTTGTAGTTTGGGTATAAATTTCCTATCGATGTCTTCAATCTCTCTATTTATTTTAGTCTGTCTGACCTCATTGTTATACTTCAATTACTTAAATTATTAAATATCTTCTTCACTTGCAGATCCCAAACCATCTAATTATGTAATTAACTCTTCTTACTCCAAGAATAGAGAGCCTCATTTTAATCATTCAATGTCTTGACTTCTTCTCTTAATGTAGTGACATGTTCTTCAACAACTGCTTTTAATTTGTTCCCTTTCATAGAAAAAGATAAGAGGAGTGTTTCATCATATGTCAGATCCTTCTCACTCCCATCAAACATCCTTGCTGGATCTTACCCTTTGGCCGCCATAGTACTACTATGCCACAGAGTTTTGACTGATTGTAAGAGATTGTCACATTTTTATTCGATAGTTTTGTTTTATTCTAATTCCCCTTTCAAAAGAGAAATAAACTTATAATTATTTCTAATTGTACTTTTTCTTTATCTTCAATAAAAATTCTTAATTCTGGCACGTATCTTAGATGGTGATGATTTAGTATTCTTTATAGAAATTATTAAAGGTCTTTCCTTCTCTTTTCAGAAAACTATTTGTTTAAATTTTAAATCACAAAATAATACTTCATAACTAGCTAAGTTAACTTTGGTGAGTAAATGCTTTTCAGGAATAGCAGGGATTATATATCCTCCATATTTATTAATCAATTCTGAGTATAACCATTCAAAATCACTAAATCTCCTTGAAACTTCAGTTTCCCATTCGCCTCCTAACTTTTTAGTTCTGACTAGATATAATTTGTATTTAGTTATGTATCCTTCTTTCACGACTTCACCATCTTTTACTTCTACAGTACGATTATTCATGAATTCATTAACAACAATTGCATTATAAAAATCTACATTGGGTATCACATTAGCTTGATGACTATAAATTAATTATAGGAATGTTACTCAAAGTTAAGTAAATCCATCTGCTGAGTCCCATTATTTTCTAAATCATCTAATAAATTCATTTTTCTCAGATTATAAAATTAATTATAAAAAATGAACACAAAATCTACTTCCCTCTATTTGAGTAGTAAATAAATGAGTCAAAAGAGAATAAGGTCACCCCTCAAGAAGCAGTCCATGATTTTCAAGTAAAATTCAGATGAGGAAGATAATCAATCAGAAGATGAAAAAATGGAAGTTATTAATCTTAATTACTTTAAAGCCAAAAAACATCAAAAGAAATTTAATTTGCAATAGATGCTCCAATAAGGCAAATTGGCTGAAGATGAAGTAGATCACAATCCCCATTTCCCAAGTCCAACGATCAATACAAAATTAATACATAATATATTCTAAATTTATCACTCAGACAAAAGTGAAACCTTAACTGAAGACAAAATACATGGAACTGCTGAAAAGATATCTAAATAGACTAATCAAAAATTGGTAAATCAAATCCTATTCAATAAAATGAGATAGAAAAGAATAGTATCACAACATGAAATAAATAACTCAACCACCAATGTATTACAAAGCTTTAAAAACCTATCTTCGATATTCAAGAGTGTCAACTAGATTGTAGACTATCATGCTGTAGCCAATCAAATCAGACAATCATAAGCACAAATTACAATAAACAAAGAAGAACATAAAAATTTGGAAAGACAATAATTTAATTTCAACTACATCATCGAGGGTAGATTGAACTAAATTAAGTTGCTCAGTTAAGAAATTTATCAATATCAAATGAGTTTGTAAAAATTAAGAATGGAAAATTGCAAATTAAGAGATCATGTCACCAAATTAGGCGATGAAATTGATTAAATCAAATCCAAATATACTAAATAAAGACAATTAGCACTCCATTAAGAAGATAAACTACATCCAAATAAAAAATGGGATAGGCAATAATACTTTTAGGTTATTGATTCGAATGAATAGATGGAATTAGCTAGAATCAAAACATTTTACATGGAATATTAACAACAATTGTAATTCAATCAAACCTAATTGAAAAAAGAAGAGGAAATGCTATAAGATATTAAATATACTAAGAAATAAATCAAATAAGATTTAGCAGAGTTCTTAAAATAAGTATTGCAGAGTGAAGAAATTTAGTAACTTATATACTTATAATACATAGAATATCAGGATCTATCATAATCATAGTAAAACTATTAATGTAAATTAATGAAAGCGTGACATAAGCTGATTTCCCATGCTATCTCGATAATCAATCAAGAACATTCCTTATATCTAAGGCTAAATTAGAAATTAATAATGATTATTTGAAGTTGCAAATGAAAGAAAATCAAGTCAAACAATAACAACAACAGGGAAATAGAGTTAATTATGAGAAGAAACTGTTTTAAGTTATGAACACTATCTAAAACATGAGGAAATAAAAGTACACCTTGAAATCATTCGAATTATAATAGAGTGACTCTAAATAAGACAATCTAAGTTAAAAACTGTCCAATTAGTCACTCTAAATTAATAATTTGGATAATCAAATTATTGAATTGGAGGAATAAGAAATCTAAAGACTTTAGATACTTTATTAAGGAAAACAATTGCCTAATAGCTCTTTGTAAAAACTAATTAAAACAGTATAAGCTGAATTCGGCTATAAATAAATGAATCAGAAGTTAAGCATAATAATTCAGAATTATGACAACATTAAGAGTTAAGTCAATAAAACCATAAAGTGAAATAATTAAATATACATATTCTACTGTTTTCATTAAATCCAATTCTAAGCTATTATATCTATATCACCATTTTCAATGCAATGGATAAATTAACCATTGTTCCATTCCCCTACTTTCTTTTTACCATCCAAATATATCATCATACCATTTCCATGCTATTTTCCATCCATCCAGTATCCTTTATATTATTTTCCATCCGGCCAGTAGAATATACCAAAACCTTACTTTCTATCGAACTAATATTCACCATTGTAGCATTTCCCATCCTTCCAACTATACTTCCCTCTCCCATGCATTTAATTTTCGACCCAATCTCCCACATAAGACTGAAATTATTATTTATCTATTTACCCTCCCATCAGGCCAATCATATTTCCCCTTTCCATTAATATTATTGTGTTTCCATTCGCCTTCATATTAGCAACCTTATTACCATTTGAAGTATCCAAACCCATCCTTTTTCCCACCCTTAAATGTTCCTTTATAAATTGATCCATTAATTTATATTTCAATTCCGAATCCATCAGGCTTATTATTTAAGAAATCTCCTTCATAAGTAGTTCCACTATTATATTTATAAAGGCCTTTTCCATGCATTAAATTATTACAAAAATTTCCTTCATAATAATCTCCATTTTGTAGCCATAATTTACCTTCCCCATTTGCTTAATTCTTCTCTATTTTACCAATAAACTTTGATTGATCTTCAAAATACAATTCTTCTGTCTCATAAAAATCTGCTGAGTTTGCTTTCTCTTTTCTAAATACTTATTTTAACTGTCTCATCTCGTCTAAACTCTTCTTACTATTTGTTTAAGGAGGACAGACTTAATGAATTATTTCTACTAATATACTTGAAGCGATTTCCTGACTTTCATCTAAATTCTCTTCTGATTACAAAGATTTCTTTTATTATATAAAATTGCCTAAAAATAAGTCTTCTTCATTTTTAATTTAGCATTTCGTACAATACATTCCCATTAAAATATATTTAATAATTAAATTATTCACTGATTTAAGGATTTAACAATCAAAAACCATTAAATAATAATCGTATCCCAATATTTATTTAAAAACAAAAATACAACAATACTAATTGTTGTCAATATATAAATGTAGCCATTTGCATAATGACTTTCAAACAGAAAGATATGTAATTTAAGCAAGAACTAACTCATAGTTTATTATATTAATCAATTCAATATAAAAAATAATTTAATTCAGAATGAGAATATTTAATATATTATTCAATTTATATTAAATTTAATAAGAGAAATAAAATAGAGACCTATTAATATCTTTACATTAAATTAGAAAATAACTAAAGGAGAGGTCTTTTACATGCAAAATCATCAATTTTTTTTCAATGCTATAACACTGATTTCTAATTATTAAAATATAAACTGGACACTTTGAGATATTTTTTCATTACATTGGTTTAAAATCTTGTTGTGTTTGGATTATTTTTTTTACATTTTTTTAATTTCTTAAAGTTTATGAGAGCCTATTTGAAATCAATCACTTTTGTATCATATTTGAGTTATTGAGAATTATAAATTATTCAATGATGTCCTTCGATTTTTAAACTGCATAATAAATTACAAGTTGGTCAGAGCAATATCAAATATAAATGTGGAGCAATCTTTTAATTCCCATAAACTATTGCAAGTTCCTGTCTCACTACTAATTTGATTTATTGTAGATTTAGTTTTATACATTTAAATTTGCATATTTAGGAGTAGTGTGCTTCCAGAACATAGCAATTTTTTCATTTAGTAAATTTTATTCACTTTATAGAATTAATTTTATTACAGAAATAATTATGAACAACTTTTAAGATGAATTAAGAAATGCAGAAAATGCAACTAGCAACGAATTTCTGTCTTGGTTATAGAAAGTCAGTTACGAACTTCTCTAATAAAAAGAATACACTTATGGCTAAGAATTTTTTAGATTTTAACACAATGTATATGAACTTATCTTCAAATAAAATGGTAATTTGAATAATAGATTTCGCGATACACAAAAAAGATTTTCATCAGTTGAAGACACACTTTAACTTATAAAATTGTTGCATTTACTTTCACCTGAAGAAATGTCATTTTATTCAGCGCTGCCCTCTGAACATCCTTATCATCCTGTTTCATAAGATGTATTGCCTGCACATATACGATTATATTTTAAAGACCCATCAATTGCTCATATGAATTAATAATACTATACTTTTTAAGAAATATTTTAAGAGAATATTTTAGTTGAAAAAAATTAACTAAAATTTTGTGTTAGTGCAAAAATGATGTTTTGGATCTATTTATTAAATGGGGCCATTAATTTCAAGGATAGTGCATTGTATGTTACAGAGAACAGTCAAAAAGTGTTAGATTGTGCTTTTAATAAATGCAAAAGGAAAATTAATACAAAGGATCCCTTATTAAAATAACTCACTTTTAACCCATACCTTGTTTTAGTTAGAAGAATTTTAGAACACATGTACGCAAAAGTCAAAGAAAATAATTAAATCATCAGCAATTCAAAGAAACATTTTGCAATCTTCACTTTTCAATAGATGATTATACTATTATAAGAATATTCATTATACGAACATTTATATGTTTCTAAATTATTTGAATTGAATCTCAATATGGATCAATCGAAATTACTGTAGAGCATCAAGCCAAGCAGCGTAGTCTTGGATACGCAGATGATGCTCGTTTATTTAACAATATATTTTAACTCCTAATACGGGATTGATTTGGAAACAATGTATTAATAGTTAAAACCATTTTTTAAAAATAATGATATTTCTACTAAAACTAATTAATTCATCTATTAAAACAGAAGCTTTTTCTTTGAATGTGGAAGATAGTAGTAACCAATAACCTATTAACAAGGCTTATACAAGTTCTTTTAGTAATCTTTTGAGATTTATTCTAATGAGAGACAATGCAATTAGATAACAATATATTCACACTTAGCAGCTTATGTTATATTTTTAAGATGGCAATTTGTTAAATATGAATTTAACATCAATAATTAAGCTTAAATTTTTGATTAGGCTTGCTCATCCTGTGTTGCCTCATCTAATTAAATTATGATTCAACTTTAAAAAAGGAGGGATACTACGGATAAAGGTAACAATCAATTGACTAAATTTATCTTCACTTAGCTCTATCCACTTTATTAGGTCTTTAAAAATAAATTTGGAGAATGTCCTTAAGCAATTTTATTTAAGGACTTCAAACCACAATTAAGATTGAGTCAGTTTGAGTATCCAGTTGACACTCAGAATAGAGAATTTGATCCCCAAAAAAATTATATGAGAAATTCAGTAAGACTCTATTATCCTTTTTACACAAAATTGCTAATTACTATTTTTTAATGTTTAAATAATTTAAATTATGTTAATGATTCAGAATACGAAGGATTAATTCATTTATTGACGTTTTTAAATCCTCATAATTAAAATTCATTCTTTTGTAATTCATTACAATTTCTTGATTAAGAACCTTATTAAATTCCAGCATATTCAGAAGTTAAAAAATTTTTGTGATATCTATGTAAAAAACAATAATAAAAAAGACTTTGAAATAAAATAGCATGAAAATATTAGAGTCTGGGTATCTTAGATAATTTAATTGTTGATGTCATATCAATAAAGAAAGGGCATAAAAAACGAAAGTATAGCAGAATATTTAGGTTAATAATTTAACATTTAAACATCAAAAATTAATGTGATTCCAATCAAAATTATGAGTCCTTAGAAGAGTCCTGGCAGATTATCAAAATAAAAAATGTAAACTAAAATTTAAAATTTAGTATAATTCAAGAATGGAAGGCTCCCCTGAGAGATTACGAAATCTATGTTTTATTTCTAATAATGTGGTATCTGAGTTTAGGATTAGATAAATTGACGGGATTGCCTTAAAGCGAATTTCCATAAACACAATGGCCAAGGAAATTTGCTTCCCCAATAAATTTATTTATAGTGTTCATTATTCTTTATGGTTTCTTAACAATCATTTTCACGTTCATTTGATAAATATTGATATATCATTATAATTAATCGATCAATTAGATTATTATATATGAGAAAAAACTGTCTAGAAGACAGCAAAATTAATGATGTCTTTGTAAATAAATAATAGGATTCAACTTTGGGTTGTCTATTGTTGGACTGATCCTTTAAATTGATTCAATATGGTGACCATATTGTCTATCATATTCATCACCTACTGACATTGTTCTAACTTTTTCATAATGTCTATAAATTCTGTTTCTGATAGAGGTCCATTTTTCAATTTTCTCTTCTTTTCAAGTTTCTTGGTCTTTTGAGCTCTCTTGGTAAATCCTTTGAATTATTCTTTTTTATTTGAATTCTTTTCTTCACTAACATATTGAAATTCCCCCTAACCAATTTCAAATGATTAATCGTTTCCATTAGAGAAACAGTCTTCCTGAATTGATGGGTCTGGACTTTAAATTCTGAATATAGATTTAATGTATTTCGATTTAGTTCTGTATAGATGACAATCTTCTGAAATCTATTCGTGATTTTCTTAAGGTTAAGGTAAATTATCGTAGAGGAAGCCACTTATTTCCATTAAGAGTGTTTATTAAACAATATAAATTATTAATTCTAAAGATATTTAATATAAGTTCTTGAAATTACTCATAAGGTTTAAATTTATGATATCATTATTATATTTTTACAAATAAAGCTCGATTAATTATCTATTAAAAATAATTTCTTTGAGATTTTCAAGATAATCTGTTTAAAGTAATGATAACTATTTTCGTAAAATCACTTTGATAGTTTAATTAAATTCCATAAATTTTATGCTTCCTTCCGATTTAATGTTTATTAACGTGCCATTAAGTAATATGATGACGTCATTATTTATATTATAAGTACAATTAATAGGATCTGCGCAAAACGAACAATCGAATTTTATGAAAGATACTTAGAAAAGTTTATGAAGAAATCAAAAACATGATTTAAATAAAATTTTAAAACATTTTTTTTTTATAATTTTACATTGATTGAGTTGAGCATATTAAAAAAGGAATTTAACTTATAAATTATCAGGAAAAATCTTTTACCATATTTTTAGTAAAATTTGCTAAGAATAATAAATTTCTTCGATTTATATTTTGTTTGACTAACATTTAGATGATTAATTTAATTATCAATAATATATTGATTTTCATAATATCACTGATAATTATATGAGTAGGAACTCCAGATTTAATATTATAATAATAAAAGATAAATAAATTGATAAAAAAATGAAAAAGATCAATTTTTCTAATTTATCTACTTTTTGTATGAGTTTAAAATTCTTGATTTGATTTTGGACAGGATTCCTTCAAGATTGTCAATTAGTTATTACATTTGTTGACAATATTGAATTTATTAGGTAGTGTTATCTCCAGAAAGTTTGGCACAGGTAGCAAAGTTATTCAGTACTCTGCTCACTGAAGGAGAATTCTAATTTTTTTTAGAGGAAGTTCTCTTGTGACTTTTGTGAAGTTTCTTTTTGATAAGAGGTTTGCTAGGTTAAGAAGGTTGGTTTTGTTGACTGCAGTCATCATCTAGAGTATCAGTATGATATTGAAGATGTATGGGTGAGAGTTCGTCTTCATTATTAAACTTTTTAATTTAAGGATGCCCAAGAAGAAGAGGTGAAGGGCAAACCATATTGTCAGAGTATTCATCCCATGTGTTGTTGTTGAATTACTCATCTTCAAAAAAGTTTGAGTCCATTATTTTATTAAATTATTGAAATATCTTTAATTGCAATTTAATTTTTAGATTGAGAATCATAATAATGCATATGAATATGAATACGGCAGAAAGAAGAATAAAATAAAAATATGAAATTGAATTCGTTTTTAAAATACTTCTAACACAAACAAGAAATTAATTAATTTTATGGTGATTGCTTTTATAATAAAAGGAATATTGGCACCATTTATTATATTGCTCTTGTATTCAAATTCAAAGGCTTTGCAAAATTAGGAATAGTACGTCAGAAACTTTTGGGAGAATTTCTTTGGAGAGGTATACTAAATTCGAAAGCAGACATTCATCAAGAATTCAGCATTCAAGCCTGAATATAATGTAATGATCCTTCTTAATAATTAGTAATCTCGTTATAATGTTGCTGAATCTCCCTTGTATTGCAAAAAGAGTGATTCATACAAAATGACTCATCCAGATATAGTATTGCAAGATTACTATGTATGGAGAGACTACCCACCCTCAAATTTACCAAAAAAGATTACCTTAGATAGAACATTTGCAGTATTAGATAAGGTGAGTCCAACAAAGATTGCCACCTACAAATTTGAGAATCAAATGCCACTTTAACTTGGATTTATTTATACAACTGTCTCATCCTTGTACAACAACTATGTTTGGGGTAAGGGATTAGGTTGTGTATTACAGAAGTATAGTCATATTCCAGGAAAGAGTTCTGTGGCAATGAAAAACTAATTGATTGACAATTTCATGAGATATGTTAGAGGTTTTGAAAAGAAGAACATCACCAACCCAGAATGTAAGAGGAATGCTTCTTTCATTCCTGAGACATATCGATTAAATGATGAAGATGATTGCAAGGCATTCTTTGAAACATTCAAAACAGATGATTATTAAAAGAGATTCAAAAAGTATGGGCCATAATACATTCTGAAGACTAATCAACATAGAGGAGAGGGAATTACAGTTTTATTTGAGAAAGAGAAAAATGATTTATTAGTAGAATACAATCATGGATAAGAGTGTGGAAATATTTCAAAGTAAGTAATTGCTCAAAGATATATATCTAATCCATTCTTATATAAGGGACACAAGATAGAATTTAGAATCTATTATACAATTATATCAACTAAACCAGTAATTGCATATTCATATTCAAGGTAATTCAATTTATCATTTTATAAATAGAGCTTTGATTAAAAGATGTGCAAAACCATTTAGTGTCCATTCAACTGAAAAAGGGGCTCATGTTTGCAATACAGCAATTGTCAAAAACTTAGTGAAAGCTGACAAGGATGATGAGGAGATTGAAGATGAAGAATTCTTCATTGATTGGTATTTGGAAGGATTAGAAGAACTATTAATCAAATAAGGAAGAGCTAAGAAAGGATGGCTATAATCATATCTATATCCCAAGATCCATAGATCTTTGATTCATATGACCAAAGCTACTTATCATTCATTTGCCAGAGATAGCACGTACTAATCCTTCTTAATCTAGGTTTGGCGAGTTTTTTGCAGTTGATTTTCTACTCGATGATAATCTAGATGTTTGGGTCTTAGAAGTCAATTATAACCCATAAATCCTAAGTGTTACTCCAGACAGAATCAAGAGAAATTATAAAATGTTAGAAGATCATTTCGAATTTGCAATATGCTTATATCAAGAGCAAATTGTATCGATTGTCCTAATTTGGTAAAACGCTTATGAAGAATTAGAACAAATCAATTCTTAATCAATCTAAATAAGTTGAGGAATTGTTAAGAGATAAATTGGAATCTCAGTTTGAACTTAGTAAAGGAAATTTATATGTTAAAATTATGGACGAAGGATTACCAGGTACTCAAGCATATACCAACCTTATATCCAAAGAGTGTCTTAAATGACTTTATCGTGTATATCATATTAAAATTTAATGATAATTTATAAACATGTATACCTGAAAAGAATACACTTATTCCATCCTCTATATTTTATTGATATCAACATTTATTATATCTTATTGATTGAATGGAAATTCAAATGAGTATAAATGTATTTAATGAACTCTAATCATGTAATAATCCAAAATCTAATTTAGAGTGTAAAAATAATATCAGAAGATGAATAGTTCTAATATAATAAATTAAATTATAAATATACCAATGTTGAGACTCCATAACAATCAATTCAAAAAGAAAGCTCGAATTATGTCTAGAAATAAATAAAAAAGGATATTTTATTATTAAATTTGTTTATATCTCCAAATTTAAGAATTTAGCGCCCATTTAATATAATTATATGCCAAATAAACAACAACAAAAGAGTTCCAAGAGACAGAATCAAAAAAAACAGCCTAAATTATAAAAATCAATAGATGATGAAGTAAACAGTGCTGCACAGAAACCTCAATAAATAAAATTTAGAGAATAAGAACAACATTAAATATAATAATTCATAAATTCTAATGATGACTATAAACTATTACTGTTAACAGGGTAACCGGGAACAGGAAAAACTACTCTGATTCATCAATGTTCTAAATAATGGAGAATAAAGAAGTACAAAATTATCTATACTAATGCTATGGGATTTTAAAATTATAAAGAAGTTATTTTATATCTATCAAAAAAATTGTAATATCGTAATGTTATTACTCATCGAGACTTTGAAAAAAAATTACAAAAGTAAACATCAAATAAACAGTATCATACATTTTAATCAATTTAGGATCATAGTATTCGATGAATTTGAAAACCTATTTAAAGTAAACGAAGTTGAAGCATTCTAAATATTTTAATTATCTAAATATGTACATCTCATAGGAATTTGTAATAATATTGGATTCTTAAATTTGAAATCAAATAAACATTCAATAAAATTACCTCCTTATTAGAATATCGTTTTTGAGCCTTATACTTTGATTTAAGTGTAGGAATTGGTTAAAGACATCCTTACCACAAAAATGTCAAAGTAATTGATACAATTAATATTTAAGGTAAATAGATCAAGATTCTGTTAAGTTAACAATATCAAAAACTTACAACCAAAAAGGAGGAGATATGAGATAAATCCAAGAAGTTTTGAGTAGAATAATTAGAAATGCTGAAGAGGGTTTGACAGAGGATCAAGAAATAAATTTAAATCAAGTTGATTCTGAGATGAAAGGAGTTGTTGAAACTTTAGCCTTCAATTAATAATTAATCATAATAGGGTTGATGGTTTTGCTAAGATAAAATCCAATTGATTTAGAAATTGATATGCAAGATTTAATAAGGAAAGTGAATGAAATTAAGTATAGGATGAAGCTTCAATTAAATGTAGATTTAGAGGAGGAGATAATTCAATTAAAGAATTACAATCTCTTTGACTTACGAGAGGTAACTCAAGAGTAAATGAACTTTAAAGTCAAAGTAAAAAAGGTGAAATCTAAATTTACATCTGATGAATTGAAATATTAATTATCTGATCTTGATGCTCTTAAAACATTTTACAATAATTATGAATATATTTGATATATAATCATTAACATCGTATTATCATTCCCGACTTAATTAGCCACTTCGTAAAAGAACTTACAAACTTGGAAGCTAATATAAAGTGTACTCGTTTTCAAGAACATATACTAAAATGAAGCCAAGTTTATCCTTTAGTGAAAAGAAACAAGTCGTCTCGGATAATAAAGTTCTCAATTAAAGTTGTCATTGCACAGATTGCGGAGGTAAGATTCACAAGAAATTACTCTCAAAATAAGACACTGATCATTTTCCACTTGATAAGATTATAAAAATCAAGCATTCGGAATTGGATAAAACTCCAACCAATTTGGAAACACTTCTTCGTTCTAGTGGCAATCCATCTATGTATCTATAATTTATATCCTCAGCCATACTCCTATGAATGTAAGTAAGACAAGGACAAAATTTAAACCCATCACTCACATCCTTTAAATGGTACATGTGAAAAGCGTGTTATCAAAGTTAGTAAATTCTCACCCGATCAAACAATAATAATAAGCATTTTAATCATCTCCCCAAACTCTCTCTGATTTTACTTCGAAGCTTCAGGGTTTGAAGATTTTTGAACCAAAAGATATACAAACTCCTGTGATTGGATAAAGATTGAAGACTGAACCAATTATTTAAAACTAGCAATAGCCTCCGTAAATTGATACAAAAAAGTTTTATTATCCAAGAGTCTCTAGAATAAGCTAATTAGGAGCATCAAGTCTTCTAAATTCTTCAGAAGCGATTGATAAGAAGCCTGTGAATAAATTAGCTGCTTTAACTAGTAGATATAAATCTCCAGATAATCTAAAATTAAGAACATTATCTTAAAGAATTCAATGTACTTATTTCAAAAAATCGGATTCGAAACTCAAAGACATTGTTAAGAGACACAATTGATGTTTATTATTAAATTATGAAAAAATAAAGAGTATAACAATAATCAAGATTTCCTGTAACAAAAAGACCTTTATAATAATTTGATTTGGAAACTGAAGAATAAATAGAATAGAGATTCAATGAATTTTTAAATGAGGCTTAAAATGAAACAATAAAATTAGTAACAGTTGAGAAGGGTAAATAGAGAAGATTGGCATTTAATCAATTCAAAAAGAAAACAATCAAGGAGAGTCAAATGGTTGAGTAATCTTCGTATGATGGAGAAAACCAATCTCGAGCTGATGAAATTATAGAATTAGAGCCAAAACCAGAGAAGGAGATAAATCAAAAAAATGAAGAATTTTACAAATTTTTTGTTGATCGATACTTCCATAAATAAGTAGTGAAATAATAAGCATCAACATAAACCTTAACAAATGATGTAAACTTTTTAGTCAACAGATATGGAGATGTATTCTTAATAATGTAATTTAGTTTTTACAAAATTCACTTATGTCTAGTTTAATTATTGATACCTTAAAACACAAATTTTAGACTCAAATACCTACGTATGATCATTTTGGAACTGCGTAAAAGATTTTGCAATCATTTAATGTCTCAGCTGTTACTTTGTGTAATATGAAAACTGCAGAAGAAAGACAAGCATACTTGCTAAATAGTTTCTAAAGCAAATGCGATTCATTGATGAGTGACTGGGTTCTCAAAATTGCAAAGAAGGATAAATAACTCCAAATGATAGATAAGTAATTTACACTCACAATAATGAAGAATCGTAAACAACAAAATGATTTATTTAAATGGCTGACCTTAAAAAGTAAATATTAGGTTCTCTAAAAAAAGTTAAGAGAGATGCTTATGGAAAAAATAAATGAATACGAAAATCAAATTAAAATTGCAGATGCTATTAGCAAAAATAAAAAGGTTAATTTAAAAGGTATTGAAACCATTTAAACTTCGTAAATTGTTAAAAATAACAATTTCTATTCACAAAGCAATCAAGATTTATTACAGTGGAATCCAATATTGGAAGCTAAATTTTAAAAGGAAAGATTAAAAGCTCAATACACTTACAATTCAGCAATTAATTCTAGTAATTTCAATCAAGTAGCCTTTATGCAGATATTTGATTAAGTCAAAATCGATGATCCTGTCTATTTATAACGAGAAGTCAAAATGTAAAAATATATGAATGGAGACTGGTTAACACCATAGGAAATGAAATTTCTTGCAAATACATCAGAATTACTAAATAAATGTGTTGATTAAAAGTAAGTCAAGAAAGCAGTGATGCACATCAAAGAAAAATAAATCTATGACTTAGAAAATTATTTAGCTTAATAGATTATTTAGAATCATTAGTCACTCAATTGCTAAATTCAATAAGCTAGATCATTTTGGTTAAAGGAATAAATAACGAAAAGAAAAGCTTAAATCAAACAACATGACAAACAACTCTAAGAATCAATTAAACATAACAAATAAGTAAAGGAGCATGATAGAAAAGTCAAGAAACTTCAAAGAATTTGCAAAAAGCTAGAAGACAATATATCCATAAAAGATTAAGTTTACAGGAACTTCTTCGCTCTGATTTTTGTCAGAAAGATAATACAGAAGGTAGAGTATCTCAGATTTATTCAATTGGAAAAAAGTAATATGTTTGTAAAGGAAACACTAGCGGAATAGGAAAAGTTGAGACTTCATAAATAAAGATTAAAAGCACTTTCATTACCATACAATCATGAAGAAGATAAACGTAGAAGATACCATCCATCTTCTAAAGTAGGATTTGTTCCTACTCATGGTATGACTGCTGATGATTGGGAGAGTAATGAAGGTCAAAGATTAGCTGAAAGGGATTAAGATATAAAGGCAAAAAGAAAATGAATACAGATTAGGAGTATTATCAATCGATAGGAATAAAAAAGAAAACTTTTAAAAGTTTTACTCATCAGGCCCAAATAAAGCTTTAAGACAAGATCCAATTTTCGATCCTCTAAATCCTAATGAACCTCCTAAACTGAGTGAAAAAGAATTAAATTCAATCATTATGATTCAAAGAGCCATCAGAAAAAGAATTGCTTACAAAAAATTAAAAAATTATAAGGAATTATTTTTTCAAAACAAACTTCGAATTTACTCAGAAAAATTAACAAGGCTAAATTCGGAAAAGGAGTTCCAAACAAACGTAAAAGAAATGACAATTTAATTAATTAATAAACCTCAAATCAGAATTAAAACTTCAAGTAATAGAGTAAAATCAGAAATTTCCTTAGCTAAGTCAATGAGAACAAAATTAAAAACTGAGGAAACTGCAGAACCATCTTCAATTGGATTTGGGAGATAAGGTAGATTAGTAACAACGTAAAATTTATCGAAAGTCAAGACTCTTCTTGTTAAACATGAAAGACTTCTTAGATATTCTAAATTGAATTAACCAAATCATATCCTAAAATCAGGGTTCTATTATACACAGGATGACATAGATGTTATGGATCAAGATGGAAATACAGCTCTGTATTATGCTTCTATGCATGGAAACAATATTTTAATTGATTTTATGTTGAAACATGGAGCTAATCCTAATGTATTATGCAGTGATGGGACTCCGATGCACATGGCGATCAAATCAAATAAAATAGATGTAATATAATTTATTTCCCTTAGGTGATATACTTGTTGTTAAACAATGGTGGGAGTCTAAATATTGTGAACAAACACAATTTCACTCCTTTGATTTATGCAACTGACAAAATATTAAAATAATTGGGTATGAAATAAAAAGGAATTGTTTCTGTTTCCAAACAATTTACAGAAGTAAAAAATGATGAAATACTTGTATCTAAAGACATGGCTTCTTAATGTGATTGATGAATTTCATCTATTCATCCTATTTTTGTTTTTTTTAATCATGTGTTGTTAAAAATTATATTACTGAAATTTAAAGCTTCTCAACTATAAATTTATACAATAAAATGTATTTAATTCGAAAAAAACAAACAATTAACAATTAATAAAATCTTTATCAAACTAATATCCATGGCAGATGTATAAATTTCTTAAATTCATTTAGCCCATCAAAATTGTGATGTGCATTCTTTGTTGCCCTTAGTGGTTCAGTTACTATTCATTTTTGCATAATTGTGCTAGAACTTGTGATATCACATCAAAAAGTAACAGTTTTATAACATATTCTGTAGTCTTCAAAAGCATTGGAAGTACACTTTGGAAAGTTCTGTTCGTCCTATTTATGGCGTTTTGCGGATTCGAACTAGTGAATTGTGTATTATGCATAGTGGGATGTGTTCATTGCTTCGGAACTCCATTTTAGGTTTGATTTCTAATAATTATATAAAGGCTTATTAAGGAGGCAGCACATGGGTGGACTCCTTTCATAAAATGGTACTCGAACCTAGTTGTGATTTTGAAGGGAAAATAAGTGACATTCTTGGGAAAATGTTTAAACATTGATTATAAATATTGCAAAAAGCATCATTATTAAAATTTAACTCTTCTTGATCTAATGAATTCAATCAATTCATTTTTAAGAATATATTTACACTATATACATTGAAATATCTAATTATAAAGAATGAAAATTTTTATACTAATGAAAAAGATCTAAAATATTTTTAATCTGAATTTGCATACATTTATTCAATTAGTGAATAGGGATAGCGATAATTTTAAAATTGAAACAGAATTCCAGGTAGTATTCCTTTACATAAATCTATATATATAAATGATCTCATATAAAATATAAATAAATTTAAATTGATCTAAAGCAAACTTTTATTAATGTTATACTTAATAAGATCTATAAATTTGTGAATATTTAGGGTTAAATGGAAAGGTTCTATTGATTATTTGAATATGGATGATATCGATAATTTGATTTTTAATCATTAATTATTAACTAATTTATTTGTAGAATAGTTTAATATATATATAATAAAGAATATCAATTAATTTGGGTAGAAAGAAAAGTAATGATTGATTAAAATAATAGTGAGGAGTTTATATATAACATGCTGAAGGTTATGATTTTATAAATGAGTTAAAAAATTGGATGATACGGTATCATCTGAATGAATTTAAGTCAAAGAATCTTTAATTTTGATTACTATCATCCATATTATTTAAATCTAGCCTATCAAAAATATAATCTTTAATAAATAATTTTAATCATGATAAGAAAAAATTATTAACTTGCTTAAGGGAATGGAACTTTATTAACTTTATCTATTAAACAAGAAATATGGAGGAGATAGACTTGGAAAATTAGAAAATCATAAAAACTTAGGATTTCAAAGGGTTTGTTAAATATGTCAGCAGGAAAATAATTCTTAATTATAGAATGCCATATGCAATTATAATACTGACACTTTTGAAAATGATTGGAACTTATTGGAAGAAAATTGCTATGAATTTTATAATTCATAACACAATAAACATATAAAGATTGACGTTCTTTTATTATGTGTAAACTAATATCATAAATACTTGGTATATTAGATACTAGTTTCCAATTAATATTAAATTATTAAATTTAAACAGTCAATTAGCTGATTCAATTATTTTTCAATTGAATTTTAAAAATCCTTCATGGTTATGAAAAATACGAAAATATTCATAGAATTTGAATAGTGAGTGTGGGTAGATGAACAAGTTAGTAAGGTATAATGGTTAATATAAAGTATAATGATATTAAAAAATAAATTAAATTAAAATAATGGGAAACGCTGTTTTATGTTAGGAACCCAAGAAAAAAACAACGAGAGGCAAACAGAGTGATAGAGCTCCTAAAAAAATTGAGGTTAGCGAAAGTGCCCCTTAAACACAAAGAGTATAACAGTAATAATAAGTTCGGACTCCAAAACCATAATAAGTTGATAATTATAATTGTCAAGTTCATTCTGATGAACCAATCAAAGCTGTTTGCATGTGTGATGATTGCCAACACAATAATAAAATTTTATGTGTTGAATGCTTGATAGATTATCCTTGTATTAAGAAACTTCGAATTTCCGATTATCTCAGACACTTAAGAAGCTGTTTGTCGAAGGATGCATAAGAAGCATTTATGGAATTGTTTGACGAAAAGAATTAGGTTAAGTCTGATTTGAGTAGACAAATTACAGCGGTGATTGAAATGATCTTAACAAAGTTGTCTTCTATTGGATAGCAATATGTTCCAATTTTGATCACCAATTATTATTGGGCCTCACAGAGACTTCCATTCAAATTGAAAGAGTAGACAATACATTAGTTGGAGCTAATCTTAGAGAGTAAAGAGATAATTATATTATGACAATTTTAGATAAGGCTAATGAGGCACATCCAGAGACCCTAGATTTCGCAATCTATTTGATTTAGAATAAAGGAGTAGTAGAGACGATGTGCGAGCAAATAGAGAGGAAGAAAAATAAAATAACCGAATTTTCAAATGACTTTGTATTTAAGTTTAATTAAGTAGTAAATAAATATATGACAGCAATAGAAGTAATAAATTCAATCTAGATATAGTTTTTGTTTCATTTATTAACCACTCCAATGGAGTACCTATTGGATGAGGATCAGAAACCATAATTAATGAGTAAGAGGATAGTATAGAATAAAGACTAAACTAATATATCTGGTAGATTTAAATAGAACGAGGATAAGTCAAATATCACTTCCCCCAAGGAACCTTAACAGACAAGTAATTAATAAAGTTAGTAATAATAACAGAAGGTGAACTTTAAATGTTTGGCTCATAATTAAGAAGTAAAATAGATATAAAAATAGATAGGTGTTAGCTATTTGTGTGAAATTGGATTGTCAACACAAAGATAGAAAAATGTGTGCGGATTGTTTGATAGATACAAAGTGTGTGGACAGAATGAAGATGAGTGAATTTAGTGCCAGATTGAGTAGAGTGTTGAATAAGGAAATCATTGAACAATTGGCCATTCCTTGGGATGACTTGAGTATTCATAAAGGAATTGAAAAGCTATTTAGTACGGCTGGAGAAAATGTTAAGAATTTGTTAACAGAACAAGCTCTCAGTGTTAAAGAGATGTTCGTTAAGTTTCATTTAATAGAGGAGTCTACTCCTAAAGAATTGAGGGGGTAGTTTACAAAGGAATACTTTGATCAATTTATTCATATGATGACTGTATAGTATATTATTTAAATTACTATTTTAGAAAAATAGCATCGAACAATCCTGCAGTTATTTTGGGGATTAAGTTCATCAATAATAAATAATTAATAGACAATATGTTGAGTGCCATTGTCAAGACTGAACAAGTGTTACCAAAAAAGGCAGATAAATTACAACATAAGCTTGTTAGTGTTAGTTAATTGTTTTTGGAAAAGATCTAGAATCTAATGGATCTGTACAAGTAACATGGCGAGATTGAAGCCATTTAAAAATAGTATCATTTGTTGAATAGTGAACCATTTTGTTTAGAGGAAAGCATATATAAAATCAAATAGGATGGCAAAAGTTTAAGTGAATGGGAACCCTTCCACTTTTTTAAACCATCTGATAAGAATATTATTGATGTGTGTTTTGTTAATGAAAACTTAGCAGCCATAGCAATAATTGATGGAACTATTATAATCTATAATGTAAATTTAAAAAAACAAACTCAAATTCTAAAACATGGGATATTTGTTTTTTCTTTGAGAGCCTTTTAATTCAATGGATAATCAGTATTGCTTTCTAGTGGATATTCTCCATAAACAGGTAACTCGTTATGCAGTTGGGATTTAAAAAGTCTAAAACCTACTTTTATTGTATCATAAGCACATAACAACTCTATCAGAAAAATAAAATATTTGCATGTCAATCCGCAATTCTCATAAAACTTCTTTACTAATAGTACAACTACTGCTTAGTTAAGTAGCCAAGTATCCTAGACTGGAAGCATGAACAGCATATTTTTAGATATTGATGAATAGATACTATCCTGTTCAGATGATGGCATTATTAAATTATGGAAATTAGACACCAGTTTAAAAATTGTTGAAGAGCAAATCTTAAAATAAGGACAATAAGTCTTAGATTTCACTTTATTAAATGGATGTATTCTAGTTGCTGCTAATAACGACAAGACTGTATCCATTTCATTACCATTTTCAAATATCAACCCTTTTTAATACATCAATGATGATTGTCTGGTCTATGCTGTCTCACCTATAGATTAATTAATTTCGAAAAAGAAGTAATCCATCCAATAGAAATTCATCACAGGTAATGAAAAAGGCATAGCTAAAATATACCAATGGTAAAATGGCAGAGCTGTCATAATGAAATAGTTGAATTTGCATGAAGATAAGATAACTAAAATTTCTATGTATTGCTTCATAATACATTAGGTTATAACCAGGGTTTATAGCTAGCGTGAGCAACGACAAATCTATAAGCTTGACTTTAATACAATAAGCCAAGGTCCTTACTAAAATAGAGAAACATGAATACGGAATAGTTTCATTTGCTTACCTCAAGGCAAATGGGTTTATGATAACAGCTGATTAGGGAGGAAATGCTATACTTTGGAGATGATTATTAATTATGAAAATCTATAAATTGTTCTACTAAAACCTTTAAGCATATATTAAAATATTGTTTATGTTTCCTTAACTCTTGAATATTAATTGGTTAATATTATATTATAGTAAATATTTCGCTTTGTTTGAAATGTAAATGAAACTTTTTTTAACATTATTATTGAATAATTTTCACAATGAGTATAACTAAAATTAGAATAGGAATATTCAACGTGGTTGTTTTACTTTTCTGTTGATATTTAATGATTATTTAATAAAATTATTTGTATATTAACTTTGATGAGTGACTAACTAAATTTTAATCTCAAACTATATAGAGAAAGACTAACTGATAAGTATTAGAGAAATTCATCAAATTCAAATATCGGATAAGACAATTAAATCAACAGCCACAGAAAATCATTCAAGAAGAAGTAATTTTTAATGAAATTGTAGTGCTCCAACTCTCGATTCCATATCCAGTAGATTATAGAATTATAGCGGTAATAAACTAAGAACAGATATACGTGTTTGTTCTCCAAAAAATTTATCATCGCCTGTAACTCTTAATGGTATGCAATAAAAGTAAAAATAAAATTTATTTCAGAATTAAATCTATAACAACATCGCCTTAACAATTCGTTAATAATAATTTTGGACATCCCATAAGTAGTCCAAAATCTGTGGTTACTCAATTCCAAGGATTTTATTAATCTCCAAGAGCATAAACTGATCGCAATGAAATTTAATAAATAAAACGATATAATTCAAATAATGATATTACTGAGATGATACCCTTCCATGATTTAGTTAATATGAGAAATAAACTAGAAAACTATGATATCAATGGTGCACATGTATCACCAACTTATCTAAGTGAAATAGTGAAATTGGCACATGTTATCAATACATAATTATAGAAAAAATGATAATGTAAAATAATATATCTATTTAAATAATATTATTAAATGTCAGCTAAAGAATTGTTAATTCAACTTTTTGCCTTGCCTAAAGGTGAAATCATCTTTCATGACTATTCCTGTGCTCTCAAAAGCTTAATCTCCAAGTATGGTAGGATTTTCATAGCGGAGAATCACATTTGTTTTTATGCCAACTTGGCTGGGAGTAAGATCAATTTAGTATTCAAACTGAATGACATCCAAAGAATAGAGAGTAAGAATAAAAATGATATTGAAATCACCTTAAATAATAATAAGGTGTATTGTTTTACTAGTTTTTAAAATAAGGATCATGTGTTCAATTTTATGAATGCATTATTATAAGGCTAACCTCTTAGCACCTTCAGTGAATCCACAGTGCCTACTGAAACATCAAACAGTGAATAATCAACAGTTGATAATACTGATGTCGAAATTCAATTTTTGAAATCAGAATCCTCAAATGACTAAGAAATCTGCAAATTCACATTCCCTTTTTCATTAGATAAATTCTTCGATTTCTTCATAGCCGATAATGCTTCTTTGTATTCGGTGTATGATCATCGTTAAAATGAAAAAGACACTGATATGAATTTAACCAAGTGGACAGTCAATGAAGATGTTTCAGATATGTACTAACGAGAAATGAAACATGTTATGAAACTCACAGGAGTGCCCTTCAAAGATAAGACCAGAATGCACAAATTGTTCACTTATAAAAGAGATCAGCAAAAGATAAATTATACTTGCACCACACACACCTTAGATGTTCCCTATGGAAATTGCTTTTAGGCTGAGGAAAAGTGGGAAGTTACTCAACTAGAAGATAACAAATGTATTCTTAGAGTGTTTGTGTCAGTTGTCTTTACTAAGTCTACAATAATGAAAAATACAATTATAGGTAGAACGATGGCAGGATATAAAGAAGATTATGAAAAGTGGATCAATAATGTGAAACTCAGATTAGAAACCTAGGCTAAGTAATCTAAATCATAAACTACCTATTCAACTCATGAGTATGAAGAGTAAAATATGTTAATATTTCTTTAGATCTATGAAACTAGATAATGAAAATATTTTTAGCAAAATTCTGAAAAAATCTACTTCTGATCTTTCAATCTAAAAAGAAAAGAGTGGATTGCCTTCTATCTCAATTCAAAAGGAAGCTGGCTTCGTATTGTTAATAGCAATAATGATTATTATTATGTTGATCTAAATAGCAATGATGAGTAATCAATCAACAAGGCTTGAATAACTAGAATAAATACTTTTGCAAAATCAATAACAAAGATTTTTATTATTGAATGATCAATTATGAGTTGTTATTTCAATATTTATTATTATCAACATTTGATTTTTAATTTAGAAATTTCTTCATAGATTTTCAAACAATAAACTTAATATCTAATAAAATTAATAAATTACTTGAGACTACACTAAGAATACTTTTAATCAAAATGAACTTGAAATCTCTATCTCTCTAATATAATATCTCGTCTAACTCTTTTTATTAGAATTTTATATTTTAAATATATTAAGTTCCTTATAATCCTATTAACTTCTACAATTATTGAATGATTATCATTAATTAGAATGTTCAAATATGGCATTTTTTCTGATGAATATTGTAATAGAATTAATTAAGCAGGACAAATATTTCCACCAAAATTTATTAATAAACAACATTTCTCAATTCATGATAAGTAACCCTAATCTTATTAGAGATTGAAAACTTTCCTATCCTGATAAGATTATATTTTTCTATTTTTTAGATCCAAAATTTAGGAATGGATTTTTATGATAATACTATGAATTTCATTAATATTTATTAATAAAACTTAAGTATAACAAGATGAGTCAACTTCACATAAACCTCATAAATTTGTCAAACCCACACGTTTCAGATAGTTATACTTATAACAATAATACACTTATTGTAGATTTACATCAATATTTAACTAAAAAGAGTGATCAAGAGAAGGTTTATTTCTATTTTACCGAAAATTAACTTTTCAAAGGAAACTTAAATTGTTTTTTGTATTAACACATTAGAGCATCTTCAATATATTACAATTTTGAGGTCTCAAAAACATAATAGCAATCCTCATCTATGAGCGATTTTTAAGAAAATTAAAAATAGTTAACAAATTCAGGAATTTAACATTCGACTACTTCCTAATCTATTTAAGGATCTTCATCCCAGTCATAATCGGGAACCTTGTACAATAGAGATGAATCAACTGTAAAAAATAATGGCGATTATTAAAAGTAATGATATTTATTCTAATTAGAAATCAAGACCAATTAGTTTAATAATTATAATCCAAAATCAAAGAATTAACTGATGTGTTAAAAGAAAAAGAAGTAGAAATGTCAATGACTTTATAGGGAAATAAAATCTAATTAACTGACTTATAAGATTAGAATTCAAAGAATATGAAAATCATCTAAAATTTAAATCAATAGAACTTTGAGTTAAAAGATTAATTGGCCCAATTATAAATGAACGCCCAACTTTAAGAAAAGGAGATGTAGAATTTAAAAACTTAAATAGAAGAACTTAAAATTGAGAATGGGACCCAAAATTTTAGAGCTCATAACAAAATATAAATTAACGATGTCTCTGATTAAAAGTATTAAGGACAAGAGGAAAATTAACAAGAACTAATTAATTTCTAACCAAAAAAACATGAAATAGCTTTATTGTCATTTAATGATTCCGCTGAAATGTATAAAAATAAATGTGGACATATGATAGAAAAGAACAAATTAGAAAGTTTATTAATTCAAGCTGTGAAGAATAATTAAATTGTAAAATGCGAAACTTGCAATTCTAATTTTTCCGCCACTATTTGTTAGGATATTGGCATGATTGGTGAAAATTACTTAAAGATAAAATCCACTTTAGAATTATCTTAAATGTACAATAATTATAAGCCACTTTAAAAATCACATCTTAGTGTAGTTTCCTGTGAAAATCCAAGCTGTAATTTTTTTTGTTTTTATTAAACTGCAAATCATTATGACGATAGTGATTATAGTTATTGCCCTAACTGCTTAATAAGGTCAGTTAATAATCCTAAAGAAGTGCCCAATATTATTACATTTTGAAATAAAATTAATTTTATATCACAAGCGGTATATCTATATATATTTGCAATTTTAATTAAGAATTAATAAATAAAAATTAATAATAACTATCTGTTAATGAACGTAAACTATTGCAGTCCTAATTTCCAATTTGAGAATAGACCTCCTCTCAAAGATTACACCTCTAATATTGATAATATTAAATAAGCCAAAAATAGAATCGCCGAGCTTCAAAACATAATCCATGAGTTAAATAAATCTAATGGAAAAAGGTCTGTCTCTCCATTAGCAAAAAGTCCTGTTAAAGTCAATGCTCCAATTGAGTACCACGGTACTTCCAAAAAGCAAAGTCCAAGATTTTAAACCCCTGAAACAAAACCAAGAGAAATAAGAGTTGTAAGTGAGAATGTCAAAATGCAAACAGAAAACTTTATCGAACAAGGAATCTTACAAGGTGTATTGCCTGACCATTTACTTGAAAAGTCAATTGAAAATTACACCTTATCCAAAGTACTTGGATTAGGTTCCTATGCCATTGTAAGATTGGCATAAAAAGGATCAATGTTTTGTGCTATTAAAACATATGAAAAGGTTAAAATTAATGATTAACAAAAACGTAAGAATGTTTGTAGAGAAGTGAAGATATTATCTAAATTAAGACATCTCAACATCATCAAATTGGTTGGAGCCTGTGAAACCCAAGTACAATTGCATGTCATTATGGAATATTACAGTGCAACTTCTTTAAATTCTTTCATTAAATAGCAACCCCAAAAGAAACTTGATGAAGATTAAGCCAAATACATCTTCATCTAACTTGTAGATGCCTTAAAATACTGCCATCACAAAAGTGTAGTGCATAGAGATCTTAAATTGGAGAATATTCTTATTGATCCATTGAATAACAAAATTAAAATTATTGATTTTGGGTAAAATAATACTTATTCCTTACACTAGATTTTCAATAGCTATTGACCCTTCCAGTAAACTTAACATATTTTGTGGTACTCCATCATATATGGCACCTGAAATAGTTAATAAATCAACCTATAGTTTCCCTGCTGATGTTTGGGCTTTGGGGATATTGCTTTTCAAAATGACCACAGGACAATTTCCATTTCGAGGAAACGATGACAAAGATTTATATAAATCAATAAATAATGGAAAGATAGATTATCCTTAAACTATGTCTATCCAATTAAAAAGTTTAATCAAAAAAATCTTGAATACTAACTAAAATGAGCGACCTTCAGTCAAGGAGGTAGCTTTAGATGAATGGCTTTAATGATTTAAAATACTTATTATTTAATATATCAGATACTTATATTTCAATTCTAAATTATTAATTTCTAATATAAGCAATTGGATATTGGAGTTTAGAATAATTACGTATACTAACTATTTTATGTATTGCTTTGATAGTTCCAGAAATAAAATGTAAAAATATATTCTCGAATATTAATATATGTCTATTTACAATAGTAATAAAGGTACTTATTGAATTCCTTTTAATCTTCTAGTCTGGTCTATTCTCTATTTAAATTTTTAATAAATAAAATTATTATTTGTTGATATTAATCCAAAATATTCTATTTTCATTTCCCCATTTTCACAATAATCGAATTGTTAGCAAGATGCCATATATTTGGACTAAATTGAACCTTATTCTAAGATAAATGCTTTAATTTTTTAATTTTTGGAGAATAATTGGTTATTAAAAATAAAGTCAACACTCCTCAATTTTAAAGAATTTAATATATTTACCATTAAATAGATAGTTCGAATTGTTATTAGATATTGAATTTATATTTTTTATTTAATATTTTACTTAGACCTTAACAGTTCTTCGGTTTTTTGCTGTCTATATAAGTAGAATACATAAGTTAATTAACAATATTTTATTTACATCAAATATTATTTAATGGGAAAGGCTCACAAACAAAAAGGATATAGATTGGAGAATACAATTTCTAAGAAAGGTTTTCTAGAATTAAGAAAAATGCTTGGAATGCCATAATTTGAATTGGCGCATGATAATAGCAATATTATGAAAATACAAGCGCGTTTACTAAATATTGATGACAATGAAGAATGGAATAATTCATATGTAATGTTTTTACTTATTTATTTAGAAACCCATACCTGAAGTCAAAATATAAAATTATCTCTTACATTGTTAGAACAGCGATCAATCAATTATTTCTTCTTTGAATAAAGTTGATCGTTTTCTTAGTCAATAAGGAAGACTTAAAACTATTGGATAAAACAAAGATGAAGAGAAACAAAAAAAATAGAATAGTTTAAGTACTGAAGTTTAGTATTCGAATAAAAAAAGCTTGAATTGATTATGAAAATTATTTATAATTGCCTCTAAACCAAACTTAAATTTATTTTTATTTGTTCATCCATCTATTATCAGATGTAATATCCATACTATTATTGGTAATATTATGTGAGAGAAAACCATCCTCGGACTCAATTCTGTGCTTTATGTATGTTGTTCAACTTCGTACATTCTAAGTTCCAAAACAAAACAAAACTATATAGAATTTATATAACCCAACTTAAAATTCTAATTAATAAAATTCATTAATATTTATTACTATTTTGAATATAAGAACATGAAAAAAATTGTTTAAAATTATTGGAAATGAGAAAATTATACATATTATTGCATAATTATCTATAAATTTCAATCTAAATACCAAAATTCTTGCAGTAGATCCATTTATAATAAAATACTCTAATATAAAATTTCTTGCACTTTTATTTATTTATTAATTTAGAATTAAGTCAAAAAAAGAACAAAGGAACAATTATATAAGTACACATTGATTTATTTTTAATTCGAAATTATTAAAAAAGCAAATTTATATTTATAATTACAACTCTAATGACACAAACTACAATATTATTAAATTCTATACAATTCTATTTTTAGTATTCTTTTATGATTGAATCGTTCTACTTTAAGACTTTTGTTAATTTAAGATTATTCACCATATTATCTAATGGCAGGATAATTTATCTAATATAGTAATAATTAAATTTAACCTAACAAAGCTGAGTAGATATGACTCAAACAAAAATATTGTACAATTGTATCAATGAAATAATAATAAAAATAATGTTGTTATAAAATATTTAGATGAGAATTATTTGATATAATTATTCAATGAGTTATGTTAACAAAAATTTATTTGGTTCGATATAAACTGGAATTAATTGACTAGAAAATATATAATTTCATTGCTGCACTTCAATAATGGATAATAATCTAATAGTAGAAGACATTAAACCTGCTATTGGAGTAGCCCTTTCCTATACTTTTCATATAAGAGAATAATAAGCACTTTTAGATTAAATAATTACACATAAATAGTATAACTTATAAAACTATAAAATCAGGAATTGATTCTATACATTAATATTAATTAAATATAAGAACTGTTGAGCATCAATTAGGTTACAGAATCTGAGTAAATTAAATGTATACATAATATTATTAATATCAATGATATTCATAAGGTGAATAGGCAACAGTTTGTACTTGTAATTTATTTATATTTAGAATAAATTATTTAGAATTACAATAAATTTTATTTTATGTTCCATAACAGTAGTACTTGACCCAGTTTACTGCTAACAAACGCTGCATTATAATGTTTAGGTTTTGCAAAGCATTTGATAGTCTACACTTTTAATCCAAAGAAAAATAATTATGATTAAGAAATGTTTTTATTATTTAGACTGAAAGTGGCCTTCAAATTATAATCTATTCAATTGTTTTTAATTTATTAAGCTTTAGATGAAGTTGAATTGATATCATCTGATGTAATAAATAAATTATGAATGTTATTTAGATTTTATTATTTATATTTAAAATTATGGATAATCTTTACGCTTAAGAAATAAGATAGCGATATCACTCATCTATGACTTACTAAGAATACTTGGATACTTATGATAAACCTCCTCCTAAACCTTAAATTAGGTATTCTGCCAAACCATTATTAATTTAAGACCCAAAGAAACTCCTTAATTACTCGAACCATTAATTTTAGAAGGACATAAAGGTCCTAAAATTTAATAATAGAAATTGACTGTTTATTCTCCTGACGATGTCATTTTTGAGGAATCTGAGAATGATGAGAAGCCCAAAGCTCTAAATAACATATCATGCTAAAGAGCATTAAAAGAACATGTATATAAATAATAAACTTAAGAATATTAGAATAAGAAGCTAGAGCGAGAATTTAGGATTTTCAGTATTTCGATTTTTGCAATAAAAGAAAAATAAATTCCCATGATTCATTAATTTTTAAACATTGATTTCTTTCAACACTTATCTAAAGTTGATTGCCTACTAACAAAATTATTTTTAGCACTCTCAATAAATTAAATATTTCCATTTTTGATATATTAGAGATTTCTTGGAATAATGATACAAACTCATCAGGTAGACAGTTAAAGAATAATCTTAATAAATTTATTGGCTATATAAATTTTCAAATTTAAAAAAGAGTAACATTAATATTACTCTCTTTTCATAACATAATTTTAATACATTCCATTGATCCCTTTTTATAATTTAAGTTATTTACTTCATAATTTTCACATAAATTAAAAGTATTAACCAATGATGATAGTCTGTAAGTATTTAGATGGTGTTGAATACTTAAAGCTATAGACTTAACAAAATATTTTAGAAATACATCCTATAAGAATAATATTAAAATTTTGTCTATATATTTTTATTTAATTAGAGATTCTTGTCTTATTTAAATCATTTCAATCTCCTTCATTTTCTGAGTCCTCTCCTAAGACTCTTTCTAATTCTGACTTTACTTTCTTTAATTGGTGATTTTAAGGAATGAAAGAATTCACTCTTGCAAGCTTCCTCTCTTTTTCTTTATCTTTGTCTTTCTCCTTCTCATTTTTCTCTAATTTTTGATTAATTAATTCATTATTATTGATCAATTAAACCATGATGTTAATTAAAGTTATAGTTAAACCACTACAGGAATAAAATATTTTGCTGATTTTTTTATTTAATCCAAACAATTTTAATCTTCTCAATAACATCACTATTCTAAGCGATGTAACTATAAAATTAAGCTATTTGATTCTTCTTTTTTATCTACTATTTATTAAACTGTTAGCACATTAAACTGCAATTGCATCTTCATATATCAATTTATCTGGTATTTCCTTGATTTCTTTGACTAATTCCATTTCCTTGTCATAAATTATCTTGTAATCAAAAAATGATTTTAGTAATTTTAACAAAGCTTTTGCTAATGAGAATGAGTCTTTATATCCTTTTATGGTTGATTTAGCTTTCAAAGAAACAATTTCACTATGAATTTATTTAAATTGCTTACTTCAGAACACCAATATTAATGCCCCAAATAATGTGATCCATTATGTAATAAAAGAAATTGCACACATGCATAATAGAGGTTGTGATTTTATAATATTTTGGTTTATTTTTAGCATGGATGTTGCTCAAACATCTAATGGAATCGAAGAATTTTAAGAATTTGAATATCTTTCTTCCATTCTTCATAGACTCTCTAATTCGAGATGCTATTTTTTTAGAAAACATATCAGAGGATGCTGCTTAAATTTCAGGAATATTTGAAAATTTAATGCAAGCTTCGTATAAATCTGCTAAATACTAAATCAAACAACAAATCTTATCTCTCCCTTTTGTCGTTTACATGAATAAGGACACGATTGAAACCTTATCATATAAGCTATATTTTCATTACTTTTCTAGCAACATACTATCCAGCCACAATTGTATTGTTGGCTCTGTGTTGAATGGCCACGTTAAAATAATCAGCTAAGTCCTTAACAGAAGCTATGCTTCTTTTCATATGACGATTAATTTAATAAAGTTAATTAAAATTTAAATTATGTAATTTTAATGATATTCTACCTTTAGATTGAGTACTATGTTATTCCATCACATAAAAAATAATTTGATTCAATTAAATAATTAAAGCATCATTTTAGTCTTCTATTTCTTAATCAAATCTTCCATTAATCTAAAACCTTTGAGAATTAATTTAAATTAAAAGAAAAAATAGGTCATCATCATGATAAATTACATTCTCATTTTCAAGATATTTGTATCTAATATATAAAAGAACAATGTTAAATACATTTTTCTAAATTTAGTGATTCTAACCAATTAAGATTATACTTAAATAATAGATAAAATATATAATAATCAATTGTGCTAATCAATAAGTAATTAAACCTACTTTAATCAGATTACTTACTTAAAGGTTTTATTCAAATTAATATCGAAAATAGTACCATTTTATTTGTAATCTTTAAGAATTGAAGTATCACTCTTATTTGAGATAAATAATAGACAATTACGTAGTTTATAATTTTACGATAAATAAATAAATAAATTCATAAATATGCACTAACTGGGGAAATCTGGAAAGTCAAAGAGTTTTAAAGACTATTCAATTCTAAAAAAAGTTTAATCACTATCGCGACACGATGATACGGATACAGATAAAACTAGTTTATTGAAATAGAAAAGTTTTGATTTAACTACTAGAAGAAATAGTTCAATTTTAGCGTAGGCTTTGGTTTATGAATCGAGTTAAATCCATAGAATCACATATATTCAAGAGTATGTTATATATTCATCATTAGTCCCAATCAATACATAGGAATGAATTTACTCTAATAGAAGATTTGGGAGAGGATATAGAAATGTTCATAAAAATATATTGTATTCAACATAAAGCTATAACTTAGGATGACTAAAGCAATTTATCAATTATCGTGTTGAAGCCAGATCAAGAATATGAGTTTGTGTTCAACATATCTAAAATGTCCTGTTTTTCAAAAATTAAACAATTAACTAAGAGTTTATCAAGTCATTTCTATGGACTCACTAAGATTTGTAAGTAGTTCATCATGAATTTTTAGAATTGTAAGACCCTTATTTATCAATGCTAATAGGAAAAATCAAAACATAGAAATTAGACAACGATATGAGATTATTTGAGTTGTTAAATATCATTATGAATGGCAAGAAGCTATTGGTCTTGTAATGTAATATGTATAGTGAAATTTGATTGTAAATTGTTGTTTGTTTACTTTTTATTGATAATTTTATTGAATTATAATTTACATATATATATAAGTCTTTTAAATCAAAGAATTCAGAAATCTTCATCATCAGTTTCTTGACCAGAATCACAACTTAATGTTTCATTTTCCCAAGGGTCAGATTTCTTTGGATGAATTAACGTAATTTAAGGTATAGTCTGAACAACCATTACGAGAGAATTCTGATCATAATTAAATTGATTCTCAAGGTTGAAGTAATCTTCGTAATCTAATTCTGTTTATTAATTTTGATATGGTATGTCTTCATCATCACTAGAATAAACTTCTTTTTATTCTTCAGTTTCTATTTCTATTGCATTTTATTTAAAATTTTAACTCTATTTTATGAGTTACCTTAAGTATCCCATTTTGTGATCATATAACTATTCAATTGGCTAGATTTCTTTTGCTTTCCTATATATTTTGTATTATTGTATACTTTATCAATTGATAATAATCTTCTAAAGTTTTTTTAGGAATTCCCACTTCTTCTGCTGCCTATTAAAGTGTTAGCTTTTTAAGATTTCCTTAGTTATCGACTTTGCCATTTTCAAAAAGATGTCTCCATTCTTCCACTTTTTCGACAGCCATTTAAACTGAACGCTCTTTTACTCTTTTAAACATAGCCTAGAATTTTCTTTTACTTTAACTTTATTACATTATTAATTAATTAAATTAGACATATAAAGAAATTTTTTTGATAAGTATTCTATAATCCTGATGATGTAAATTTATATAATAATAAAAGTATGTCAAAATAATTAATAAGAGTCTTCAAAGTAATTCTATTAATTTTTTGTTTGGTTTGCTTCCAATTAATCATAGAATGAATGATCACTAAATTATCCAATAGTTTCAATTTGACTGTATGAACTAACTTAACCATGAACATAGTATTCCTATTTATCAGCTATCTATTTCATTCTGTTCATATGAGAATCATGTTTTTATTATGAAGGTATTTTGAGTTAATTCAGAGTCTATTCAATCAAATTTGGATCGTAAGAGGATTAAGCTAATGCAATGATGGGTTTTGGACATAGTGATAGATTTGAAAATGGAGTGTAGTTCTCTTTTTATGAAACGAAGTATTATTATCCTCTTTTAGAAATTCTAACTTTCGTGGACATTGACAAATATAATAACAAAGATTGTTAACAGATATTTTTAATATTAAATTTTATTGAATAAATCTATCTATCTATCAATAATACAAACCAACCTACATTAATATAACCATTTAAATATAAAGTTCGAATAATTTCTATTAACAAAACTAAATACTTATAGTAATCATCATTTTTCAACATTTTTATCATCTTCTGATCTTAAATATTCTCCCAAATCTGCTTGATTAAATACCACCACTGTAGTTGGATCTAAATCTTTGCATTGCAACGTTGATCTTGAAGCTACACCAAAACCCAAAGGATTCTCTTACAAGGAGAATAAGATAACATTCGCATACTAGGGAATATTTTCAGACATTTTTGCTAAATGTGCTAAAAACAAGGATAATTTATTAATTTACCCTTAATTACATGATTTCCATAGAGATAAGATTGTTCTCCACTAGGTTTTAGCCAGACCTTATGTTTAGCATATTTGGCCAAAATCTCTAAACAAGTGATATTCAATCTAAATTTTTTTGTTTTTGTAAATTTTCCAAAATATGTTCCAACACTTAGATTAATTTAATGAAATACTGTAATAATTCATCTTTTCCAACATTGGTTGCCCAATTTGCAATTTGTAAAGACATATAATATACTTTATTCTTGATCAATCTAAAAACATGAGGATCCTCTTCATTTTCAATTAATAATTTAATATTTGCACCAATATATTCTCCCAATTTTTCATAAAATATTTTTGTTTCTTCTTCGTTTAATTACCTCATAATAAATTATTTAATAAATTAATTATACAAAAACATTATTTGCATATCAAATTAATTTATGGAGGATAATAGTTGGAATAATGACTTTAAGTAAAGATTTATAATTAGATGATATATATAAATTATTATCAAATCAAACACCTTGTATAAAGTTTTTCATATTTTGAATTCATTGAAAAGTTTGTCCAATTCTTAAAAATGTCTCTGTATCAAATACAAAGATTATTTATATCTTCCCATATAAAATTATTAATTTAATGAATCATATTAGACACATTTTTCAACGCACTTCTGATCCTAATCTAAATGCTCATAAATATATTCTATTTAATAATAAAATCATTATTACATTTATATTAGTATTGTACATTCAATCTTTGATTATTCTCAATATTATTTATTGGCATAATATTTTTGATTTCTTTAGTAATCTCTTCTATCTATAGTTTCACAATGTCATAATCTTTCTCTACAATCCTCTAAGCATTTCTGACTATCTCTAATTTATTCAAAACATCAGCATATCTCTTCTCCTTTCCTTTCTTCTATCTTTCAAGTTCTTCAATTTCTCTTTCTAAATCCTCTTAATTTTTTAATTGCTATTCAAATTTACTCTACAACTTTTAATATTGAAGTTAGAGTTCCTCCAAAGCATTCCTTCTCAATTCTGGAGAAAAGTTCAAACCATTGAAATATACCTCTGTTGGACTTGAATACTATTTGATATTTTAATCCAGCACATTGACTAGGTCATACAATTTTTCATTATGTATTTCCACTGATTTTGTACCTGCTGGCTTGAATAATTGTCTAAGCTTTTTAGCTTGATCTTGATCTTTCTTGTAATACTCACTTAAATCTTCTTCTTCTCCAAGTGATTTTTGTTAATTGATTTTCTCATTCATATTTTCTAATTCCTTATTGGATTCCTCAATAGTTTACTTCAACTTTTTTAAATTGATAATCTTCTTATACAAAAAAGTGGAATCTTATTCATTGATCTAATATTCTATTATTAATGATTTTAACATTCTCTCCTCATTGTTGAGATTCTCCAAATCATTCTTTCTTTCCATATAGAGTTCATGTAATTGATTTCTTTTGTTCAACAAATTGCTCATGTAATCAGCTATTTAACTATCATTATTGATAGTGGAATTAAATTTATTTAGAAAATTTTCGAGATCTTAATTCAAAGACAATTAGAGACATTTATCTACTTAGACCTGGAATTCATTGTGTTATTTAATTAGTTTGTCTAAATTTAACCTAGAAAAATAATCTAAAGCCAAATTAAGTTGAGCTAACTCAGATTGGATTGGCAACCAATTTTGAACAGTTTCTAGACCAAATTGATCAGTGTCATTGTAAATAATATCATACTCTAAAAAGTAATTAATTTCGAAGTCATCCACTTCGACTTCAAAAATTTCGAAGCTGTTATTATTTGTGGTTTTTTATGGAGGAGTGAGAGCAATAAAAACACAAATGATTAGAAATATACTTAGGCAATTTGTCTTATTAACTAAAGAATCAGTTCTTATCATTATTTTTTTTAATTTATTATTAAATTATAGTTGTTTGCGAATTATTTAATATTACTAAGTTGATCTAGTTCAAAATTGATTATTAATTATTTTTCTAATTGGATTTATACATAAATTGAATTTGTCTATCATTCCTGCAAAAATAACTACATTCCAATAATTGATGTTGATTTTAAGTAGTTTTAATAAAACTATTTACTAAATTGCATAGCCTTCAATAATTGAATATTCGTTAACTTGTGACATACTACTTATATGGTTTATTAGCAAATTTCAATCTTTGAATATATCGATATTTTCAACAGCTATAATAAATTAAATTTAGTTTAGAAAAACAAAACAAAACATAGAAACAATTGAGAGGATGCATTACAAAATATCACTTTGTTATTTTGAGATTACTTTAAATAGAGTATAAAGAGAAATAGGATTGATATTCAAACAACAGGATGAAATTAGTTAAACAATTGTTTATAAAACTAATATTAATTGGATGCATCAGAGTTTATAAATAAAGTAGATATAAACATAATGATTTGTAAATGCGCATCTAAATCTCTTGGCCTTGAACTTGAATTATTTTATTATTATAATATTACATTAAATCCGTTTTATTGAATGGAGAAGTCTGAGAGGCGATCGTTAGGAGGGACAGTCACAACATTGAGATCATCTAGAGGTGCTGTATTGGTGAACCAGGATGGATCCTATGCATATAGTTTAAAGCATGTTTATTTTAGTTTGTCCTATGAAAAATGAATCAATCGTGTAAAATGAGAAGTTAATCTAAGAGCCGCAATAAATCATGTTACCGGTTTTTGGGGATGATGAACTGGCATTTTACATTAATCCTTAAGATTTACCTGATTTGGTCGATGAAGTTTTAGACACTTATCTAACACATTCAAGAGTGTTTCTGGTTTTTATGTGTGTTTAAATGATTGTGGAAATCATCTTTGATTCAATGGTTTGGATTAATTAGGATAGAATTGAAAAACTAGTAAGTCTTTCAGAATTTACATAAGCTAGCTCTAATTTACAATAAAGTGCCTTTGGCTGATATCCATCAAATGATAATCCTATGCTTTTGCATTAACATTCTATTCTAATGCATATATTATGCATCAGGAATTACAGGTGCAATGCGTAAGTCTTACAAAACACTTAATGTCTTTGGAAATTTATCAATTTTAGGAATGTTTTTGCAAATATTTCTATCTTACACTTATCAGTAATATGTTTATTGACACTTAGATTCAATATCTTGGTATTTGCATTTAGAGTGCTATCGTGCATTTACGCAAAGTTTCTGAGTCACTTGATCCTCAGTTTGATCCTGTTACCTCATTGAAATTTATTATTAATATAAGAAACCTAATGAACAAAACTACCCTCATTTTACTTACTCCTTTTATTTAAATAAATTACAAATTCTATTTATTTATTATTATCTAATAAAACAAAATACAATTATTAATATATAAATTTAAACATCTTAAATTGCATAATATTGAAATATTTTTCAATGTGGAAATATTCAATAAAAAGATTTACATCAAAGAGTTTTGATCAGAAATTGAGATTTACATCAATTCAAGAGAAAAATATTATTATATAACAAATTAAGTACATTAAATAATCGTTTTGGTAGAATTAGATAAGGATATTTTCAAAAATTATAGATAGATCATTAAGATTGTTCAAATTATTCCAATCCTGCTAAATGAATGTTGTTATCAACACTTATAGCATCTACTAATTGCAATATATTATTATTATATATCTCCCTCAATACAATTTAGCCATCTTCTTAAGGCATTTCAAACACCTTTGTGTTTGGACTTTATTCATCGTCAACTGTAATTTTAAATAAACTAATATGTATATATTGTTATGTTACTCATCTTCATAGAATATTTCAATGTAATACAATTTATCGTCAATTTTTTTATTTTATTTATAAAGCATAATTTTTCTAGATTGTTAATTGTTTGGTGTAAAATTTGTCTAGGTTGGCAAAAAACCCATAAAACTACTCTCTTTAATGATGGATGATATATACTTGAGAGGTCTACACTCTTTTGTCTATTGGAACTTTGAATTCTAGACCTTTTGAGTGGGTATTCAGCTATCTATTGGGCTAGTTATTATTATTTTGAGGTTTGCTTCAAAATAATTTTGGTATTGTAATTTGGTTTTTTGGTAACGAGTCTATTCATTAATCTTTAATTTTCGATGGTAATTCTGACCAACTCTTTTTTCCTCTTCTCCTTATTGAGTGATTATTTCCTATTGACTGATTAGGATTAATTAAAATTAGAGGCTGTCATATTATTGTTCTACCAATTAGAGGAGGCTCTTTTGCGTTCATTATCTAGACATAGATCGGAATAGTACTCATGATATTTTAAATCTTCTCTAATAAGATACGATTTTCCCTTTCAATTTCAGTAAATCTCTCTTCTTATAATTAGAGTTTCTTATTTTAGTTTTATGATAACCTTTCCATTTAAGTTCTAACTGTTAATTGTTTTTAAGTAATATACTTAAAGGATGTGCTATCTGTAGATTGTGTTTATGAATTTATCTTAATCGTTCTTTTTCATAATTATAGCATATTTTATTTCCTTTAATAAGATCTCTATCCATTGAATATTTAATATAATAAAAAAATTATTTTGTTTCACATTATATTACAAGAACAACATTTTGAGTTTTATTAATCAATTTCTTGAAACTGTTCGTGTATCCGATATTCTACTTTAATAATAGATTACCTTTCATTTTAGAATTATTATAAAACTCTTTGGAATTATTATCAATACTAAAATATTCAGATTCCTTAACACTTTAAGTACGTTTCGTAAGAGTTTATGGTCTTTAAACATATTAGAACTCATCATTTGGTTAATTGTTTTAAGCCTTAGTGTTGATGGGAGGCCAGAAATTGACTAGATTGGGATGTTGTCCTCCATATTTGATTTCGATTTCTTCGGCTGGGATTAATTCCTGCAATTTGTAGAAATCTGAAGCTTTGAGGAAATTGATTTTGGCAGCAGTCTCAGGGTGGATGATTTCTGTGTATAGGATTGAAAATACTTTCAATTAATTTCCAGGAGGAGTTGAAGAAGAAGGAAGGGTTCAATATAAACATCTTATGCAATGAACTAGTGTAGTTGATTGAAAAGAATTCGTTAATCATACTGAGAGTGGAGAATGGGAAATCAAATAATCCACTACCACCACTATCCAATATGACTATCCAATTTTCAACGTAACCACGAGTATACATAAACTTAGTTACTATGTTCCCAATAGCTGTTGCTGCATTTAAAAGAGTGGGTACGTGAAGTTTGTTTTTCGAAATCATATGCAATTAAATATAAACAACAGGTCGGTATTGGTGATCTCTTCCAAATTAATAGATGTAGCCTTGTTTCTAAATTGAATATTTATTAATTTAAACCAAATATTATTCAGCCTCTGGAGACAAGACCTAGTAATTTTCGTCATTGATCCACTCCAAATGTTTCTGTAACCTCTGAATGCATTTGCTGATTTCAAAGCCTCCTGAATAACAATATTTGAGAGACAACTCTTGGCACCAGCTAAAAATTAAAAATGATATTACTCAGGAGGCAATGCTAATTTGTGTTATTGGATGCTCGCCATCAACTCCTTTATTTTTTGTTTTTCGTATTCATCAAATTCTTAGTGAAAGAATATTTTCCTAACGTGATTCTTCCCTTCTCCATGCTTAATATAGAATGCTAATGGATAAGACATCTGAAATTACGATCATGTTTGATTTAAAACACATCAGCTGGAGGTCGCAGATAACTAAAATCAATCATAATATATTAATTTTTTATATAAAATAAATTCTTAACATATTCTCAAAATGCGTATGGTTTATTTTTCTTCTATTTTTTTTCCCTATATTTCCCCTACAATTTTCCAATGTCCTTATCAAAATTGCTATTGTAAATTCTAGATAGTTCCTTCATATCCAAATTACTAAGATTCTACTAATCCTCCACTTCTCTTTCATCCTAACTCGAAGGCAAGTCATGATCAAACAATATCGTAGTCCATCCCTTCGACTTGATTTAACCTGGTCTCACATAATGTCCACGAAAGGTTCTTAACTTTTATTTTTCGGTCGGAGTTATCCTTGCATGTGCCATTTTATTGCAAACCTTATGGACTGACTTGGATACCACATCATATCCTTGTAGCACATGATCATTCTAAACATTCTATTCCACATCCTATACATTCTCTTGTACCTCCTTCTCTGGTTAATCCTTCTGCTTTTTTGCTGCCTTCTTAATCAACATAGAGTATTCTTAATTCTCCTGTAATGCTTGACATAAGTTATACAATTGATATTTTGATTGCCAATCAGATTCTAAGATTATCTTCTAATAGACTTCAGTCTTCTTATTCAATTCTATAGACTTCTTCAACAAAGGATGAGCCAATATGACCAATTCCTTGTAATAACTTATGCTGATCTGTTTCAACTCATTAACATAATCCAAAAAAAACATTATTCTCCTAAATTACCATCGCTTCAAGAAATTCTTGTAAATGTCATAATTCTCATAGTTCTCCCTCTTATCGAATTCTTTGTGAATTTTAGCATGCAACAATAACAACTACTCCAGTCTTATTGCACATTATTTTAATTCCTAGAATACAGGATCATCGCCAATATCATTCACATCTACGGCTCTCAACATTATGTGAATAGAAACATAGGATAAACGATAATTATCCTCGTCCAACCTTCTATATCTTGTCTTCTTATCATGGATGTACATCTCCTGAAATAGTTTTATTGCTCCTCTCAACCACTTCGATATGGTTTTTGTGTATCTTCCTAAATACATTCTAACTTATCTATCACTCTATATACCTAACTCCTGTCTGCTATGTAAAACTCTGCAAACCTCCTTTGTTGTTTCCCCTGCATTTAATCCCAGTTTCATACAGAATCTTTGTCTACTCCTCACTCAAATTCTCCTTGTATCCAGTCAATGTTTCCCATCTCTTCCTTAACTTGTATGTTTAGTTCACTTGGATCCCTGTCGTTTCAAAGTACACTCTTGCAACCTTTGTCCAATGTCTACAATTCTCTCCCCCATGAGCATCAACTATTTATAAAAATTCTTTTTTAAACTACTAATCCTCGTGAAACCCTCTTGTCATTTTTATTTTTGATATAGTAGTTCCAAAATTATCCTTTAAAAAAATTATCTCTAAATTTTCCAATGATTTTTCATCTCATTATTTATATATCCTAGAACTTCTTACATGTTCCTATCTACTAGGATCATTATGCATTCCATCTTACATACTACTCCAATCAAGAATTTCTCTATTAAATTCATTTTTTAATATTTACTCTCTCACTTTGATATAATTTACTTGTTTCTTTATTATAAAACTTCTCAATTTCTTATGCATACAGATTGAATTTATGTTTTTGTGAAAATACAATTCAATGTCTGTCTTATTTTTTAAATTTATGGATTCAACTAATCAAATTAATTCATGAACAATTTAAAAGTATATTCTCTGTTTATATTTATTATAAAAACTATTTCAATTGAATCTTCAGCTATCAATTTTTAAGTCTATTTCGTTTAATCAAAAAGTTGCTTTGAGAATTTACGATACTATATTGATTAGTATTTCTTTATTCATGTTTTTTATTGATTAATTAAGGTATATTTGACAATATGTATTGAAATGGTTTATACTCCTATATATTAACCTCTATGATTATTTTGTAATTTCTGTATTATTCTATGATTTTATCTTAAATGGAAAATTATTCATTTATGGCATAATATGGCATGTAATCTTTATGATTTTACTTAGATATTCTTAACTCTATTTTTTTCTGTAGACTTAATCAAAGGGTTTGATAAATATAAAATCTAAACATTATTTAAATAATAATTCATTATTATATTAGTTCATTAATAAAACTTAATTTAGTTGGATCAGGTTCAATATCATGTTTCTTTAAGATATCTAATAACTCTTTTTTCTATCTTTCAAGTTCATAAATTCTTTTATTGAAATGTGTGTTGATTTCAAACATATCCTGATACTTCTTCTCCAATATATCTAACTATTATTGCACCTCTTTGACTCTGTTTTACTATGATCATAATAAAGTTACTTCATATTGAACTTAGTCCTTGTGAATAATAATTTCTTTATTCAAAATTTGAATTTCCTCCATATTCTATCTTTTAGCTTCTAAGACCTTATTTATTATGGATTCCTTTTACTTAATGACCTCCTGAAGTTCTTTATTCTTTATTTATTTTATATTATAATACTTTTTATTTTGATCTTCCTAACATATCAACCAATTTTTAGACTTAATCTTCTGACTACTCCTTGCTTTTCAGAGCTTTTTCTCTAATTTAACTTTCCATCTTAAACAAAGAACTGTATGTATCTATGTCTTTTTTAATTTGCAAGAACTCATCCAGTAATTTTCCTGTCTGTTGCTCAATATCCTTTTATTTAGGGAAGAATATATTGTTATATCTATGGTTTTCTTCTTCAACGTCTTTAAGTTTTTCTCTAAGATTCTAGATTAAACTGAGACTCCCCTTAGAATTAGCCATTAATTCATCTATTTCTCTAGTTTTCCTAGATAGACTAACTTCTAACTCTTCAATCACTTGCTGCAATCTCTTAATTTCGACAAATTCATTAGATCGTTTAGTGACCTTCAACTCATTCAATTACTTGTTTAATTTCTCATTTTCATCAACTAAAATCTCAATCTATTGCCTCAAACTTTAAACTTATTTTGAATTATTTGTAACTTATTTTAATGCAGCTGGATCTGTTGATAAATTGCAATAATTTAATAAACTGGTAATCAAATCATCATAGGTTTCTTTTAATAAATTAAGAAATATTCCGATCGAATAACTTTCCTCTTTAGATTCTAACTAATATCTCCAAACTCCTGGGACAGTTTCATTCGCAAAATCAATTTCTTTAAACTCCAATTTTTCACTTACTATTTGTCCTTTCGTTTATTTAGATTCAATATTATTTAACAAAGCCTTGATCTAGGCATGAACAAAAGGTTCATTCCTTATATTCATATCCTTCCATAAGAGTAGTTTTCTATGTAACAGTGCTTTAACAAACTGTATAATTAGATTATCCCTAAGATTTAACGTTTTAAAGAGCAATTCAAAATAATTTGTATCAGGAGTCAATTAATCCTTTATAGATTCTATGAACTTAACTTTTTAATACAGAATCTTTTCCCAAAAAGGATCAGGATTAGTAACCTTATCTTTCAAACCCATAGTATTTCTTGCGATCGTTATTAATTCCGATAATTCATAATTGATTAAATCAAGGAATCTTAAGAAATACCTTTTCTATTCCTATAATTTCTCAGCACCATCCTTAACTTGTATTGAAGATGGATTCATGTTTTAGATATAATCTTGCTAATTTCTAATAGCTGGTGCCAATTGATCAAAAGCAACCTTCATTTTTTCTATATTCTCTGATATGTGCTTCTTCTCATTAATTCCCTATCTGGCATATGAGATTTATTGAACTATGGGTTTAATTGATTACATTAAATAAACTATATATTATTTAAACACGTAAAATAAATATAAAACATGGGGGATAGAAGGTGATTGCATAAGAGAGTGGTTACAAAGGTAAATCATCTTTATATATTAACACAAAACAATTGAAAGAATGAATTTGATCGAGGATGACCTATATGTTTGTTATAAATTAATATTTTAATTAATCGAAGAATGTTTAGAAGATTTTTGAACATAGCTGCTCTGCCTTTGATCAGATATAAGACGCCACTATTGGCTGCCAGTTTCATTAGTTTCACCTCGTTCTATTGCATTGAGGATAAAATAATATTGGAGGCAAGGAAAAAAATAGAATAAGACATTTTAAAGATGAAATCTTAATTTGGATCTGGAATCGAGTCTAAACCAGAGGCAGAGTATTACCCAGAAGTCAAGTAATAAAGCAGTGCTATAGTATAAATAGGTTTGGAACCAAGGGAAATAGATATTCTATCACGTTCGTAGCTGACCAGAGAATGTGTGATATATTTGCACTATTAGTCAATATGTTGAGTTAACTTTAAAAGTTAGAAGGGAGCTTCAAAATAAAGGATGTTCATTCCACATTCGAAAATTAAATATATAGTTTACAAATAGACTTTGAGGAGAGTGTAGGGAATCCGAAGAGTAAAATAGTGACTCAAGGAACAATCTATATTTATGGGGAAATGACAAATGAAAAACCATCAATGTAAATAATATTAGAAAAGACAGACTAATTTTCAAATGCAGATTTAGAAGCATTTATGGCTTGTTATGTCGAAGCAAATCGACCAAGGACTTTGCAACACATTAAGAATTTTTCATCTAGTTAACAAGTGCAGGCAGAAATTAAACAACAACAAGAAATCAAGACTGGGAAAACACTGCAAGAGTTGGAGAAGGCAGGTGTAACCATATTTATGCCTGATAACAAGGAGAGAAACTTAGATTGGAATTATTTGGCAGGTTACGAAAAATAAAAGAGAGACATAGAAGACACAGTGTTATTGGCCTTATAATATCCAGAAGTTTATGATTCTCTTACAGCCTTGACTAGGGTTAAGAATGAGCCAAATAGACCAAAGGCTATATTGTTTGAAGGGCCTCCAGGGACAGGCAAGACAACAACTGCAAGGATCATAGCTTAGTAAGTTTAAATTCCATTGGTTTATTTGCCTATTGAGAGTTTTATGTCGAAATGGTATGGAGAGAGTGAGAGACAATTCGCAGATATTTGGAAGGGTTGTTAACAGTTGGGAAGAGCTATAATTTTTATTGATGAAATAGATGCGATTGCATAATAAAGAGGAGGAGAAATGCATGAGGTATCAAGGAGAATCTTGTCTACTCTTTTGAGGAAGATCGATTCTTTTGAAAGCAATACAAATGTACTATTGATATGTGCAACCAATAGAAAATAAGATCTTGATGCTGCCATGTTGAGTAGGATTGATTTGTCTGTTAAATTTGATTTGCCAGATAATTAGGCTAGATAAGAGATCTTTTAAAGGTATGCCAAACATCTGACTGATAAAGAGAGAGACATACTCAGTCAATTGAGTAATGGGATGAGTGGGAGAAACATATCGGATATTTGCAAAGATGCTGAAAGAAGATGGGCAGCAAAGTTAATTAGAAAAGAAGTTACTGAACAATTGCCTTCTTTGGCCTAATACAAGGAGACTCTAACCTAAAGATTAAATAACTTTGCTTGAGTGTTTTATATATTATTATTTTTAATATTTTATAATGTCTTCAAACAATAATCGTTAATTGTAGGCAAGACCCAATAGAAAAACTGAGCAATCTTTTGATTTCTTCAAAAACACAAAAGTCTCCACTTGTAGTTATATCAAAAGAAAAGGAGATGATTTCATTGCAATTCCATTCTACTTTAAACCAAATTAAAGAAATCTAGATTACTTAAAGTATAACATATATTTCAAATAGTAAATCCATGTATTCCACATCAACCAACCAAGATGCTTATAACAATAAAAGAAGATGTTTTTCAAGCATGAGGAACAAACCATTATCTCCATACAATCCTTTAGCTCATAGGAGCAGATTAGTAGATCAGAGTTTAAGGATCTCGCAAAGCAACGTTTGCCAAGTAGAAATAGGAGATAGGTTGTAAAAATATACTAATCTTAGAAATTAGAAAATGATTAAGCATTACGTAACCTAGTATCAGAATCAATTGGGAAATTTCGGAGATACCACCCCTTGTTCAAATCCGTAGATTTTGGCTGAGAGGGCCAAATGGAATCACAAACTCAAGAACAAATGACTTCATATTATATTTAGCTACTATATACACCTGGGAATCTCATTAAAACTATTAAATAATGATTCATTTTTATCATCAAATTTTTAATTCTTCCAGGATTTTCACTAGAGATATAATGAAACATAAATATCCAATGAATTTTATTATATTAAAATATAAAAATGCAAAGCACTCAGAAAAATAGAGAGGATAATAATTCATCGAGAAGTAGAAGTGAATCTCCTTTGAGTCAGGAAGAACAAGAAAGAAGAAAGAAACTACCTGTCTATGAAAGGACTTTGGAAGAAAAAATAATGAGCAAAAAAATTAAGGCTGTCGAAAAGGATAGGTTGATTAAGGTGTTTAATGCGCTGATTCAACTGGAGCCTAAAAGGGTTGAATAAGAAATGGACGGGAATAAGACTACAGATGGTGACACCAAACTTGGAAAATAAAAAAGGAAGAAATCCAATGAACCCAAATTCTCAGCTAAAGCCATTTATGCAATGATGAAAAAGTTAAAATACACTCCTATTGGGGATGAAGTGGAAAGAATGATATGGGAAATAGATGAAGATTTGGATGAATAAATCAGCTGGTATGAATTTTAATTAATGTTCAAAAGATGCATTAAAGATACTTCTTACCTAGAACCCAGGTATATAATTAATAAAATTAAAGAGGTTTATTTAACTTTGTGCAGTTTTTAATGTATGCATATGACAAAGAAGCCATCAAAAATACTATAACTGTCGAAGACACTTTGGAATTATTATATGTGAGATGCGGGAGATAAAATCTAGATGGAGAAATATTCAAAATATTTGGATAGGATGAAAAGACAGCCGATGGATAAGAAAAAGAAATAACTTATTCTGAATATCTGGCTTAGATGAAAAAGAAAGACTTCAACAATTGGACTGAATTAGAAAACAAGAAAAAGAAATACGATCCTTCAAAAGAACAAAACATTAATAAAAAAGATTGATTATTATCTAAAAATAACATTAATTTCTATCAAACATATATAATTTTATTTATAAATCGAAAATTTATCTACCTGATATAATTAGAATATAAATCTAATATTTGATAGTTCCATAATGTGGTTAAATATAAATTTAATAGTGATTATATGATAAGAAATTTTTAGATATTAGAAAAAATTTGAGATTATCATATACAAGTATAAAAATATTGTAAGTTTATTTTCCATTTATTAAACTTTCAATATCAATATACATAATTAAAATGATTCAGAAGTATCTAAGTATCTCTAAAATTTATTAAATTTTGAAATACAAACTATTTTTCTAATTTAGCTCGAAAATACATTTCAACTCTTGTTTAAATGAATTATAGATATCTTCAAATATACCTGAAAATTATTAATCGAAGTAATTAGAAACTTTTAATTGTGCCAATTAATAAATAATTAGTTAAAATATATAGAGATAAACAAAAATTGTATATGAATCAAAACTAAAAATCAATTGACTTATAAACACATATATCAAATTCTCAAATATAATTGACTATTCCAATTAAAATAACATCTTAAAAAATTTAGTGAATTGATTAAAACCCAACTTGTATTATGATATCGATTGCAAATATACAACTTACTATTAATTTCATCTATGATATTCTAATTATTTAGTATTAATTATACTTATTCATTAGACAGTATCCTGCAAAAATATGAGCAAATCCATATAAAGATCTTGCTTTCAAAGCTAAGGCAACAAATTATTATAAGTTTTTCATTCCTAGCTAACGAACTGATCTATCATAATGCAATTATGTCCAAGGGTCTGTCAATAAAGCAATTCCATATATAGCAATGTAAATTCCTATCAGAAAAACTCCTAAACCTTTCATAGTTTATAAAGAAACTCTAATTATATAAATATTATATTTATTAAACAACAGCGTTATAATCTAATTGAGAAATTTAATTAAGTATGGCAATGGTAGAAAAAATTAAATGAATACAAATGATACAGATTAACTTTTAAAAGGGTTTGATAAATTGAAAAAAGATAATTTAAGAGGTATCTGATATTTTCAAAACATAAAGTTTAAATATAGTCAATAGTATGATTAAGGACGCTATTATGTATTTTAAGGTATATTTTAGATTGGTTTTTTAGATTAATTTTTTGTATCTAGCACTTGATGATGAAGTTATTCATTTTCCTTTTTTAATTTTTCATTTTCTAATTTAAGCTCTGAAATTTATTTTTCCAAATAATTTATTTATACATTTAATGCTTTTACTTCACCTTCACCTTATGCCCTTATAACTTATCTATCTCCTTCTGCTTTGGCTATTTTTTCTCTAAGATTCATGCATTCTTTATTCATATCATCGTATTTTAATTGAAAGTGATATAGCTTTTCTTCTGCTTATCTTCTCTGCTTTTAACTATCTTGACTATTAAATATAACAATACTTTGCTCTTCCATTTTGGCTTATTCTAGATCTCTTTATAATTATTCCACTTATTTGAGTGTTCTTTATAAGTGATAATCCTATATTGCATTAGTATTCTCCACTTTATCCTCTTACTTTTTGAACTTCCTATAACTTTATGTTGTATACGTTGTAGATGATGGATAATACATAAGGATCGTTAATTTTATTATTATAATCAACTGTATATATATATATTGTTTGAATATGCTATTTATAATTCATTCGTCTAAAGTTTCTCCATTTATAATTAATAAAGTCATTAAGTCTTACAGAGTAGAACTTAAGGTGCTTTTTTGTGTCTAATAATAATTTTCTTAATATATATTTTTCTAGAATTTAACAATTATAAATTATTATGTAATTAAATAGCTTAATCAAAACATCATTATTAGATCAATGCAATCTACCTAGCGTAAAACAAGTGGAATTCTCATCCTCTTAGAGAATACTGAATTCATCTTAGTAAGGTTGAAATTATTGTACAGGCAGTGTTTTATTTTTGACACCTTATTTATATTTGGATAGAAGTTTGTTGTAAGGGAATGGTTTATCCAACTCAAGTATTAGTATATTGATTGCCTCCATGTACTATACTATTGAACCTAATTTGATTCTTTTGTTATGTTAAATGCAATCTCTGATATGTTAAGAGTATAAGAAAGATTCCCAAGCTTCTCTGACTAATTTATACTTTTTGATATCCTTTGGATTATGAATTTTCTTAAGATCTCCTAATTCGAATTTCCTTTGATTTGATTTCTTGTTCTCTTTGATCTTCATTAAAGTAATCCTAACACTGACTAGATTATCTTCGTTGGTTTGCATAGCCCAAATTAAGAATTGATTCATAAAAAATGGCACGATTCTTCTTAAAAAGTCTTGGGATACTCCACATTCTTCATTGTTTAGTTAGGATTAAATCATTGAGTAGAACATAGTAAAATATTGTCTATTGACCTTCATCACTACGGAATCGTCCGATTACTCTATTATTTCAAAGCCATTCATTGTTTTTATTATTCAATTTTTCTAAAACTATTTAATTTAAATATAAAACAAGATTCGTTGGATTCTCCAAAGAAAAACAACAGAATTTAACAGAATTCATTTATTTTATTTGATTATTCGAATCATTAATTTTTCTAGATTGTTTCAAATGAATCTCTTAAATTCAAATCCACACCTTTATCTTAGCGTTGATACTACTTCTACCCACAATTTTATTTCAATGTACTTCTTTTCGAAATAATGTGCAACATTTTCCATTAAACTAAGCATTCTATATATGCCGAAATTCTAAAGTAATGACATAAGTGGCTTAAGACCATTGAAAATCTATAGTAGAGGTGTTAGGTATATTCTCCTTTTAGACGAATGAAATCACAACAAAAAAAGAGGAAACAAAGTACCACCCAGAATTTTTGGTAATTATATATATTTGAATTCGAGACAGAAGAAAATAATCCATATCAAGAAGCTAATTCTTACTTAAATAGTTATCAGTAATATATATTGATAACTATTTCAGGCTCTGGGAATTAGAAACTCTGTAACTTTTTTCTAATATAAAAAGTTTAACTATTTGAACATTTGGAATGTATGAGTTTGTAGAAATGAAAAAGTATCATTTTTAATACAAAATGTGTTTTTCATATCCTTTGATAACATCATTTTTAGTCAAAACTATCCAAAATAATATAAACAAATTAAAGTAACTATAATTTCTTTTATAATCACAATTAATAATAAATTTATTTATATATGTTATCAACTACTTAATTAATTAATTTCTATTAAAATTAAGGAAATCAATAATGTAATTAATAAATATGGAAGATTATCAGGAATAGTCATATCATATATTTTCAATTAACATACTTTAATTATCTTACATAAAAACTCATCATTCCATTACATACAATGCTATTTTGTATTCGGTTGTATCGATTAAAGAGGTTTGATTCCCAATTCTTCGACCACCTTAAGGATGTTCCACCCAAATACTAAATCTACTTTCATCTTATGGTTCAAAATTATCCGCTAATTAAAGTTGAACTTTCTCATTCGGTGCAAAGCCAATTGAAATTCTCGGAACAAAATACCAGAACAAATTGTCACCTGATCGACTTTTTCTTGCTCTATCTCTGCTTGTTGTTATTGTGAAAATTTCATAAGCGTAATCGCATGCCATCAAAGCAAAATGAGTGGGCTTTTTAACTGATATCCCTCCAAAACAAGCAATACCAGTTAAGCTGAATGAATTAGTTAACTCTTCTATTTAATCAAGACTTAAAGATTTATTTAAATATTAATCTAAATACATTGTAAAGCCTTGCAACAATACGATTGGGTAATCTATTTCAATTCTACCTAGAAGGTACTTCTGAGCATTGAAAAATTATTTATTCCTTAAAATTCGATCATCAACATACTCTCTAACTTCTTAGATTGTATTATTAAATTTAGAATATATTTATTTAATATCCTCATCAACTTAATCAAACTTCTCTATCAAAACCTTATTATTATTATCCCAATCATTTGGTTATTTTATTATTTGTACACTATTCAAATCGGAACTCTAATTCTGTACTGACACTTATTCTTTTCGATTAAAAAGTTCTTACGAAAGTGTGTTTATTGTTTAATTTTAAGAGTAAGCCACTTCTTTAAATTATTTCTACAACTCTATCATTTCTACTTTTAATTGTTAATTGTATAATTTCAAATATTCAATCTCATTAATTAATTTGCTTTCTAAAGTGTTTTTTATTTCTTCAATTTTAATTATATTCTCTTATTGAAAATCAGACACTTGTTCCTTGATTTGATTGATATCTGATTCAAACAGAAGTGACTCCTTTATCTGAATATACTTTTAATCCTTCTAAGTTAAAATGCAGAATTGATTACTAATCAATATAAGAATTGCAATAATAAAAGTAAATTTAAATAGTTTATTTGTTGCATATGGATTTTCTAATTTCTTTAATCTATCATCAGCTTAAATTAGTTTCTCCTCTTAGCTTTGAGTAAAATAAATAAATAACATACTTTGCAAACATCTTCTATAAATCTATGCCTTTTTTAGCTAAACTTGTCCTAACCCTATCAAAAACCTAAGTTTGTTTGTTGATAAGTTCATTATGAAATTTATCATCATTTCTTCTATACAAATCCAAGATAGATTTTTAGGTTGAATTATTGTATTACTTTGATTCATTCAACATTCTTTGATGGTAACCTAATTCATTTATAAACATCTAGAGCTGAGTATCAACCTCAACCTTTGCTTATAATAAGAAGTTTTAATCATGAAATGGAAATTTTTCGATTTTTTATATCTATTCTTTCTAAAAATCGAAGCATTTTTATTGCAATATTTGTAGAAAATTAAACCTTGCTTGATATTTCGATTCTAATTGATTTAATAGATCTTTTAATTCTATAAAATCATCCAAGTGGCGAACAGTTTTAGTATTTTTAAATTTCTGAATTCCCTTTTAATTAGTGTGTTACAAAGTTAAACATTTATGACATACCAATTAAAATCTTTTAGCTTAAATACATTCCATATTTGTGCAAATAAAACTTCTATTCAGGTGTGTTAATTTACACAATTCATGATCTTCATCTCTTAATTACATTATGAGAAATTAAAAATAATTAAGTGATAAAAATATAAGAATTTCAAGCTAAATTAAATTCAAATAAGGGTTTGAATACCTTTATTTAACAAATACAGCAAAATTTATGAAAAGACACTTTCTAATTGTCCTTTAACTAATAGAATAATTATTTTTTATAAATAGGCTCTGTTAAATTATTATACATTTTTCCATTCCAACTCAAATAATAGGTAGGAATAAAACTGAAATGATAGTATATAGTTTTAATTAAAGAAGTCCTTAATGAATACAATAATTAATTGTATTAAAGATATATATGACTTGGAATTATAAGTGATTTTTATTATGTTTTGGAGAATTAAATAGAAATTAGAAAATAATTCAAAATTGGATTAATTTGATAAGAAACTAAAATAATTGATCGTAATTTATAATAAAATATTTACATATAATTATATCTACTATCAATAGTCTATTTTGTGAATTAATTTTATCCTCCTTCCTAAAATATGATAAATGATTTTAATGTGCATTAGGGATTGTTGAATTTTTATTAACTAGTATGAATCCTAGATACAATTATCCAAAGAGATCTGTTTCCAGCATGGAGAGATAATAAATTCTTAAGGCTTTGGGAAGTAATCCTTCTGATAAACATATTGAATACATGGCATAGGAATACGATCTCAAAACACGAACAATAAAGTCTTGGATAAAGCAGCAATTTTAAAATTAAAGCAAAGCATCTGAATCAGAGGAAGACTATCAAGGCAATCGCAAAAAAAAAACTAAGGCAGATAAGGATCTAATGGACTTTGAGAGAAACTTTAATTAAAACTCTGATGCCTATCACTATGAAATCACAAGCATGGACCTCCTAAAGAGTGATAAATTATAGAATTAATAAGAATCTGCCAAACCTTAGTAACGAGTAAATTCAACTCCACAATAACCTAGTAAACCCTTGAGCAGTGAAGATTTTTTTTCAATGAAAATTGATTAACAATTATAATAGTCCTAAAAATTTTCACTCTAAAATTTTGATGCCCTTTTATTATTACTAGATTAGGACGATGAAATACATCATTTAGTATCCTTACTTAGAAATCAGGAGAGATAGATTGAAGAATTGAAAAAAACTCAATCAGAGATCTTGGAATACATGTGCTCACATTTGACAAAGAAACCAAAAAAGATCTGATTTAAATATTATAAATAATAGCAATATTATTATTAGATATTGTCTTTCTCTAAGATTATTAAATGAGATATAGAGAGATAGTAGGTAATGAAGCTTAAGCTTTATTGTATGCGATTTCTTTACAATTTTGAATTTAATTTTAATAAGATTATAATGAGTGGTAATAGTAAAAATAATGGTATGTCTCTAAACTGATTTAATATAAGTCCTAATCAATAGGAAATTTATGCCCAATTTAGATTTACTTTTGCCATATATCTTCAACACAGATATATGATAATTTCTGCATTGCTTTTTTAATGGCTTAACAATCTACATAATGGAAATAGAAAATTTAAACAAAAATAAGCCAAGTGATTTGCAAATCATAAGCCCCCTTGTGTTTATAGGTTAGTATAACTAGCTTATATTTATTGGATGTCTTAAGAAAGTCAGGCCATACTAATCAAATTGAGATGACCATCAAATAATTAGTAATCTAACTCAAATTTAAGAAATTTAACTCCACCCCTAGACATTCTTGTCTCCACAACAGTCTTAATCTGAGGAGTGAATATTTCATTAAACATCAACTACACTCTCTTAGTGCAGTCTGTTAGATTAGAATACTTGATGGGAAATCCCAATTCTCTTCTTAGGGCAACAGACGATTCTCAGACCAGCATATTATGCCGACACTTTCTGTCCCAAGGAAAGGAGGACTTTAACCCCAGGGTATGTTTATGTAATTGCTTACATTCGTGTATATGTGCCCCGATGACTAAGCAATTTGCAAAATCTTTTGTTTATTTTTATTTAAATTATTGAAAAATAATCACAAGTTAATTCAGTCAAATAATGGAGATATAATTATTTGAACACTTTTAAAAATGATAAATTGATATGAATTTGTATACTCTAATTAAATAATTATTGGGTTGATTATATTTATAATTTTTATTATAACAGACAAATATGTATAAGGTTCTTATTGCACTTAAATCTTAATAACAATTCAAGTGTTCAGTGACGATGGCAGGAAAGACCAAAGTAGTGACTCTCCCTTAGACTGAAGGATTAACATTTAATGTAAAGTATTGTAATTAACATAAATAAAGCTAATTGGGCTCAATCCAGTTAAAGTATAATGATGAGGTCTTTAAAATCCAAATGAATGAGGATATCACTGAGACAACAGGCGAATATAAATTTTCAAATGTAATCGGATAATATTACATTGTTTTGATACAAGATGTAGAAAAACCATCTAAATTAAACATAAAATAGAATGCATAAACATCAGAGTCTCCCCTTAGAAAAAATGAAACAGAAAGAAGTCTAACTGCTAGCGCAAAAAAATTTACATTTAAGACCCCTACAAATAGATAGAAATCTGAATCAAATTAAAAGTTGATACAATCCTTTGTTTTAGGAGATAATCTAATGGAATAATTGAAATAAGAGAATAAAGAACTCAAATAAAGAATAATTGAACTTGAAAATTAAGTGATATCTTTGTAAGAATAAAATGAATAGAAAAATGAGAAAGTCGAATTACCTAAATAAGAAATATCATCAAATGACTTTAGAATAGACTTTTAAAATCTATTAAAATTATAGCAAAGACAGGCTCAAGAGAATAAGCAATTACTAAAATAATTGATGGATTTAGACACTAACTATTAAGAACTACTAGATAAGAAATCCTTAGTTGATTAGGAAGTGACAAAATTAAAATAAACTATCAGTTAATTTGACTGCCAAATAACACAATTAAAAAGCAGATTAACATAATTTGAAATAGATGGACTAAGTTAAAACATTTAATTAAATCTATAAATTGCATAGCCAATAGAGAATGATGAAATAATTGACAACTTAATCAAACAAATTCTAAAAATGAGAGCAACTGGATCTCAATACATTCCAATAAAAGAGGATAAACTAGATTCCAAGTTAGCCTAATTGATTGCTAAAGATCATACTCAACAATATTAATTTATTAGACTAAAATAAGGATTATATTTGATAGGCGAAGAATAATACTAATTGTTTTTGTAAGAGTAAAAGATAATGATTACTACTGAAGAAGGTGCCCTACAACTTTAAGATTTTATTAAAAGTAGAAAACGAGTAAAATCAATCAATGTTCGTAAACCTTGAGATTATTTATTACTTTAAATTATAATATTAACAATCAAAAAATGCCTTCTGAAAATTTATTATAATTTATATGAGTATAATTAATAAAAAATATAAGTGATTTCTTATATATTAATAAAATAAAAAGAATTACTTCCAATTATGAGTATTCAACTAAAAAAGAAAATAGTTCCAGAATATAAGTTGTATTAAATAATAATGATAATTATTAAGAAAGGCTTCATTCTTCAATTTATACTTTGTCTATATAATAACCTTAAATAATTCTATTTCGATGTTCAATCTGATTAGCAAATACATAGCTAAATTCTCCTGTGTAAGTGGCATCTAAAAATTTCATAGTATCCTCAGAAACCATGATTCTTCCAATTTATGAATTCTATTCCATTTTTTTGGCTATAGCCACATCTGATCCATATATATCATATCTCACAATATCTGTTCCTACTATCCCACCAATTATATTCCCTGTATGTATTCCAATTCGCATATTGATATCAGGATATTGAATATTTTTCTTAAGTAAATTTACTATATCAAGTAGTTAAAAGCCAAGATTGACAACATTATAAGCTTCTTCTTCTCTGATTCCATTGTTTGCATCTAAAACTCCTATAACAACATAACTATCTCCAATTGAATACAACTTATAAACATTGTTTTCTGTGCAAGCAACATCAAACTTATTAAAGAGGGAACTCAACATTTACAATACTTATTAAGCATCAACACTAGTAGAATATTTAGTAAAGCCTGCTATATCTGCATAGAGGATTGTTGCATTCTCAAATACGTCAGGTATTGTATCTTATTCTTTAAAATATTATTATAAAATATGAGAAGGTAAAAGATGACTGATTATTTTGTTTTATTCTTGTTATTGTTACAAGAGTTGATCGTGAATATTGTAATTCTAATAAAGTAAATCTTCATTTTGATTTCTTTGTACAAATATAAAGATTTCCATGGCGAGAATAAAAATGATTGTTTCATTCCACTCGTTGGCGAAAGATAAGATGAAAATTATGTGAAAGTATTTTAAAATGAATAGCAGTTTTCTATGACGAGAAGTGAAATAGGGTAAAGCTCTCAAATAGTATCCTAAACATAAAGTGAAAGCTAGGATTAGAGTAATATAGGATCTTTCGATTGGGTCGTTAATTATAATTGTTATTATGTTGAATAAAATACTAATGAAATAGCCTATGATCATCCCTATTTAGAATATATATTTATAAGCATCCCTTAAGCAAAATGGAACAACAATGCAACTCATTAAATAGAATGCAATCTTCAATCCTTCAATAGTAAGATTGACTCCTAAATATTGTTTGTATTCCATTAAAGCAAATAAAATGGGCAATTAAAATATCATCAAGTAAATAAATAGAATTAAACAATACTAAACCATATCCTTAAATAATTTATGATTATAAATTCGTATCATCTCTTTGTATTTGAATTGACGAAAATATACTAAATTTTATTCATATTTATTTACCTCTTCTCGCTTGATTCGTACCAAAGTCACATTTGACTCTAATCAATTCCTACATAATATCTGTTTCAATTTTCTCTTGATTTCCAATTAATTATTGTAGTTTTGGAATTTCAATTTTTTCTTCCTATTGGAGAGTGGAATCAAAAAGATGGTTGTTATTATTATTTTATATTGATTTCTAGCTTTTAACATTATTCTATGGGCTCTTTGGCATTAAATCATCAACATTTTTTTAAGAATCAGCTACCTTCATATTATCAAAGAGATCACCAAACTAATCTCCTAATGGATCTTCTGTCTTTTATTATTATTATTGTTATTGTTATTGTTATTATTATGGTTATTAAACTTAATCATGTGATGACATCATTTAAGGATTCACTTCCTTATATCTAGTGACTCTACTCTTTCTATGCATAGTAATACGTCTATTAGATATATCCTCTACTATTTGATTTTAAATAATTACATATTAACTTATTAGCTGTGATTACATCTTATATCACTTTCCCAAATTACTCAACAGGTAACTAGTAAACAGATTTATTCCTAGACATTGATGATTTCCTTGCTAGATCAAATTAGAACCCTGCAGGATTAACAGCATTTGTCATAAGATCATTGTTAATTGGCTTATCATTAGAGTCCAATCTTTTAAATTAAATTGAACTCACCAACTTAATGATTGGTGACTTGTCGACCTTTGCTGCAAAGGTGCTCTTCTTATTAATTACCAGTTAATAAAGAACATAAATATTCTTCATATTGATCTCCTTAACTTAGAACTGGTACTTCATTTGTCTGACTCTAATAAAGGCAGTCTCAGTCAATGAAATCTTGCCTGGTTCACATACTGTACATGCTCTGCTGGTTGTATTGACAGTGTCTCCTATCAATGAGAATTATGGTTTATGTTGGCCAATGACTCCAGCCATCACATTCCCATAATTAATTCCAATCTTTATAACTATCTGTTTATCTTAATATTTTAAATTATTAGTTGACTCCATCATGGCAATTGCACATTCAATCATTTTCTATGTTGAGTTTTTTGATTGCTTATCAATTATATCATAGTCTTTTAATCCTGATGCACAAACATAGATCTATCCTACTGTCTCAATTTTCTAGATGTTATACTGGTTGCAAATTGTATCGAAGGTTCTATAGATAGAATCCAGAAAACTTATGATTGACACCTTCTCAGATTCAATAATATCATCAAAGTCGCAAATCTCGCAAAATAGGATTGTGACTGGTCCTTGATCTTCTTGTATTTATATATATCCTCTTGCCATTCTCTCCTTAATAAATCTGGGCATCAATATACTCAAGGCGTCATTCAATTTCTTTTGTTCCTTCTCCAATTACTCTTGCAATAAAAAGTTCTGTCTCCTCAAATACTCATTCACATAAGATAAGAAATAGCCGCATACAATCGATAAACTACAGATGATTATCAAAGCCAAAATAAAAATTATCTATTTCTATGGAGAGTATTAATATTTGGGTGTTATAAACTTCAAAACAACCCCCAAACTAATTAAACTCATAAGGATTATTGTACCTTTAAATCTAAGACTCTGCTTTATTGAATAATTTAAGAGGATTATCATAAATATTGACGTGAAAATGACTTGATTCATTATGTAATCCTAATCCAATAAGAATATCGTAATATATTAAAATAAAAATCTACTTAAGATACTGATCAATTGCAAGTTTTATTAGATCTTACGAGGTGTTATTTCCAAGTATTATAGAATGTGAATTGTAATACTGTAGAACAGTTGCACACCCCAGATAATATAGATTGCTATATTATTCTCAATGTAGTTCACTTAGATCAATAAATTGATGAAAACAGCAGCCTCAAAGATGATATACAAAATTGAATTCTAACTCATAGACTCTTGATATCTTATCTCGAATTCCTTCTGGTTGAAAGTCAAATTTTTCTTTAATTCTATTTATTCATCATTATTAATGTTATTATTCAATGCCTTATAAATGGAGTCATCCATCTGATTGTTATCTGCCAAAATGGATTTAATAAATTTCTTTCTTGATTAAATAGATAATTATAAGCTCTGCTTAGTTTATCTTTATTTCTTAGTCTGTTCAATATTTTTAAAATTTGATTCATCTGTAATTAAAAGATCCTAGAACATCTCCAAATTGTACAATTATAAAATAGAGGCTACTGCAAATTTAAATACAAATGCAAATATATAAACAAAGATTAAACTCCTTATTATAAATCCAGGGCTATAAAACAAATCTGAGTAAGATACATGATATTCATTATAATCGGGAATAGTTAGAAATGTCACCAATGCAACAACGAATACACTCAATAATAATAATCCCAGAAGCTATTTATATTGTTATTCGAATAATTAGAAATACAATTATATTTTGACTATTAATTCTAGAGTGATAATAAAGGCAAATTATGATAAGGGTAAGTAGTTTGAGTCTCCGTATAAGTATTTCGTAGCATATAATGGTATACTAACTATTGCTGCATCAATTACTCCTACTAGAAATATCTTAATCAATGACTCTTTATTAAACAGAACCTTAACCAAGCATCTTTAGGGTATTAACCCTTTGTAATGCACTTCTGAATTCTTGAATCGTTGATTATGAGATAGTAATTAAATCATCACTGTAAACGTTTGACTCAATAAAAGGAGGATGTTGCAACTTTAGGTTAAGAATTACCCTTAATTTATGAGGTTAATGAGCACAAATAGAATCATCTCGTATAACCAAAAGTAAAGAATCGATTAGGCTAACTAAGACGAACTGATACACTGGAGTATTAGGATTTATTCTGCACATCTTAACGAATTTACTAAATAACAAGGCTTGGATTGAGTGTAGCATTTCGGGTTGATATCAATTGATATTTAACTCATATTATAGACTCTTTGATTATTTACACAACTTCCTATGTATCCAATTTGCATATTGAGTTTTTTGGCAATCTTATATAATTTTACCTTTGAGATCTCCAAACTATCATATAAGGCCAGCCCCCTGCTGAACTAAACTATTATGGCAAAATGATTTAAGAGATACTCATCTTTGATTATAGTCAGCAAGGCTTCACAGCTCAGGAGAATATACTTCTTTTCAAAGTCTTGTGCTTCAAAAATTCTTAAGTTTAATCTCACATTTACCTTTATTACTTTATCAGATTTGAGCAGGCGCTCTAAATAGCAAATTTCAAAGTTCTCTCATCCCCAGAACTGAATTAATATAGCTCATTTTCACTTTCTATAAATTTTGCATCAAACAAAAATCTCAGAACCACAAATTGATTTTCAGCTGAAACTAACCACGTATTTAGCTAAAGATCATTTTGATTATAATTATACATTTGCTTATGAGAATGCATCTATTGTCAGAAGAGCACTTTGATCTATTTTTGCATGAGTTCCAATAATCATAAGCAATTCAGCCTAGGATTCCAATTGCAAATACAATTACTCTAATTAATCTTCGTCTGTGGTGTATGAATTCATAATATTCATCTTATTTAACAAGAATTATTTAGCTTCTATCTTTTTGAGTTACTTCTTAAAATACAAGGTTGGTTATTGACCACGTTTCAACATATAATATAGAGTTGAATTAGTTTCTAACACATTGATATTCATATTGGTGTTTTCATACATTTGTGAAGTATCAATTTTTATATATAGAAGAGCACCTTCATCTTCATTGAATTCTTCTGGGTCTTTTAAGAGCACAGAATAAACTCCAACTCTATTCTTGGTTTGTTTATTTTCACTTAAGATCTTATATTATTTCAATTTGCCTTGAATTTCAATGATTTTGAGTTAACTTTTGAGAACTATGTCATAAATTTAACGTTCGGTTTCAATGCTACATTTAAGTTTGTATTCTAAGAGATTGCAAAACTCGATTAAAATATAATCCTATGGGTTTTTACAATAAGTTTCTATAGTCTTTTTTTATTCATTATATTTATTCTCTATCTCACATAAGAGCAATAAGGCAACAACTTTCTCGTGATATTGATTGTCGAAGTCATCAAACAATTAAGTGATAAATTGCTATTCATTCAATTATTGCTTCTATAATTAATTGATAGATGAGCTTTAGTCACTCCCACTCTTTACAATTCTAGTTCTAATTGATATAGTTTTCCCTAAGGAATTCTTTAGTTTCTTCTATTAAGACACATCAATGGTTTTCTTTGAGAGTGAAAATTGCAAATTAGTACTCATACCATAATTTTATCTTTCCTCTTAATTATGAGGCGAGTAAGGATGGGAATTGATCAATTCACTGTAATCCTTCTTGTCTTCATCAAAAATATCGTTTTCTCTGCCTGTGTCTAACAAGGTTTTATAATAATTATCTCCGAATTAAATTTAATTACTATTCATAATTGTTACTAATTGTTTGTATTTGAACATGTATTGTTTATCATCAATATAAATTGATTGGATCTTCCTCTTCTTATGAAAATACTGTTGATTCAATTCCAAACACACCAAATTCACTTTTGAGCATTTCCAATACTGAAATAATTTACAATAATGATTACATTAGTTTATTACATCATAATCTAGAAGTCTTTAATTTATTCCTAATTCGACAGGTTATCCTATGAAAAGATCTCAGTCATATTCTTCACCTTGTTGAATTCAATCCAAATGTGTTTATCATCTTAAACAACTTAATACTTATAATGTATATACTGTCTTTCCCTTGGCTATTTCCTTATCCTATGGCATTCATGGGCTTGACTTTCTTTTGAATACTTGGTTGCTTGATGTAATGAAAGATCTAGACGAACTCCTTATAGAATATTGCATATAATGGAAGTAACATAGAATTGAAACATAAGTGGATTCCATAAATTGATTTATAACTTAGATTTGCAAGCTACAATTAACATATCAAATACCAAACTTATAAAGTACCCAAGGATTATGAGACCAATAAACAGGAATGACTTTTATCGTTTATGCTTGATTGGTTTATAAATACGTAAACAATTATTCCCTGCTACCAAAACTATTCCTAATGCCCAATCCGTATTTAATAGCTTCTCCCCACTAAAAATAATATTGTCCTGATTGAATTTAAACACTTTTGGATCATTCTTTAATTTTATTGTTCCCATCAAGCTTGACTTCTTGCCAAGCTGATAGGAATACTAGATCTGTCCATTCAAAGTTAATTTGAACTCAACCAATACTCCTTTTGTATCAGATTTTGGTTATACTAAAGATAAACGATTTAAATTACTAAAAGTAGATTAACAAGGAATTGTTATTTTAGGTGTTTGAATACCAAATTCATTCTAATCTATTTATACAACCTGATGACTCGATTCCAATAGTAATACATCTGCAGGACATTCATGTTTTTTTTATAAGATAACAATATCACCAACTTTTATCTATTCTCTCAATACTTATTTTTATGGATAGAAATAAGTGTTTATATCTTCAGAAGAATCTGATGCCAAAGGTTCTTTGGAATGAATAAAATTCTCCAATATGCTATATCTCTATTCATTCAATTGTGATTCCACTATTCTAAAATTACGAAATTTTAGAACAGACTTTATTACAAACAGACAATAATCCAATAGCAATACTATGCTTTGAAACAAAAGAACTAAATTGCTTCCGAATATACAAATTTTAATTACCTGGCTGCATCATCCTAAAGAGCCCAGCTGATAATGATGTAGACCATTATCATTAGTATTTCGAATCTCCAGAGAAAGGATAACACTTCTAGAATATGTTACTTAAAAGTAAATGATTAGACCTTATTGCCTATATAAGATTTTCCATAACCAGTAAGAGCCTTTACTTCACCATTCACAAGTTCAATCTTAACTCATAAATACCAAAAATTACTTTCTTCAAATTACTCTCTGACTTTTATTGAATTAGTTTCTACACTTTTGATGATTATTTCAAGTAAAGGTACATAATCAATGAATTTATCCATCGCATAATTTATTACAGAAAAATATAAATTTTTAAATGTTTCATTTGGCCTGATTTCGTAACATTAGTGCAAACAGCTTTTGAAGAAACAGGAATTAAAACTTGGGTTCACCCAATACATACTCAGCTTTCTTCATTCCTATTAAACTTTTAATTGGAATTCGCCTACTCCTCAAGAAGATTTATTCAATCCTGATACATCTTCCTTTTTGTAAAGCTTTCTTCATTTAGAATTACATATTGCAAATAGGACATAGCTTTTATTGATACCATATTATTCTTATTTTAAAATGATGATTTATTATAAACAATAAATGGTTCTAAATAATAAAAAATCAAGCATTCTCTTTTGGCTTCTTTTAATTAAGTAACCAATACAACTCTGAAATATTGTGATAAGATCAAAAAATGCATTTAATTAATCAGATCTAAAGGTATTATTAATCTACTTTTTATAACATATTTGAGTTAAGAAGGTGTTTCAAATTGCATATTATGATAAACAATAAATTCAATATAAAGTAAAATAATTTTTTGATTAGGCATTAAATTATTTATTTGTCTTTTGATACAATTCTCTATAAAATTGTTATACTTAGATTTTTTCTTAATAATTTTGATAGATTAGTTAAATATTATAAATAAATCATTGCTCATCTATTAAGTTTAAAGTGAATATTTGTGGTACATCCAGCATTGTCTAATCAAATATTAATTCAAATTTATTTTCAAATTAATCATATATAAACTTTTTAGAGTAAAAAATTAAGGAGGAGGATAAAGTGGGTCTAATATAAGTTTAAAAAGATCTTCTATTAATTAAGGGATTAATTTAGGTAAGAGAGGGCCTAAACATTCCAGACAAGGATTTGTGTTTGTTTCAATTAGCCAAACCTTAGATTTATCATCAATCATAAAATCTAATCCACACACCTCAAAGGTGTTTCTTTCCTTTTAGGATCCAATTTACCACAGGTTGCTTTGAATTGATCAAGTGCAATATTCTTCATTTAAGTGTAAATTGTTGAGTAAAAATCAATTGGCAAGAAATTATTAAATTCATCAAATGAAACCTTATTCCTATTTTCAAGTTTACCATAATCCTCTGAATGCTTTTAAATAGCATCATTAGTTAGATGAATCAATCTGATTTGTAAATTGACCAAACTGAATTCAAAGCTAGAAGTTCTTTTGTATCCATTTTAATTCCAATAGCCCTTCTGTTATCCATTGATAGAAGTAAATAAGATATATCATCTAATATCAAATTTTCTTTGGTTATAAAGTAATTTATTTTCAATATATTTTTAAACAATAAAAGTCTTCTAGACTCCATTCTTATGATGATGAATACTTCTTAAGAACTATTAGACTTCATTTATTGTCTTGAATATGTGAATTCCATGACCTCTATTAGTAAATTCGGCAGGTTTAACAATCCAAATAGAATTATTCGGATTTTATAGACAAATAGATCCACCACTTTATTTTTGATATGATAAGTTTGAGGCAAGAAATCAAAAACATTTAATCCTTTTTATTCATAATACTTTTTCATATTATACAAGAGATTCTTTTTACTACAAAAATGTGTATTATTTTAAATATGATTATGCAGTTTTGTGTTGTTATTTATTTCAAATAGTCTTAGATTCGAAGAGAATGTATCAGCTTGATCTTATGAGATAATTTTGAAATTCTTTCCTACTTTTTGTTGAGTTTCTACAACTCAAGGCATAAGTATTAAGGGAATAAATTTTGATATTAAATATCAACAATATTTAATTATTCTTAAATACTAATATTTTATTAACAGATCTCTTAAATTGATTCAGGAATCAAATTGATGTAGGAGTTATTCCTCAATTATTGCCATAAAAAGTTGGCTTATTCTTTGTCTTTATCAACAACTGACGACCATCATCTTTTTTTAAAATCCACTATACTAGTTGTCCATTATTACCTTTACCAATATAGGCTTTATAAGAGTGGATAGTAGGTTCAATATAAAAGTTATTTGACAAGTTAATTGAATTATAATAGGTTCATAAATTAGCATTATTAAGTTGAAATTCAAGATCATTGGGATATTTTCATCATCAAAAAAAATTCCATTGATTTTACTTTTCACTATTTTGGTTTTAAAGCCTTCAAAGGAAATATGTTTGGTTGATATGAAATTTTAGGTTTTATAATTTTCTTGGCTATTTGATGCAACGAATTTCCTACTAACAAGCACTTTTCGGTTTATTACTTCTTTAACTTCTTCTCCTTGATTTTAAAATACGATAAGGTGGAAGCAGAGATTCACTTGATGAATCAGCAATTAGTTCAGTTTGTTAGAATTTTTTGTGCTTTGAACTACCACCCCATAACAGGAATGAGGATATTCAAACTCGAATTTTGGCAGTGATGTTTCTCTAGGCTCAGTATGGCTATGTTCTGAACTGGGACTGTGGGAAGTAACACCTTTTTACATTGCTTTTTAAAAATTCCAAAAATATTAATCAGGCTTTACACAATAAAAATGAAGATCTTTGTTCATTCATTAAGAATTCATACATTCTACACATGTTTATTATCTAAAAATAAATTATAGATAATCACTTATAAATTTTAATGTAAAAACCACTTTATTTATATCTAGAATTAGAATTTTACAGAATAAAGCTCAATAGTAACTAATTCATAAGTTTAAATAGATTTAAAATAGATTTTAGAAATATAAATAAAATTTGAAATATCCATAAATCCTAATATAGGTTGAGGAAGAGATAATAATTAAAACCATCAATAAAATTAAAATAGAATCTGGAAATATTAAATTAGGTAATAAAAAAATTACATCCATAAAATTTACTAGACTTTCTAGTTCTTCTAAATACATATTTTTGGTAATTTCTATTTTTTTAATTGATAATTAAACTAAGATAGAACCATTGAATTTATAATATATTTATTAATTTAACCTATAGATGGATGATATAATTACTGAAAGAATGTATATATTTAGATAATAGTTACTTTTGAAAGACAATACGTTTATTAGTATCTATCCTCAATTGATTTAATAAACAAATACAATAAAATTATTAGTATTATATAGTTGATAATCAAAAGTTATGATTTTATAAAGGCTTGAATTTTTCCCCTTTGGTAAGTGAACTATTAGGTAATGGCAATGGTTTTTTTGATTTATCCAAAAGTTGAGAATCGTCAATAGATGAATAGTAGATCTTGAGTTAATTCATTTTCTTTTCAATAGAATCCAAATCAGTATCTGACTCAAAGATAATCCATCTTTCTCTGTTACCACCCTTCCATTCTCCTTGTTTCCTTTAGGCTCCAGCAATGAAGAGTCCTCTACCATGTTACTTTCCTTCTAACCAATACCCCACATATTTTCTACCATCAGGCCTACAATTAAGGTAACAACTATACCATTCGAATACTCCTTGACCATGTTTTTTATCATCTTGATATTCCCCTATGTAAACTCTACCATCACTCCATGAGAACAGACCAGTTCCATGCATTTTGTTGTTCAACCATTCTCCACAATACTTTCTGCCATCTGGCCATACATATCTACCCACTCCATTTATTTGATTGTTTAAGAACTAGCCACAATAAGATGCTTTATCTGCCCAAACTAATATTAAATTATTAATGATAAAAGATACCAAATCTGCCTTTTCCATGCTTGACTCCATTGCTGTATTCACCTTCATGTTTGGCTCCATCTGGCCATATTTCTACGCCTTGTCCATTTTATAAATCATTATTCCAGCTACCTTCATATCTAGCCCCATCTGAGTGGATATATACTCCTTATCCTTTTGATTTATGATCTTCCCAATCCTATTAAATTGTTTAATGTGATTATGTACTCCATCATATATGTCTCCGTTCGCATGATACAATCTCCCTTTACCATTTGCCATATCTCTTATCCAGAATCCTTCATATATTGAACCATCTTTCCATATTTGTATTCCTTTTCCAAATTTCTTGTCTCCTGACCATTCTCCTATGTAAATTGCACCATTCTCTAACAAAACTGCATTTCTAAAGAATCTATTGTCATAAGAGTCACTTTCTGTATCTTAATAGCGATACTCAGAAAATGGAAATGGGGGCATCTAATAAATATTTGTTGATGTGTACTTTGCTGAATTTTGACAAGTGTGTTAATGAGAACTACTTCAAAATGTTATTAACTTTAGTATTGTACAGTTACACTTATACATAGTGATACTTTTTTCTAACAATCCAGCCTCTCAGGAGTGCTTATATTTTTATTATGCTTTTCAATAGTTTAATTTCTTCATCTTCAATCTGGTTTTCCTTCCGACTCACTCTCAATCTTTTATCACTTTCAATTTGGTTATGATCAAAACTAACTGTTTTTACACATGCACAATTTGCTTAACCCATATGACGGTTAAATAATTAAATAATTATAATGCTGCTTAATAAAGAATTTTATCTTTATTTTCCAGAGGGTAATATTGTCACATAAGCAATTAGAGCATGAAATTCTGATAAAGTTCAAGAAGTACGAAATACGGAAGTTCTTTGATGGTCAAATTCAATTTACTCAAAATGAAATACAATCCATCCAATAATTTAAGCAAAAATATTAGGTGCAAAAGGAGGATTCCTTCATTTTAAGAATGCTATATGCAACTAAATTTAAGTTTGAAAAATGCTTGGAAGCTATTAAAAACTATGATGCATGGAGACAGAGTCTAGATCCTAAAGTGAATCCTATATTATTGGTATCATTTAAATTCATTCCATAGAGATAAGGAGTGATCTATATGCATGGAAGAGACAACAGATTTCGTCCAATCCTCGTTGTAAATGCTCAGAAAGTCGCAGGAGTTAAAGACTTAGATCTCCTACTATAATCAATGACCTTGTTTCTTGATTATGTCTTATATAATTGTATGTTGCCTGGTCAAATAGAAAGTTGGTAATATATACAACTATTTAGGATTGTCATAATGGATTTAGGAGGACTTGGCATAATGGGGTTGCCAAAACAAGATCTTTATAGGATCATGAATTATCTATCCAGTAATTACAGATCAAGAATGCACAAATGCTACGTCATTAATTGCAATAAAACACTCAGCATCACTTGGGCTATGATAAAAACTTTCCTGGAAGATATCACTGTAAATCAATAAACTGACATTCTTAGGTCAATAAAATACTCTTTGAGAGTTGTCCAATCTCACTATTGTAATATGCAAATCCATCGCAATTAGAAAAGAAGTATGGAGGAATGGCCAATGATAAGTCCGATAATTTTTGGTAATTTGTATTATATAATTGTAGGCCACCTCAAGAGGTCAGTCCCAATTATCAGATAGCTGTAGACTAAATCAAGTTGATAGATTAAATTACATATGTTGATCTATTTAAATAGGGGAAACTTATTAAGAATCTAGTTTGCCAGGAATTAATCAAGCTCTAGTAACTTTAATAAAATAGCGAACAAATAAAACAATAACAAAAGTCTGAAGATGACTTTCAATCTTGTGAAGAAGACAATGATTTATGATGTACCAAATGATATTCTTTGCAATTTTTTAGTTTATAGAATGATTGATCTATTTTTATTTTTCGTTTATTTATATATCAGATATGTTCTGCAAAATGTAATCGCCACATTCGTATATTCCTTCCTCATCGTTTTCACCAGCTACTTCAATTTATTCCAATAATTTAACCATCCTAAACAATATATTTTTAAATAATTAGTTATATTTAACTAAAAATGCAAAAAGGAGAATAACCTAAAACCACAGGCTGTTTGTGTTTCAGTAGATAGAATAAGTCTGAATTTCCAAAAACCTTTAAGAAATCAAATAAAATACTCAAGAAATACACTAAGAACAATTCTGATGTATATTTTCCTAATTCCTTTAGATTTCAGACGAAGCCATTTTGGAAGTCATGATTCGTCTATACATTTCAGATAATAAAACAAAGGCCATAGAGATGCTCCAACGATGTCGTATCAACCCCAATTTTTAAATGAATCTTATACGAACTGATCTGGAGTATTATATCCCGCAGCTTATTAATTTTATGGTTTTCCATCAACAATTATAGGATGATCGGTTGATCGAATTCATCATTAAAGCCTCCTCAATTGATTTCTTTTTTGCTCATCTTGTTTATTTTTAGCTGATAAGCCTTTCAAAAATTATATCTCCCAATTACAAGGTTGAATTCAAGATTGTTTAACAGTTTGTTAAGGAATTTGAGGATAAAATGACAACGAATTATCAAGGTAATCTATTGATAGCAACATAATTGTTAAAGATTCATTTGGAAGATTCATTCAAAGATGATGTCTTAGTCAAATCAATCATGTTGTCGAACAAAAAGGATAAGCAAGAACAAGCAGTTTATTAAGGGTCGATAAGAATTAAATCTTGGAAACAGAATGAAATTGTTTAAATTTATGGAACTGAAGATTGGACAGATTACATCAAGGAGAAAAACCTTTAGGATTGTTTGGTAACCAAGCATGAGGAAATAGAACTATAAGATTATGTTTCCATCTTTTAGAATAAGGAAGACAATAATTTATAGGAGGATCTTGCATTTTAATCAAATATCAATTTTTGGAATGACATTACTAAAATTTCGGAAGAGCTTTCAAAACATCAGAAAAAAACTGAGTAATTGCATCGGTTCTTAAATAAAATCAACCAAAATTTACCAGCTGCTGTGTATGTTCCCTTCGTTAAGAATTCCATCAGAAATTACGCTATTCTAAATGTTGTTTCGAAAGAAAGTCGGGTATTTTCTACCAAAATTCGAAGTCCTTTTAGTTTGACTTTAGAAATATTTAGACCAGAAGTAGAAGGTCATTATAACGAATAACAACTGCTAGATACCCAAATTTCTAAACCCATCAAGATTAATGTATGTTATTTTTTCAATTTTTATAGATGATCAAATCCAAATCAATTACATAAAGTCAAATTGTTATGCAAAATCAAAGCAATAATAATATTTAATTACAAAGAACATTTTCTATTGCAGATGCTGAAATGTCATTCCACAACGAATTTCAAACAATGAAATAGAACGAGACAAAAATAGATGGCTCATATGAAAATAATAATGGAATTGGACAATTCTATAGAAATAGACTAGAGAGCAATAAAAATGAATCAGATACAGATGAAATGGTCGATTAATAATAAATTAAACCCCCTAATTAATAATTGGCCTTTAGTTTGGAAGATCAATATTCTCAATCCTAAAATCAATTGCAGAATTCTAAGATGGATCAAAGCACTCTAAACTCTAGAGTAAGCTATCTTTAGAATGGGAAGGGTGTAGTTTTGACAGAGGGTGAGTATTTAGAAATCAAAAAAACAATCTTCGGAGAGAATTCAACTTCATAATAAGAAAGGATAAGGAAATCATCTCCATTTTAAAAATTGAAATCCTGGGAGTTAGTTCATCTAATTATAAAGACTGGAGATAATTTGAAACAAGAACAATTTGCATTACAATTAATCTGTTAGTTTGATTAAATATTCAAAAAAGAAGGCTTACCTTTATAATTAAGATATTATGAAGTTTTATCTTTGGGACCAGATTGTGGAATGATTGAAATGATAAAAAATGCTACTACAATTGATAGTTTACAAAAAAATTTATAAACCAAATATACCTAATTCTCGGATTTTTCAGACTTTTTTAGATCTTTTTTTAGAGATAATATCGAATAAGCATTATAGAATTATGTCCAATCACTTGTTGCCTACGGTCTAGTGTGCTATTTTTTATAAGTCAAAGATAGACATAATGGCAATATATTATTGGATGATTAAGGTCATTTAATTCATATAGATTTTGGGTTCTTTTTATCGATAGCACCAGGTAAAGGCATGGAGTTTGAAGGAAAAGTCCCTTTTAAATTATTATCAGACTACATTAAAGTTTTGGGTGGAGTAAAAGGGTACTTGTTTTAGGATCACTTTAGAAAACTATTCTATAAGTATTGCATTTAAATTAGGTAGAGGCTTCAAAGCTTGTTAGAAACACTAAAAGGAAATCTTATTATTGGTTGAAATGATGTACACAGGCCATGGAACCACTTTGCCTTGTTTCTCAAAAGGAGAATTAGCGTTGAAAGAATTAGAAGACAGATTTAACCCAGGAGTTACTTCTGATGCTGAATTATTTGTATATGTCTAAGGATTAATCAATAAGTCTCTAGATAATTGGAGAGCTAGATGGTAATATAATAATTATAACATATTTCAGGTACGATAAATTTTAATATTTTGCTTAAGGAATATTTTATTGATTCATAATTGTTTATTTATTTATAATCTAAATATAATTGTATATCTTCAAAATAGTAGCATTTGATGTATTTTAGTGATTAATAATTATTTTAACCAAGATCCATAATAGAAGAAAATCATACACAAATTTATTTAATATTCTCATCTATAATATTCTTATTGTGATCTATAAATGTTGACTTTTGTAGGAAAGCTCATTAATTCATCACTTTTTTTTAAATAATTACAATTAAAATAATCTATATATCAAACAAAAAGAGAAGTGTAAAAAAAGATGTTTTAAATAAGAAGTAGTTATATATATATATACTCTAATTTAATAAAATTGGATAAATCTATGAATGATAACTATATAAATTTTCATCCATATTATCTATATTATCTAAATTATTCCTATTATCCAAATTATTGCTATTATCTAAATTATTCCTATTATCCAAATTATTGCTATTATCTAAATTATCCCTATTATCCAAATTATTGCTATTATCTAAATTATTCCTATTATCCATATTATAGCTATAATCCATATTATTCCTATTATCCAAATTATTGCTATTATCTAAATTATTCTTATTATCCAAATTATTGCTATTATCTATATTATTCCTATTATCCAAATTATTTCTATTATCTATATTATTCCTATTATCCATATTATGAGGCATTATTTTAAAAGTCTTAATGGGTTGACGCTTATAGTTCATTGCCAATAACAGAATTAGATAAACATTAGAGGCAAAGTCCATTTTTTTATTGCGGAAACCTTAAATTTTAGTTTTACTACCAAATGCAAAAGAATTGACAACTAACAGTTGAACATTTTACTAATTTTTCTTGAGATTTTAACTACTTTCTCTGTAAATTTTAAAAAATTAGCTTAAGGTCTTTTTAATTGTTTGCTTCTAAATACTGTTTACCAAATTCGGTCAATAAGCACAGCTTTGATTAGATCGGTTTTTAGCACTGTTTGCATAATGCTTTTGAATTGTTTTTAAGTGCCTAAGTTAGTAAGGCTTCTATCTAAGAAATATCTATGTTATGGCCACATTTATTTTTGTAACTTTTCTATTAATAACCTTATATTAATGATATTTGAAATACCTGTATTATAGCACTAAGACTAGTATATCTATGAACTTTAGAGAGGATTTTATTCTTTTGTTCGTTCAAGCGGACTTATTTCTTAAATCCTTAATTTTGGTTGGTTATTAGAATTATCTTTTTATACTTCAATATATGTTTAAGGTTTAAGCTTTGCTTCTCCAAGGTTTTTTTATAAGGTATCATTTTCATTGCTTAATTTTTGATTTTCAATTTTTAATTTTCCATTTTCTTAATTTAATTTTTCATAATCATCTTTAAGTTTAGAAAGATCGTATTAAATTTATTAGCTAAATTAGTTAAATTAACAATTTTACTTTTAATCTTTAAAATCTGACCTTATCTTTTCATTTTCAGTTTATTGATTCCTTATTCTCTCTTCATAGTCTAGTAATCTAGTTCTAGTAAATTATATTATTTTTTACTTTAATTTATTAACTTGTGATTATAATTCCTAGTTCTATTAATCTGTTTAATATTTCTCTTATTTTAACTATTAAAGCTCTTAATTTTATAATTATGATCGAGTTAAATTTGAATAAATCTGAGATTAAACTTATTACCTATATAGATAAATAAAATACCTTAGATTTTCGGTTCCTAATACATTTGATTATATATTTCTAGAATCTATTGTACTCTGTGGTTTTGCTTATTAAATAGGTTAAGCATCTGCTTTAACCCCCCCCCTATTAATATAATTGTTTTAAGAATGTTAAATCTTTGTAAGACTATTTTATTCTTGTTAATTTTGTATGTTTACTGGTTTATTTAATTAATATTCTCCTTATATGATTTGTGATTGAGTGCTAATATTTTGATTGGATTATTTGATATCATTATTTTGACTTTCATATTCAAATTTCGATGATTTATATGATTAAGTGTGAGTATTTTTGTGTGACGAAACCTTTCTATAATAGATAGTTCTACCAGGTATATTTTTGATAATATTAATTAAATAAGTATTTAGAACTCCACTAAAGAGTTTATCTTTTTCAAAATAAAATTATATTTCAGAATCATCATCTAAATATTTCTTAATATGATTCTATAGATCCAAAATTGTAGCAGACGATTAAACTCTATAACCTTTTTATGACTAATGTTAAGGTTGATCTAAATGATATGGAGGGATCATCATTTTATCTTGAGATAATACCCTAATCATTTCTATTAAGTAAGATGGTGTGTGATGGAGGAAGGGGAGGGGGGGTGTGAGTTACTACTGATATATATGATTGGTGAAGAATTCTTAATCATCTAATGATCAAATATGATCCTTATT